GAGTAAAGTGTGGAGTGTAAAGTGTAGAGTGTGGAGTGTGGAGTGTAAAGTGTGGAGTGTAAAGTGTGGAGTGTGGGGTGTAAAGTGTGGAGTGTAAAGTGTAGAGTGTGGAGTGTGGAGTGAGGAGTGTGGAGTGTAAAGTGTGGAGTGTGGCGTGTAAAGTGTAGAGTGTAGAGTGTCAAGTGTAAAGCGTGGAGTACAAAGTGTGGAGTGTAGAGTGTGGAGTGTGGAATGTAAAGTGTAGAGTGTTGTGTGTAAAGTGTAAAGTGTCGAGTGTGGAGTAAAACATGAGTAAAACTGACAAAGCGGAATCAAAAAAAGTATTTTCTTCATTTATCCATTGTGGCATTGATATAGTTTTGTTGAAAATCTGCCAGTGGGGGAAGTTGGTTTGTTTCAGAATGCACGCCCGATTTTTTTTTGGAAGATCGGGGTGGCCAATTTCTTGATCTGCGTTCCTTTTCTCGGTTTGTGAATGTTGGAAATTCGCGGGAACGGCGGTAAGCAATATGGAGTTAAACATCAGGCAGAAAAACGGTTGCCCGGTGACCCCAACAACAATCTGTAGCTTACTTGTGGAAAAAACGAAGGCAACCCAGCAAAACCATCTGGAGTCCGGACATTGGCTCCAAAAAACGTGCAGCCAGGAACCGTGGCAGCTGGAATTTCATTAAGCATTGGGCCCAAAAAACACTACCAGCGACAAATCCGAGAATCTGTCACGTTTTGTGACAAAGCTACGCGCAGCTCCAAGAATCTGTTGGAAAGCGCTCATTTTTTGTGACAAATTTGCGAGATATATTGCGGCACTTCTGGTTCAGTGTCTCTTCTGACAGAAGACTATCTCTGACTGCTAGTTTCTGACGTATGTATCCTGACATATTTCAGGAAGTAGATGCTTACAGTTTCTTTGACGCGAATTTCGGCTTCTATCTTGAAATATATCCTGACACGTTTTCTGCATATATTCTGACAATTTTCAAACGTCTTCCACCGGCCCAATCTGTCCTTCAAGAAGGCGAGCAACGGCCGCATCAACCCCCTCTTAGGGGTTGCGGCCGCCGCCACCAGCTCTAAGGAGTTCCCCCGTGCCGCGCGTACAGCGAGGGCATGGGGGCACAGGAGGTTTTGGCCGTAGACCACGACCACCTGTGTGTCGAAGGAGTTCAGCGCATTGGCTAGGAACTCCTTCGAGAGGCCTCGGAAGAAATGCTCTTGCTCCAACTAGTGAATGTATATATAAAAACACAAAAACGAATATATATTATATATGTATATATATATATGTAAAAAAATGGGAAATATGATATATATATATAAATACATATGTATACATAGACGCATACAACAAGAGAAACCAATGAACCCGAATGCAGTCACGTAGAACACGTTGATGAAACAAGTTATTTCAGCAGTCTTTTGAAGTGTAGAATGTAAAGTGTAAAGTGCGGAGTGTGAAATATAAAGTGCGGGGTGTAAAGCGTAAAGTGTGACGTGTGGGGTTGAAAGTGTAGAGTGTGAAGTGTGGAGTATCAAGTGTAAAGTGTGGAGTGTGGAGTGTAAAGTGCCAAGTGTGGAGTGCGGAGTGTAAAGTGTGAAGTGTAAAGTGTGAAGTGTAAAGTGTAAAGTGCGGAGTTGAAAGTGTAGAGTGTGAAGTGTAAAGTGTGGGGTGTAGAGTGTATAGTGGAGTGTGGAGTGTGAAGTGTTAAGTGTAGTGTGGAGTGTGACATGTAACGTTTTATTATTTGTAAAGTGTAGAGCGTCAAGTTTAGAGCGTAAAGTGTAAAGTGTGGAGTGTGGAGTGTAAAGTGTGTAGTGTAAAGTGTGGAGTGTGAAGCGTAAAGTGTAAAGTGTGGAGTGTAAAGTGTAGAGTGTGAAGTGTGGAGTATCAAGTGTAAAGTGTGGAGTGTGGAGTGTAAAGTGCCAAGTGTGGAGTGCGGAGTGTAAAGTGTGAAGTGTAAAGTGTGAAGTGTAAAGTGTAAAGTGCGGAGTTGAAAGTGTAGAGTGTGAAGTGTAAAGTGTGGGGTGTAGAGTGTAAAGTCTAGAGTGTGGAGTGTGGAGTGTGAAGTGTTAAGTGTAGTGTGGAGTGCGACATGTAATGTTTTATTATTTGTAAAGTGTAGAGCGTCAAGTTTAGAGCGTAAAGTGTAAAGTGTGGAGTGTGGAGTGTAAAGTGTGTAGTGTAAAGTGTGGAGTGTGAAGTGTAAAGTGTAAAGTGTGGAGTGTAAAGTGTAGAGTGTAGAGTGTTGTGTGTAAAGTGTAGAGTGTAAAGTGCAGAGTGTGGAATGTAAAGTGTCGAGTGTGGAGTGTTGAGTGCTGCGCCTGCCACGCAAAATGACGACAGAGATCTCCAAAATGCTGCGCGTGCCACGAAAACTGCAACTCACCTTGTGAAAACAACGCGAAGTATTGCGCCTGCCACACAAAACGACTTTCGACATCAAAACGAACATTTCGTGCGAGACTTCCGCCAATTTTGACACTTTGTAGCTTCAAAATCGATGTTTTCCTACGAGTTTTGCTTAGAACCTGAAAATTTGCAACCTCAAAATCGATGTTTCTTGTGCGAAGCTTCCGTCAAATTTCATCCCATCTCACAAAATGCCACGCCTACCACGGAATTTGCACCTTGTCGCCACTTGACGCAGCCCTGACAATGCGATTGGCAAAAAACACGCAACACGACACGTCTAAAGTGCCACGCAAAATGACGATGGACACGTCCGAAGTGCTGCGCCTGCCACACAAAATGGCGTTACAAAACACGTCTGAATGTCAAGAAGTGCCACACCTGCCACGCGAAACGAAGCAACGCAACGTTTGAAACCTCCAAAAGTGACCCCTTTTGCAGAGCTTACCATAGGCACGGCCATACGGGCTTCACACGGCCGCCCGCGAACGGTTGCACGGTTGCAGACGGTTGCGAACGGTTGCGGACGGTTGCGAACATAAACACAACGTCGAGCGAACACACCCTCAACCCCCCAACCCCCAGAGTGAAACGGGAACCCTTGCTACGCATTCGGGAATAAAACGTGGGAAAAATCACACAACAAATAATCCTCCTGTAGAAAATCCCCACATCCAGACATTTTATTCGTGGTTTCAAACCAGAAATATGAATGTACCATTTCTAATGTTGTAGAATGTATATCAGATTGTAGCAATCTAACTAATCTGACAGCGACTTCTTGTAGTCAAGAAGCACTGTGCACCATGGGATCCACCATGGCGAAGAGGAATAGCAGCTCACATGTGAACAGAACATTTGGAATTTTGCATGGATCTCACCACAGATACCACCCATTAGAACCAGAATTGCCTGCATGTCTGCGGCATTTCAAGATAGGATCGGCGTAACAGAGGCCATGTGTTCTTCTCCCGCCTCTGTAGAAGCCATACAGCGAGAAGGAGCACCCGTCTTGGCCTTCAGGCTTGGGCTTTGACATTAGAGACTCGCATCTTGTGAATCTGTCTTCTGTTTGTGTTGATGTTGGCAGGTTGTGAAACATGTGTACGATTCTTCCTGAAAGGGTTCTTGCAAAGAGCAGCTACACACCTGAAGACTGTTGATGATATCTATTTAGACGTCTGAGGATGTTGATGTGATTTTCTAGACACGTGAAGGTATTTGTAGCTTCTACGGATAGCTTGCGGGACAGAGCTTGCGACAACGACCATTCACATCGTTTCCAGGATCCAACACCTTTGACCAATGAAGCCGCCACATGACACAAAATTGTTTGACGAGCAGCCCCGCGTGTCACGCCACTTCACATCAAACAAGCAAAAGAGGAGCGCGATGAACCCTCTCATTACCGGTCTCTAGAAAGACTAGGGTAACTCATCGATGTTTCATTTCAACTGCAAGATCTCCGGTGAAAGTCTTGCAGCTTGCAGAAATCTTCTCGGATATGTCCTTGAAAGAAGATTTCAAGAAAAACTCATGTTCATCGATTTTTAAACTGCACTCTTGTGAAAGTCTTGTGGAATTCTTCTTGCATATGTCCTTGAAAGAAGACTATTGCTATGTTCAGAAAATGAAGCAGGTCCATGTTTTGAAAATGGGCTCCACACCAAGACCTGCCACTGCCATCTAAACAGGCAGCAGCTTGGTCTGGATGGCTCCTTGCATACACTGCTTTAACGACTCCCAAACCGAAACGTGTGCAAACATGTGTAAACAAAGCCTCTTCTGATTGGCGACGATGGGTTGCTATCACGGCAGCTGTGTCCCAAATCGCCTTTTGATCTGGAGGTCGCTCTGGAGCTCGCTGTTGAGGTCCGGTGCCGACGAAGATCTGGAGCTCGCGGTTGAGGTCCGGCAGTGACTACTGAGATCTGGAGCTCACGGTTAGGAGCTGGAGGACGAGGAGAAGGAGAAGGAGGAGGAGGAGGAAAAGGAGAAGGAGGAGAAGGAGGAGAAGGATGGGATGCACCTCTGATAAAATCTAGAGACCCTCACCTGGCAGGTGGGGAGAACAAACATTTCGATGAATAGCTGAGCAAATAAATAAGACATAATCCTTTCATAACCAACTATTCGCCACGTTTTTCCAGGTGAGTCATGGAAAAAAAACGCACATATATTCCATGAAATACTGGTTGGAAAATGTTGGAAAAGTCATCCGGTCAATCTAGGTAGGTTAATAACCTTGCATATTGACCAATCAATTCAAGGCGGTGCCCCCCCGGTCAGAAGTTGGTGAAGAAACCCATTAACTATAGATACATCATGATTTTTTCTATCTATATACCCTAAACTTAAACTATCTTCTTACTCCCTGTTGGAGGTTTAAGTCAACTGAGCAAGCGTGTTGGGGCTTATGTCCAATTACATCCCCCTTATCTACAGTTTTTCAGCATGTTAAACATGTTAAAACCTCAAAACGCCACTGGAAATGTTGATGCTTAAGTCATAAGTCCAATTTTCTGAAAATAATTCACTCTCAACAAGGCTATTTTCAATGGCTCCTGACCAGTCCTCAACACGGTCCCACGTTTTTCTTCGGCCAATGGTTCGGTGGTCACTGCCGGCGCCAACACTCCTCGGGAATTGCAGAATACCAATGGCCCAAAACTCGAAGAGTCCCAGGTATTGAAGGAGGGCAAGACTGGGTTTGATGTTTGAAGATGTTTGAAGCGTTTATTTTGTGTAATCCCCCCAAAAATGGAATCCCAATTACAGGATTTCCAGTGAAACTTCGGCATCTAGCACCAAAACGGAGACATGTACCAGGTTGGCCTCTCAGGTGGCAGAACATGACTGAGACATTTTCACCATACCCTCAACTTTGACATAGCTATGGAAAATGGCCCATAGAGATAGATGATAAAAATGATGAATTACCGATTAATAACGGTGTTTTTTTGATAGCTACGTTAAATAAACAAAGGGTCTGAATTTGGAGTACCCTCTGGTAATCAAACGGATCTTGCTGGAAAATACCATACAAATAGAGATTTTAGTGGGAACATATGGGAAGATCATCTATAAATGGTGGATTTTCCATTGCCTCCTTTGACTACCGGAAGGTACTTCCCATTTTTTTGTGACCCATCTTTCACGAGCCAAACTTTCCAGTCCCAGACCACAAGGGTTCGCCTGCCAGTTTGGTGGGTCTTTATGCAAATCTGGACTGAGACCCAAACGACCAGTACGTAAAACCTTTGCTCATCCCTTTTTGCTGGTCGGTTGGGGATGTTGATTGCTTTTCCTCATTAGATCTGTATCGGTTACAACTACATGATTTATATTATATAGTATAAGCCTAGTCGACATCGGTCAATAGGCCACTGCTCAAATGATTTGTTGCGACTCTACATGACTGCATCATGTTTTTGGTCCATTCCATTTCAATGAACTGTGTATCCAAAGCCGTTGAACTATCCCATGTTGGTTAGATCTAAGAAAGAGGACATATCCCCCAGGTAAGAAATTGATAATGGGCAAATTTGATTATATAACCAGTGATACCATCATTGATACCATGGGACACCCTATTTTCAGTCAAACCCAATGGCCTGCATCGAAATGCCCATTTAATTTATTAACTTATCCATACTTCTCAGGAGCTGCAATACCAGCCAACGAACCAGCATGTCCTGAAAAAAACACGCAACCAAAATGTTGCAAAACATGTTCCATGCTTGGCTTGTTGATTTGTTTTCGAGATAAGTTGAAATTGGGAGTTTCATGAATTGCTGGTTTGCTTGGTCGACCTAACTAATCCTGTCTCACAATCATATCCAAGAACCCCAATGTGTAGGTAAGTCATGCATAGATCCAAACCTCAACAAGCGTCTCCTTTTTGGGCTATTTAAGTGTATTTCAACATTCGGTGGTGGGCATGTATATCAATCTAATTCAATTTAACTCAATTTCTGGTTGTCATCGAATGGTCATCCTACCCCATGTTTTGTTGGTTCTACCGCCATAAAAAAAAGCTCCAGTTCCCTCCCAATTTTGGCGTGGTGAACCCCCCCATCCTTTGGCTTTGGGCATGGGAGCCCAGTGGGGCCAACCCCCAGAGCGAAGATCTTCCAACAAGGAGACCTTGGCTAAGACTTGGGGAACCAAAACCACTGAAAGCAGCGGATTTCAACCAAGAAAAATGAGACTTCACCAACAAACATCGGGATCTGACTCATATAACAAGCAACACACATGAAGTGGACTAGCAACGACTGAGAATCAACCAGCGCAATTCGCTCCATTTTTGATCTCCCTTTGGAAGACAACTCTTTGGATGGGAGTAACCCCTTATTCATCGAACCATCGGGAAAAGAACACTAATATGTCAATGCATACTGAGCCGTTGCGTTCCAAGTTAAGTCAAACTATTTTTACAGTCGTTGCGTCAGCCGCAACGCGGCTTGGTTGTATTGACGTCCCAAGCAGAAGGGAATTGACCACTGCCAACAACGACAGCGCAGCATGTAGCGGCCACTATACATGCTTGGAATATAAAGAACAAGAACAAACACAATCAAACACATCTAGCAAGAAAATGCAAGAGACACCCATCCTCTACACTCAGACCTTCATATCATTATCAACCCACAAAAATCATGGCCCAGCAGCTGCAACGACAAAAACAAATTTGAAATCAACTTGGAATTCCGAAAAAATGAAGATTCAACCCCCGACCCCCCAACCCCCCAACCCTGGTTGGGAGCTCCCGACGGCCCGTTGGCTTTCGTACAGCACCAGGTCACCTCCAGCCAGGGCCTAGCTGGGCAGTCACCTCCCATGGCCATTGAAAAAAAGCAAAAATTTAATGGGTTAAATCAGCTATTTCTATGGCCATTTTCACTAGCTATGTTAAATTTACCAGAGGGTAATCTACCACCGTTTCAGATATTTGCTTGACTTTGGATCTATTTTTGGGTGTGCCGATAGAAAATTGAGGATCGTTAAGGCTGTGCCATTTACTGGTTGAAATAACCCTACAAACACAGTGGGTGATCTTCCAAGTACAGTTAACAAAAACCTAAGGAAAAATCCATGGTTTGCGGAACAAGGAATCTGTCACAACGCTGGGTTTATATTGGTTTTCCGTCTGAATTCACGGCAAAGAATAATACAGAATATGCACGCAATGTATGACACCTAGAAGAACCCTTAGGCACTTTTTTCTGCCCTCGGCGCCTAGGCAGCCGCATAGGCACTTTCACTCGGAAGTTTGCAAAACTCAGCAGATTTTCTCAAGATGTTTTTTGTTTTCCGACATCATTTTGTGCCTAGCCCGGAAGTTAGGCGGAAAAACCCGGAATCTAGGCGGAAAAAAGCGGAATTAGGCGGAATTTTGTTTGACACATTTTTCTGCACTGAACAACATGACAAGACCATACACAAATTTGTCAGGCTCGGCATTTTTTTGGGGCCTAGGCATTTATTCTGGGAATCGGCAGAAATAAATGCCTACAGGCAGATTAGGCATTTTTTTCTGCCTAGAGGAGTTTGTAGGTATGAAACCTATATGGTGGTTTCCTAAAATGGGGGTACCCGCAAATCATCCATTTTATGTTCGGATTTGTCCATGCAAGAAACCATCCAGCCATTGGGGTAGAGTAGAGTAGAGTCTCGAGTAGAGTAGAGTCTCGAGTAGAGTAGAGCAGAGCAGAGCAGAGCAGAGCAGAGTAGAGTAGAGCAGAATAAAATGGAATAGAGGTAGGGTAGGGTAAGGCCAAGGTGCTTCGAGGCCGCGGGTCTATGTGGTCCGTGTGACCACATGTCCATCCACTTGGCATCAAACCATCCTTTCTTTGGAGTTGATCAATCCACTAGCGAAGTGGTGCTTTGCTGGACCCATTAATGGTGCCAATCACTGCCTCCTCCCGCACTTTGCACGGGCTTGTCACAGCCTTTTCACATCACTCTTGTTCCAAACTCGTCAAAACAAGCCGTTTTTTGCTCCGTTTTGCAGTAACCACTGTAACCACCCCAAAAAAAATAGCAAAAAAGAACAAATATAGTTACCACTTTAGTAATTTTACGTGTAAAAAATCACTGACAACTACCAATGCTGGCATTTTTGCAAGGACCAAATGTGGAAGGTCGACTCCGATCGAATTTTGCTTTGGTCTACGTCTCCATTGGGTATGGTCATGGAAGTCTAAGGTTCATTATCTAGTTTAACCATCTATTATTTATCATATCTATTACATCTATTATATTTACTATATCTCTTATATCTATTGTATCATATTGTATCCATTATATCTATTACATCTATATCTCTATTATAATATCTATTGTCTATCTTGGCCCTTCCCCACATGATAACCCAAGAGTGGAAGCTTTTCATCGATATGTTGGGGGTGCCTGACTGGCGTTACCCTTAGATTTCTGCAATGTGGTCTTCCCAGCTACAAGTTGGTTTAAACGTCCAATTGTGAGGATATGTCTGATTACCATAGCTGCCATAGCTAGCCTAGTTACCAATTGTAGACCAACTTACGTATCACGAATAACAAAAACACACACATGTGATTAACACATACATCCAACTAACACTTAATACATACATCCAACTAATACAAGAAAACGCGAGACGTGGAATTTATGATTGATATGCAGCTCTCAAAAAGGTCTCTGAGAGGTGAAATCCCAAGGGTGCCTTATTGTTGGAGAGATTTCACCATAGAAAAATAGGGGCCCCATATCCCAAAATATGGGGGTTAAACAAACCATGGTTATAAAATGTTATAAATTTGGTTATAGCCCATGAATTACATTCACGAAATATCCCACTCATAGCCATTGTTTACTTACTCCCTATTACTGTTGGTTTATATCCCATCAAATACCATGGTTATAGTTTTATGTTTGTTACACCAGTAGCAGTTTCAATAAAACCATAGCTGGTTGGTGGTTTGACAACTCCTCTGAAAAATGTGAGTTCGTCAGTTGGGTTGATGATTATTCCCAATATGATGGGAAAGTCGTAAAATTCCATGGTTCCAAACCACCAACCAGATAGTTCTCCGGTTATACCCCATGTTATGGGAGCCATCAAATACCACGCTTCCCCATTTTTGATTCACCTTTGACCTGCAGCCCCGACCAAAACACCTGGTCGATGAGGGAAGCCATGGCACCTGGATGACGAAGAGGTAGTGAATCACCTAGATATATAGATCTGTATACATCTGTACAACAATCCAGATATATATATATATTATATATATATATTAGTATGGTTTCGTATAGATAAAGGTAATGAATCTTAATAGGTCCTTAGGCATTCTAATCTATAAATATCTATAATCCATAGTAATGTGGGGAAGCAAAATGCCAGAAACCCATCCTGAAATGACCATCCGAAATCATCAGAACTGCACAATGATTTTTCATGTGAACTTTCAGGGATGTCAACAAAAAATGTGGTGAACTCTCGATACTCTGACAAGAATGGCCATTGAATAGTAGACATAAATATCATAAATCACAGGCATGCGCAATCATCAAGCCTCATGGCTGATCACATGGTCAAGACATATACTTCTGGCATCATCCAACCCGCAGCGAACACGCCTATGTCGGGAATCGAAAAGGTCGTATTGACAAAAGCAGTCCTGGCAAAAAAGCGATCAGCGATCTTTGTTTTCGAAGTCTTAGAGTTGGGTAGGAGCCCCTTAATCTGAAGTTGGGCTATACCATATCTTGGTCCCTTGGTTTCAGAATGTACTATATAAATATATATATATATATATGTGCGTTTATTTATTTATTACATATGTTATTTTGTCTCCACTTCATCGAAATTCAGCTTCTCCTAGGTCCAGTCCATGTCCCAAGCTTCAGTGCAATGGGGTGCAGCCGAAGTGGGACAGTTCAGAGGCCACATGCCACATGCCAAAAACATCCGTAAGCATCCATCAACCAGAAGCTGCTGCAATATACCTACCAGTAGATCTTCCAATTCCCTATAGAAATTGGTAGTACTAAATTCATGGGTATTTGATACCCATAGTTTTATGGGTACGACTGGAGACTATATGGTGTATAGAACAATATGTATATATAATATGTATATATGTATATAGTGCCGGACATATACTTAGAACATTGGTTTTGGAATTCCAAAACATGTTCTAAGTAGAGATCCTGGACCACTACTTAGAACATATATGTTCACGGGATGTTCTAAGTAGAGGTTTTGGGGGTTCCCCCATGTTCTAAGTAAGAATCTCCCCAGCTATCTACGTGCATTTTTGGAAAATCCTGTGTATATATAATATATTTTTAATATTGTAGTTGTCCGGCACTATATATTCATATAATAAAAACTTTCCAAACCTGATGTTCGAATTGTAGCCTCTCACCTAGAGCATCCGGATCCATTCGCTCATTTTGTTCAGCTCAATATATGTACCTATTTATCTCGAATCTCGTCCCGCTGTAGGCTTTGGACCATTCCAACCGCTCAATCGGTCATAAAAATTTCAATATACCTCAATATAGACATCTCCATGTATCTTAACGCAACATCACACCACCTGTATATATAATATAAATATGCAATGTTAAGTTGTATGTATGTATACATATACATATATTTACATGTATATATGATGGCATGTTCTAAGTAGAGGATCCTCATATGTTCTAAGTCACTTAGAACATACGTCCCCCTATTCGCCGAAAATGTTCTAAGTAGAGCGCGCGTACCCACCGAAAAATTTCCAAAACGATGTTCTAAGTAGTTGTCCGGCGCTATATATTATATATTATATATGTATAAATATGTATATAAATACCAGGTACCAAGTTCATCCAAATTCAAGAACTCCCCCAAAATCCCCACAGGGGAAATCCCTGACAATTCAACTGAAACTCCAATGACTCATTTGACCCGCCACTTAGTGATAATTAACAATTAATTAAGGGGAAATACGAGTCATGGGGATATTCTGGGTGATCGATAGCTTTCAGGAACAACCAAACTATATGATTTCGAGTTCTTCACTTTCCAACTCCATGCGTACCCGCCCTGCAGCCACTCTGTTTTTATCGGAGCCCTTTTGTGGCGTTTGACTCCACAAAGAGGGGCACAGAAAGTACAGAAACATACAGAAACCCAAATTTCTTGGGTTGGGAAACCAACCTCAAAAGTATCATATACAACTGGTTGGTGGTTTTAACCATCTTGAAAAATATGAAAGTCAATGGGAAGGATTATCCCATATATTCTGGAAAATAGAATTCATGTTCCGAAGCACCAACCAGAATATCATCACCAGCATTAATGGAGAGAAATCACCTCAATCCAGGATCAATCCATCCGATCCAATGCCCTCTTCACATGTTCATCTCCACATCAGCAATGATCAGCGCTGGCCCCGCTTGTCAGTTGAGATAGTCCATGGCCGGATCTGCCATCACTTCAACTCCCGTGAAGAATGTGCGAACCGAGACGGGCTCCAGCAAAATCATGTGCTGCCTGACGTGGGTTTGACATGGTTTTATGTCCAAAGAACATGAAGTGGTAGCATTGCTACCTGAAAACAACCAATGGTTGAGAAAATAAAGTGCTAGCCCGCAATCCAATGGTTGATCATGGTTGATCATGGTTGATTATTTCTGGACAAACTTGGCAATCTAACTGGCTTGGTCGGAAACTAGGATATCCCTATAAATTTAACTGTTGATCCTCACTTTCCCCACGATTCAATAGCGTTTTTGGGATACTTGCTAATCTGTTGAGAGAATCCCCTTGCCACAGTTCGTACCTGACATCAATTGTACAACATGTGGTTGGGAAACTCTGATATAGTAGCTCCAACTGGCTCCAACTGGCTCCCCTAGTTAGCTTTTGTTGGGAAACTCTGGGTCGGAGATCACTTCTTTCACCGAGGATCTCCAATCAGGATCTCTCTCCGGAAATGGTCGCGCAGAAGTGAGGTCAACCATACGCCAACTATACGCCGTTCAAGCTTTGAAGAAGTTCCGGGATATGTGCCTTGGACAAAACTCGCCATGGACTCATAGGGGTTACAGGAACCGACTGGCAGTTAGAATGTGGATTTTTTTGTAAAATAGATAGAATTTGCTAAAATCATTAAAAAAAAATCTTATAGTTAGAATATGGGATTTTGGAAAAAACCAACTGCAGTTAGAATATCCCGAACCATCCAAAACCTTGTTCACCGACTTCCCTTCCAGTTGTTTACAGTATTTTTCTTCCTGCGATCGATGCCTTTGATTTCATGATGTGCTGTACAATGCGTGTAGTGTATTGCCCCATATTGTACTGTGCATTGCATCGTGTGCACGCACTCCAAAGTGCACAGCCAAGGCATACTGATACGGTAAACCATAACAATAACCATTGGGATTGAATAAATTCAATGATTTGTTGTGTAAAAGTTGCTGTGTGTAAAAGCTTATTTATGTTTTGCTCCCAACCTTCGTGCAAACCAGTGGTATTGAACAAATACGTGCTGATGTTTGGGTTGCACCACATGGGTTGCATTGTCTCAGTTTGTATACTGTCAGGTTGTTTGGTTGCAATTGGCTGCTTGAAGTATGGCAGTGAGATGGAGCGAACCTGCATCAATTCCCATATTCTAACTGCATGACATTCTTCCAACCTTGATGCAAACCCGTAGTATTGGACAAGCAATGTTGATATTTGGGTTGCTCCACATGAGTTGCGTTGGCACAGTTTCGCACAACTTGTATACTGGCAGGTTGTTTGGTTGAAATTGCCTGCTTAGAAATAAAGTTGTGAGATGGTGCGCACCTGCATTACTTCCCATATTCTAAGTGCACGTTTTTCTCCCAACCTTCGTGCAAACCAGTGGTATTGAACAAATACGTGCTGATGTTCGGGTTGCACCACATGGGCACATGGGTTGCATTGTCTCAGTTTGTATACTGTCAGGTTGTTTGGTTGCAATTGCCTGCTTGAAGTATGGCAGTGAGATGGAGCGAACCTGCATCAATTCCCATATTCTAACTGCATGACTTTCTTCCAACCTTGATGCAAACCCGTAGTATTGGACAAGCAAATGCTGATGTTAGGGTTTCACCACATGGGTTGCATTGTCACAGTTTGTATACTGGTACTTGTAGGTTGTTAGGTTGCAATTGCTTGCTTAAAGTCAAGCAGTGATATGGAGCGAACCTGCATCAATTCCCATATTCTAACTGCATGACTTTCTTCCAACCTTGATGAAAACACGTAGTATTGGACAAGCAAATGTTGATGTTTGGGTTTCACCACATGGGTTGCATTGTCACAGTTTGTATACTGGTACTTGTAGGTTGTTAGGTTGCAATTGCCTGCTTGAAGTATGGCAGTGAGATGGAGCGAACCTGCATCAATTCCCATATTCTAACTGCATGACTTTCTTCCAACCTTGATGCAAACCCGTAGTATTGGACAAGCAAATGTTGATGTTTGGGTTTCACCACATGGGTTGCATTGTCACAGTTTGTATACTGTCAGGTTGTTTGGTTGCAAATGCTTGCTTAAGGCAGTGAGATGGAGCGAACCTGCATCAATTCCCATATTCTAACTGCATGACTTTCTTCCAACCTTGATGCAAACCCGTAGTATTGGACAAGCAATGTTGATATTTGGGTTGCTCCACATGGGTTGCGTTGGCACAGTTTCGCACAACTTGTATACTGGCAGGTTGTTTGGTTGAAATTGCCTGCTTAGAAACAAAGTTGTGAGATGGTGCGAACCTGAATTCATTCCCATATTCTAACTGCATGTTTTTCTCCCAACCTTCGTGCAAACCAGTGGTATTGAACAAATACATGCTGATGTGTGGGTTGCACCACATGGGTTGCATAGTCTCAGTTTGTATACTGTCAGGTTGTTTGGTTGCAATTGCCTGCTTGAAGTATAGCAGTGAGATGGAGCGAACCTGCATCAATTCCCATATTCTAACTGCATGACTTTCTTCCAACCTTGATGCAAACCCGTAGTATTGGATAAGCAATGTTGATATCTGGGTTGCTCCACATGGGTTGCGTTGGCACAGTTTCGCACAACTTGTATACTGGCAGGTTGTTTGGTTGAAATTGCCTGCTTAGAAACAAAGTTGTGAGATGGTGCGAACCTGCATTCATTCCCATATTCTAATTGCACGTTTTTCTCCCAACCTTCGTGCAAACCAGTGGTATTGAACAAATACGTGCTGATGTTTGGGTTGCACCACATGGGTTTCATTGTCTCAGTTTGTATGCTGTCAGGTTGTTTGGTTGCAATTGCCTGCTTGAAGTATGGCATTGCAAGCTTAAAGTATAGCAGTGAGATGGAGCGAACCTGCATCAATTCCCATATTCTAACTGCATGACTTTCTTCCAACCTTGATGCAAACCCGTAGTATTGGACAAGCAATGTTGATATTTGGGTTGCTCCACATGGGTTGCGTTGGCACAGTTTCGCACAACTTGTATACTGGCAGGTTGTTTGGTTGAAATTGCTTGCTTAGAAATAAAGTTGTGAGATGGTGCGAACCTGCATTCATTCCCATATTCTAATTGCACGTTTTTCTCCCAACCTTCGTGCAAACCAGTGGTATTGAACAAATACGTGCTGATGTTTGGGTTGCACCACATGGGCACATGGGTTGCATTGTCTCAGTTTGTATACTGTCAGGTTGTTTGGTTGCAATTGCCTGCTTGAAGTATGGCAGTGAGATGGAGCGAACCTGCATCAATTCCCATATTCTAACTGCATGACTTTCTTCCAACCTTGATGCAAACCCGTAGTATTGGACAAGCAATGTTGATATTTGGGTTGCTCCACATGGGTTGTGTTGGCACAGTTTCGCACAACTTGTATACTGGCAGGTTGTTTGGTTGTGCCTGCTTTAAAGTTGTGAGATGGTGCGAACCTGCATTCATTCCCATATTCTAATTGCACGTTTTTCTCCCAACCTTCGTGCAAACCAGTGGTATTGAACAAATACGTGCTGATGTTGGGTTGCACCACATGGGTTGCATTGTCTCAGTTTGTATACTGTCAGGTTGTTTGGTTGCAATTGCCTGCTTGAAGTATGGCAGTGAGATGGAGCGAACCTGCATCAATTCCCATATTCTAACTGCATGACTTTCTTCCAACCTTGATGCAAACCCGTAGTATTGGACAAGCAATGTTGATTTGGGTTCTCCACATGGGTTGCGTTGGCACAGTTTCTTGTATACTGGCAGGTTGTTTGGTTGAAACTGCATGGTGCGGCATTCTTCCCATATTCTAATTGCACGTTTTTCTCCCAACCTTCGTGCAAACCAGTGGTATTGAACGTGCTGATGTTCGGGTTGCACCACATGGGCACATGGGTTGCATTGTCTCAGTTTGTATACTGTCAGGTTGTTTGGTTGCAATTGCCTGCTTGAAGTATGGCAGTGAGATGGAGCGAACCTGCATCAATTCCCATATTCTAACTGCATGACTTTCTTCCAACCTTGATGCAAACCCGTAGTATTGGACAAGCAAATGCTGATGTTAGGGTTTCACCACATGGGTTGCATTGTCACAGTTTGTATACTGGTACTTGTAGGTTGTTAGGTTGCAATTGCTTGCTTAAAGTCAAGCAGTGATATGGAGCGAACCTGCATCAATTCCCATATTCTAACTGCATGACTTTCTTCCAACCTTGATGAAAACACGTAGTATTGGACAAGCAAATGTTGATGTTTGGGTTTCACCACATGGGTTGCATTGTCACAGTTTGTATACTGGTACTTGTAGGTTGTTAGGTTGCAATTGCCTGCTTGAAGTATGGCAGTGAGATGGAGCGAACCTGCATCAATTCCCATATTCTAACTGCATGACTTTCTTCCAACCTTGATGCAAACCCGTAGTATTGGACAAGCAAATGTTGATGTTTGGGTTTCACCACATGGGTTGCATTGTCACAGTTTGTATACTGTCAGGTTGTTTGGTTGCAAATGCCTGCTTAAAGTATAGCAGTGAGATGGAGCGAACCTGCATCAATTCCCATATTCTAACTGCATGACTTTCTTCCAACCTTGATGCAAACCCGTAGTATTGGACAAGCAATGTTGATATTTGGGTTGCTCCACATGGGTTGCGTTGGCACAGTTTCGCACAACTTGTATACTGGCAGGTTGTTTGGTTGAAATTGCCTGCTTAGAAACAAAGTTGTGAGATGGTGCGAACCTGAATTCATTCCCATATTCTAACTGCATGTTTTTCTCCCAACCTTCGTGCAAACCAGTGGTATTGAACAAATACATGCTGATGTGTGGGTTGCACCACATGGGTTGCATAGTCTCAGTTTGTATACTGTCAGGTTGTTTGGTTGCAATTGCCTGCTTGAAGTATAGCAGTGAGATGGAGCGAACCTGCATCAATTCCCATATTCTAACTGCATGACTTTCTTCCAACCTTGATGCAAACCCGTAGTATTGGATAAGCAATGTTGATATCTGGGTTGCTCCACATGGGTTGCGTTGGCACAGTTTCGCACAACTTGTATACTGGCAGGTTGTTTGGTTGAAATTGCCTGCTTAGAAACAAAGTTGTGAGATGGTGCGAACCTGCATTCATTCCCATATTCTAATTGCACGTTTTTCTCCCAACCTTCGTGCAAACCAGTGGTATTGAACAAATACGTGCTGATGTTTGGGTTGCACCACATGGGACTTTCTTCCATTGTCTCAGCTCCACATTTGTATCGCACAACTGTCAGGTTGTTGAGATGGTTGCATTCATTCCCATATTCTAATTGCACGTTTTTCTCCCAACCTTCGTGCAGTGGTATTGAACAAATACGTGCTGATGTTTGGGTTGCACCACATGGGCACATGTTGCATTGCTTAAAGTATAGCAGTGAGATGGAGCGAACCTGCATCAATTCCCATATTCTAACTGCATGACTTTCTTCCAACCTTGATGCAAACCCGTAGTATTGGACAAGCAATGTTGATATTTGGGTTGCTCCACATGGGTTGTGTTGGCACAGTTTCGCACAACTTGTATACTGGCAGGTTGTTTGGTTGTAACTGCCTGCTTAAAAATAAAGCTGTGCGATGGTGCGCACCTGCATTCATTCCCATATTCTAACTGCATGAATTTCTTCCAACCTTCGTGCAAACCAATGCTATTAAACAAATACGTGTTGATGTTTGGGTTACACCACATGGGTTGCAGTGTCACAGTTTGAATAGCGGTAGGTTGTTTCGTTGTATCTGCCTGCTTGAAGTATAGCAGTGAAATGGTATGAACCTCCATTATTACCCGCATTCCACCTGCATGATTGTCTTCCAACCTTTTGCACACTAATGGTATTGGACAAACTAGTGTGTATGTTTGGGTTGCTCCACATGGGTTGTGTTGGCACAGTTTCGCACAACTTGTATACTGGCAGGTTGTTTGGTTGTAACTGCCTGCTTAAAAATAAAGCTGTGAGATGGTGCGCACCTGCATTCATTCCCATATTCTAACTGCATGAATTTCTTCCAACCTTCGTGCAAACCAATGCTATTAAACAAATACGTGTTGATGTTTGGGTTACACCACATGGGTTGCATTGCCACAGTTTGAATAGCGGTAGGTTGTTTCGTTGTATCTGCCTGCTTGAAGTATAGCAGTGAAATGGTATGAACCACATAATTACCCGCATTCCACCTGCATGATTGTCTTCCAACCTTTTGCAACCTAATGGTATTGTACAAACTATATAGTGTGTATGTTTGGGTTGGACCACATGGGTTGCATTGTCACAACTTGATACAATTTGCATACTGGCAGGTTGTTTGGTTGTAACTGCCTGCTTTAAAAAAAAGCTGTGAGATGGTGCGCACCTGCATTACTTCCCATATTCTAAGTGCACGTTTTTCTCCCAACCTTCGTGCGAACCAGTGGTATTGAACAAATACGTGTTGATGTTTGGGTTGCACCACATGGGTTGCATTGTCTCAGTTTGTATACTGTCAGGTTGTTTGGTTGCAATTGCCTGCTTGAAGTATGGCAGTGAGATGGTGCGAACTGCGAACCTGCATTCATTCCCATATTCTAACTGCATGACTTTCGTCCAACCTTCGTGCAAACCAGTGATATTGGACAAACTATTGTTCATATGTATCAGGTTACTCTGTGTGTGCGCGTTACCCGTATTGTACTGTGCGTTGCATCATGCGCACACACCCGAAAGTGCACACGTGTTGATGGATGGGTTGCATCCAAAGGTGTTTTTTTCTTCGGAAAATACATTTGTTATATATTGGTCGTTTATCATAATTGTTCATATAGTTGTTTATCTGCAAAGCATTGAGACTGATAGATGTTTCTTATGGTTAGTTTCTATATTCTATCTGCATCAGTTTCTCCCAGCCACATTGCAAACTAGTGATATTGTACAAACTAACCTTCAAATGCATGAGGTTTCTGACACATACCGGCCGATGCTAAAATGTTCATTCATTTTGTGTATAATCCTATACTGTACAATATATATATATACATACATATATATATGTTGCTTATTTATATTCTAACTATTGTTGTATTTTTGGAATTCTAACTGCATTTTCCCCGGGGACGAAATTGGTATGGATGCTATTATCTGGACGTCAATCCATATCCATGGATTCCTTTGGATCATATTCTAACTGCCGGTCGGCTATAGTACACAGAACCTGGGGGATGAACTTCTGCTGTGGGTGAAGGTAAGGATGGAAATAAATGTCCACTGATGTCCACTGGTTTATGGTTTAGCATCAGCAGTTGATACTTGCCTCAGTGGTTTCAAACATGTTTACAACTGAAACAATGATAAACAATGTACTTGTCACTTGTCCAGTTGAGGAACAATGAACAAGGAACCACATATCCCCTTCGTCTGCCTTGATCATCCGGAGTTTCCAACACAAAGACCATGGTCTCCGCCAGTTAAATTGAAGTTGAGGAGTGGAGGATCTGTGAGCTAAACCATTGGGTTTTCATGCTAAATTGATGTGCTTGAAAATGGTGGACCCCCGAATTGTTCATTTTGCATGGAGAAACCAATGGTTTTTTGGGGTACCCCAACTTTAAGAAACACCCAAATGTCCATGATTGTAAAATTTGTAAATGGCTATGAGTCAAAGCCCTGGTACTCTAGGTACCCTATAATGGCTGGTTTACGGATGTTTATTCCCCAAAAATGGTAAGGATAGGTTTTGACCCATCCCCAAATCTAGATCCTTCTGAGCCATCAAAGAACGCTCCTTCCCAGCATGAGTCAGGCATGATTCAGGCTATGGCGGCTCCAAGATCATACTCCATGAAACGTGGCTCCATACCAATGTCTATCTTCTTACATAGCTCATCATACTGTGGCTGCGAAATCCTTTACCAGTTGGTAGGTGGTTAATCCCATGAGTTTCTTGGGGTTTCAACCATCCCAAATCGGTGGTTTATCGGATTTCACATCCACCGTAGCTCCAACAGTGCCCGGCTGAGGGCGATCTGTACTGGATTTTTCTCCAATGTTCATGGCATTCCTCCTTAGCACCACCAAAAACACTCAAAGACCTTCTCAGAAGTGTTTTCGTCTGAAACTTTTTAATCCCCCCCAAAATCTCGTGGTAAACAATCCTTTCGCACCGTATGTTCCCATTGTTTTCCCCATTTCAATGGCAACAAAAAGTGTCGATTCCCCGCACCGCCATGGCTTTTTTGCCGTGGTGCCGGGTCGATTTCAGATTCCGATGCGGCCACCTTGGCAGTGGAAATACGACCATGTCTGAACGTCTGAACCCACCAACTCTCATTTACCCCAATACCCTCTGGTAATTTAACATAGCTATGGAACATCACCATTTTTAATGGGAAAATCCACTATAAATGGCAATTTTCAATAGCTATGTTAGTTCACCAGAGGGTACCCCAATATCATCCAATATCTGCAGTATATTGACTGGTTGATGGTTTCAACCCCTCTGAAAAATATGACTTCGTCAGATTGGATCATCATCCCAACTATTGGGGAAAATAAAAAATTTTCCAAACCACCAACCAGTTGATCAATGTAATGACCATCCCAATATTTCAACTTACCAATGATGCTGTCAAGTGAAAATTGTTGATGGTTTTCAGCTAGGCCAATATTACCTGGACCCGAAGTTTAACCCCAAACTTGCGATTATTATTTGTTCCTTTCTATTCATTTTCAGTATGCCCTATAGTACTCCCCGAAACGATAGAACAACAATTCATAACTTTTCAGAAAAATAAACTTGTTTATCTTTCTTGAAGGCTTGCCATTTAAACTTTTTTATTTTTTCGATTTCGCCGCTTCCTCCAGGAGCCCGTCTGGCCAAAACACCGGCAGAGGCCTTAAGGTCCTGCCGCCGATGTGTTTGAATTTGAAGGATGCCCAGGCGAAGGCCTCAAAGGGAAAACACGTCGTGCGAACGGGATGTTGTTTCAAACATATCATGGGGAGATTATAGGGATATGATAAGATAACCACCTCAATATATCTTAATACATAACTGGATAAATATAATAATAAAATGTAATATGATATAATATGATATAATATTGTAATATGATATGATATAATATAATATATTATAACAATATGATATAATACAATATATTATAACAATATGATATAATATAATATATTATAACAATATGATATAATATAATATAATATGATATAATATAATATAATATACATGGATTAATATATACTGTGTGTCAATGTTGAAGTTTACCTCCGCGGACAATGTTGATGTCTGGGTTGGTTAAACATGGACATTGTATATAATGTTGATGTTTAACCCCTGTGAAGAAAGTAATGGACTCCAGAAGTGCAATGTCACCGTGAATACCGCAATGATTTCCAATTTCCAAAAGTGTAGCGCCCTTGTCAGCGATTTTGGAACTGACAAGTATTCAGTAACATCAATCAAAAAACCCTATTTGCAAGTATTTGCACCCTTTATGTGAGAATTTACGAGCAAAACATGGGACCTTAAATGTGTGTGGGAGATTTGCTACTCTTAGTAGTTCATGGTGCTCATGTTATCTGGTTGGAGGTAAAACAACCCTCTGAAAAATATGAGTTGGGATTGATTATATATGATTATATATTCCCAACTGAATGGAAAGTCATAAAATTGCATGGTTCCAAACCACCAACCAGTCAGGTTAGTACATATGAAGCTTTCTCAGAATGGGAGATTTCCCAAAACCCATGGCTAAAGCCATGTGTCTTGTACGGATTGATGTATTTATTCAATGCACAAAAACTGGTACGTGAACTCAGTGCCACGGACCCAACATGACCCAACAACCCCAGGCACAGGTTCATCCCCTACCACCCCAGATACCCGGCCTGGTTATGTCAAAAGAACTCAATTGAAAATGGCACATAGCAATAGTTGATTAAAGTTGTGATTTTCCAGTTCGCAAACTGTTAGTTTACCAGAGGCTGTTTTTATTGTGTTTAACCAGCCTGGTCATCCGGATGCCAACCTAACACTCCTCCCATCGTGTCATTTCTTGCCAAGATTGAGTTGGAGGGGAGCTAGAGTACAACACCTGCTCTTGTCCATAACAAATATATGCATCGTTGAATGAGAACAGAACGAAATCCTTGGGAAAATATGTGTGAAATGTGATTCATCGTGATGTTGCATGAGTTTTAAGCAGAAAAAACGTCCCAAATCAAGAGTCGGCAGCAGTTAAAAGATTGAAAAGTTTGCCGCACTACGTGCGCCAAGGGTAAATGCCGACATTGATGAGCAAACATCGACATTACACACGTGTGTAGGCAAACGTAGGTAAACATCGACATTGGACATCCAGGGCTATTATATAATATTATATACATATACCTATGTGAATCTATGTGATATGGATTCGTCCAAAATGTGGGATTTATCCCCAACTTCTGGCAACTTTAACATGATGATCAACCGTCAAGATTTGGGCACCGCGGGCATCATCCCGTGGATCAGAAGCTGATAGAAATCATGAGATTGTTCAGCCCCCAATAAGCGAAGTTATCCCAGTCAGATTCGGGTACAATCATACTTCCAAAGAAAATACTTGGTCTGGCGAGATTATTTCAACAATGGGGATTACAACCGATAAACATCGGTGATGATGATGATGATGATGATGGTGATGCCGATGACGATAACGATGACAATGATGATGGTGATGATGAGGATGAGGATGACGATGATGATGACGCTGGATTATGTTAAATTATCATTGTATAGTTATCGAGAGCCCGTCTGATCTGCCATGCCAGTGATATTCTTGATACCCACTCGGCTAAAAACAAATTGCCAACGGTTACTGATGAGGCTGCTAGCTTATACCCAAAGCTATGGGTCCAAATCCAAACGTGACCAGCTCTCATATATTCATATCACATCATCACGCATGCCCATCATGTAAGGACTGCCCAAATCCCATTCCTCCCGTGGCATGGGCCGAGGCACGACAATGCAGGCGATGTTAACCAAATAGAGATACACCGAGAATTCCCCGATCCTTAGCTAAGTTGTTTGAACAAGTAGCTTAACGAGTGGGTTTATGGTAGATACCTAGACTCTCCAACTACCTGTGAAAATGCATAACAGATGGTAAACAGCTACTCAAATAGACTAAAATATACTAAAATCATAGGATAACATACCAATCTCTTTAACGGCTACAGCCCCTAGAGAGTCCAAACGCGCCGACGCCAAAGAGCTCGGAAAGCAGGAAGCCCGCGCGGTTGTGCATCTCTGGGAAGTAGAGTTGCAACGCCCACCTATTTTGTTTGGCCCGTTGATCTGTGTAGGTTAAGCTATAGAAACAAAGATATCATATAGATTCTAAAGATGTTTATAGGGCGAAAAATGATGTTGTTAGATTCTATAGATGTTTATAGATTCTATGTTTATAGATGTTGTCTCCAACCCGGAGGTTCACTCACCACTTATCTTCTTTGGGGAGCAAATCTCCGGGCCTCTCTGTACAATATATTGCATGGGATATCAACTTCAACTTATCTTCATAAGGGATCAAATCCGCCATCCCTTCTGAAGTCTGAAGAATATATTGAACGGGATTTGCATTATACACATACATACATGTTTACCTGCATAGACATATGGAAATATGCAACCATTCCACAACATTAGGGCGGGCAAACGTCAGGGTTGCAGCGTAGATGTTTATGGGGTTTTATATATATATGTGTGTGGTTGTATTGGCTATATATATATAGTTATATTAGTATATATATATATAGTTATATTAGTATATATATATAAGTTATATTAGTATATATACTAAATAGTTACAGAATGTTACATACATATATTTTACATATAACTATGATATGTATATATATATATACACACACTATTGTAATAGTATATATATATATATTATGTATATATATATATATGTATATATATATGTATATATATATATATAGATACACGAACCAGATCAAACCAGCTCAACATCCCCCGTAAGTTCGTGGGTTTCGCATTCGTCAGGGCACATCATCCCCGCGTTCACCAAAGGTGGCAGCAGAGAGGTGGAGATGCAGACCCCGATCAGGGCACTGGCAATACCAGAGCCCTGGCCTTCGTGCAGATGAGGATGGAGCTGGTTGCCATGTTTTTTTTTGGGGGGGGCTATGAGTTTGGGGTGAGATGAAATGAGAAGGGAAAATATGAGGTGAAACTCTAGTTTGTTGTTTTTGGCGGACATCTATGGACTGGAGGATTGAAAAAAGGTTGACTTTAGACTTTACGCGGACCTTTTGGTATCATCTCAGCATCGAATCCACTCCGCTCAAAGTGGTTGGCTTCAACAGGCTCTTCAGTGATCATCCCAATTGGTCCATCATGGCAGCAACCCATTTTACCCAAGGCATTCCATATTCACATGGCGGATCTTGGATAACAGGTTGCAGCAATGGCTTTTTCTGCATATCTCTGCATTTACCCAATATATGGAAAGTCATGAAATTCCATGGTTCCAGTCACCACCAACCAGATCTCCATCGATCCTTTCCATCCAAAAAAGGGGTCAAGGCACCCAATCCGATGGCAACGCCCGATAGGCCAGCGATGATTCCGCTCATCATGACGTTGCCTGGGGGCCGGAACCCGGAACGGGGAACGGGGTGGTTTCACCCGGTCACCCATAGATTCACCAATAGATGCATGATGAATCCCATGGTGAGTCTGTAAGATTCAAACCAGAAATCGGCAAATGAATTCTTAGAGATTCTTAGGATCTGCCACAACGATCCAGTTCAGATTAGGAGCCAGCTTCCCCCCCAAATATTAAATACCCCCCTAGTAGAAACTATATATTAATAGGTTACCTTTATAGGTTTTAGGGGGGACGTTTAATATTCGGGGTTTTTGGGATTTACATCCAGTTTCCGGGATCACATGACTGTCAGCAAACCCGCCGGCTTCAACGAGTGCACCTCCGGGAGGTCCGCGTGAGGAGATCTGCAGAGTGTTGATGGAGATGTAGGACGTGGCTCCTGGTGGAATCGCTGACATTCCATCATGGGGCCATGGGGACTCCAGATAACTAACATAACATACCCTCTGGTTATGGTTATGTCAAAATAGCTATTGAAAATGATCATTTATAGTTGATTTACCTATTAAAATAAAATTATATATAAATGGCGATTTCCATAGCTATATGTTAGGTTACCAGAGGGTAACTTAACTCTCCAAGCATGGTAAAATGACTTGGAAATCCCCGAACTAGCCATGTAGGGTTAGTGGGAGAATCCTCGAGGCCGTGGATGGTAGAGGGTTTTTCCAGCAAGCCATGTAGCTGAGTACCGGGCAGTCGTGGTAAACCCTCTACCATAAGCCATCCTGGTACCGGGGGCTATGATAAAAAGTCTCAAGTAGGGGCATACCCAACAATAAACCCGAATTGGTAACGGTTTATGATTGGGTTTACCACATTCGTCTGAATGGTTAGCAAGTATAGACACACCCAAAAGATACAGAACAGCAAAAATCCGATTCCAAACTAAAGCCAAACTGGCACTGGCCTAACTAAACTTGTTTTACTTGTTTGGATTGGTCGAAGGGACAACTCCCATGTCTTACCCTACAACATTCATGGTGGACTTTCCGCAACTAAACCGTTTCCAGCAGGGTAACCCTGGGTCATCCCGCAACTTGAAAACTATGGAGAAATCACCATTTTCAATGGTTGCAATAAGGATTGCGGAAAAAAAATCACTGAAGATCTGGTTGGTGGTTTCAACCAACCCCTCTGAAAAATGATGGAGTTCGTCAGTTGGGATGATGATATTCCCAATATATGGAAAAATAAAGTTCATGTTCCAAACCACCAACCAGATCCAGCTTGTTGTCTGAACAATCCCTTTGTTGATCTGTTGTTTATGGTGAATCCGTTTGGCGGTGATCGCTTTTTCCGGCCTTTGTCTTCACCCACCGGTGAGACCAGATCCCTCTCCGTGTCGAAGTAACCTGGCGCCCATCAAATCTGTGGCTTTTGGAAACAAAAAATGCCAAAAACACATTGAAAAGTATAGCAACAGGGGCTTTTTGGCATTTTTTGGCAAAACACCGAATGGAACATGTGGTATAGCAACTCCCAAAAAGATGCAGATATGCCATTCCAAAACAATGGTAACTCTTAAGAATCAAGCCCTTGCTCGATCCTTTTGGGCGTTACTATAACTGTATACCAAATCCACTGGCTAAGGATCACATTCGACATTGCAACTTTGGGGGTATGCGCCATTTACAGGCACACTCGACTGGTCATAGGACCAGTTCTCCATCAAAGAGCGTCACGGACATCCCATTTCCGTCAATGCCAAAGGCACCCAAGACGGCCCCGAACATGGCTCCATATAGCAAGCAAGTTGCAGCCTCAATTTGCAATAGGGACGAAAAACAAATTCAAAGAGAGCCAACATTCAGCAGTCCATCCGTTCACTTTCGTTTTACATTTTTAAGCAGGAAAAACATATTTGAGTGTAGTGTGAAATGGAAACTTAGGAGATCTGAGATCTGTGTGAACTCTTCATAATCTAGCTGCTGATCATATCATTCCTCACTTTTTTTATCCGAAAAAGTAGAGCAAACAACCACAAATTCACGAGCCGAAATTTACTTTTCTTGGTGCCAAATTTTGTCCAAAAAGTCTTGTCCTCTTTGAATACCACCATGGAGGCATCACTACGAAACCAAACATCGACTGCTTGAGGTGATTCTCAAGCTCCCAAAGATGGGAATGGGCTGGTTGATGGTTTCAACATGTTTCAACCTGCTAAGCCGTCCCAAAAAACATGGAAAAAAAACAGCACAACACTCCCAATCATATGGAAAAAAAGGGGACACCACCATCCAACTTCTTTGGTCATATACTACATGAATCCATTGAATTCATCTGAAATACATGTTTGGACCCTTTGGGTTTCCCTAGAATCAAAACTACCGCTGCGCGCCCAACCATGCTTTTGCGCGCGAAAGGGCTGAAAAGGTCTTTGCCCATTGGGCTCAGGGGGTGGGGGGGTGGGCTACCTTGAGCCCAAAACTAAGGTAAACCCTATTTAGGTCAAAACCTAGAGCGCGCTACACTAAGCTCCTACAGTTTGGACCCTTTGGGTTTCCCTAGAATCAAAACTACCGCTGCGCGCCCAACCATGCTTTTGCGCGCGAAAGGGCTGAAAAGGTCTTTGCCCATTGGGCTCAACCCCCTCCCGTCATTTCGGCAGATGCAAGGGCGACTGCCCGGGCGCGAAACGCGCCTCAGGCCTGTTGGCAGCGAGCCCGGCCGACACAGGGCCGGCGTGGCACAAAATTGGGTTTTCACGTCGGTGCGAGGTCAGTGTTCAACATAGATGCTGCCATTCCCCGGGAATATTCCCGGTCTTCCCACAAGTAGGAGTGGAAAGCGTCGCTCGCCCAACGTCCAAACCTTCTCACCACAGATGCGTCTTTAAATGCCGTCCATAGCGCGCTTGCACCACCAAAACGTAATGAGTGCGAACCAATCGTTCCACCCACACCACATTGGCAAGCGGCTTCTCTCAGCAGCATCTGGATCGCCTCCCTTTGGACTCCCTCTCCCGAGGGAGTCCTAAAGAGAGGCTCTGTAGCTTCGCAACCGCCCAGATATCTCTCTGGGAATTTCTGGAACAGCCGGACAACCGATTCTACTGGGCAAACTTGGTTTTCAGTTCGGTAGTGATTGCGATTTGTTTCCAAGTTGTACTTGGTCTTGCTGCCGACGAGCTTGACCCGAACTTCATCGGCCTCTACCAGGTTGCTGATAGTGCACAGTTTGCCATGAGAGTACAGCAGTACCTGGTGGCCCTTCAGGTGTCTCGAAAGAGGAAGGTAACCAAGGGGAAGGAATTCAGAGGCCCTCAACAGAAAGAAGAACCCAAGGCAGATCCCGGCCCACAGGAGCACGGACTCCGGGCTCGAAGACGAGCCACGGAGGCGATCATGTAGATAGTTGAGCATCCTGGGGGTCACTAATCCCTCCTTTCAGGAACCTTGTAACGCCTTCGTAGGCCTGCCAGTGCCATGGCAACCCTTCCTCGGCCTTCCAAGGGATCTTCCATGCCGAGTGAAAGGTGGACGCTGCACACTGCGGCCAGCCGAAGCTTCAGCGTTCCCGGTGCGCGCCCTTCATTGCAGGCACAATGCAGGAGAAAGTCGATGAGGAGTGTTTCTTCCGTCTTATTGCTGGAGGGGCCAGTGAGAATCCAACTGACTCCTCTACGAGCGCAAAAAAGCCTCCACCACTTAAGTTGAGATTCATAAGTCCGCCGGGTAGAGATGGCGAGGCGGTCAAGGGCGACACGAATGGCTTCCTCGTGATAATCTTCTTTGCACTTCAAGCGTAGGCCCAGCATGGGTCCAGTCGCCCCCTGCGCTGCCCTCGCAGCCTGAGGGCTACCTAGCCGCCTCGGCTTCTCAATACTCTGTTTCTTACCCGTGGCTTGACTGGTGGGAGACCCGGCTGCCGCGAGGGTCTCGTGGTAGGGTTCGAATTGAACCTTGCGGCCCCTCGGACCCCCCACACGGGTCCTTTCCTGTCCTTCTTGTGGGCCCCCGCAAGGTTCACCCCAGTGCCAGCAGACACCGGCCAGGTACAGGCCCAGCGCTATCGCCAGGAGGAACCAGTGCGCGATGGCATGATTCGTGTCCCTTTCAGCATCGTTGTTGCGCCTTGGGCCTCTGATCGAGCCGCGGGACTGGGACGGGGCGGCAACTCTTGCACACTCTGGGCAAGGGGCGAATTGCACCACATTCCTTCCTCGGGTATGCCCGCACTGCGGTTTGTGCCAGCGGGCCCCGCTCCAGGTGGCCTCCACGCTCCCCTGGTAGTCGTCGACCTCAGAGATGCTCACGCAGTCTTTGCAAGCTTCAAGCCAAAGGGTAGAAGCACCCGTGCGGGAGCAACCTTCTTTGTGCCAGTTTGCTCTGCGGCGGTCAAGACCCCTTTGGGACGGGTGCGGGCTCCTTCGCCGAAGATTGTCCGGTGCCGGGCTCGAAGTCGAGCCTCGACTGCCGCGACGGCGGGCCTCCGCGGCGCTACTGGTTTGAGTGCGCCTGCCAGTCGCAGCTTCCTGCTGGTGGGGAGCTCTGGGAAGGTTGCCCCTTGACGAGGAAGCCAATGGGTCAGTCCGTACGGGACTGTGGGCAAGGCTGCGTCGGCAGGATCCCCAGGCAAGGCCTAAAAGAACTCCGGTGAGGAGAACGAGGCCGAGCAGAACTGTCCCCTCGGAAACTAAAAACGGGGGCAACCTAGCCCCGGCGAGAACCACAGCATGGGCGTGCTCTTGCCCATGGAAATGCGCGATCGCGTGGTTGGTGTCACGTTCTGCATCATCATTGCGCGTGGGCGACAAGGCTCCCTTTGCCGCGGCCCGAGTTTCAGCTTCCTTTGCAGCTCGGTTCCTCTTCTTCGTGGCTTTTCGTTGGCGGGAGTCAGGTGCCCTACGGTATTTGGGTACCGCCCCACCGCCTTGTTCCCTCAGATGTTCCCGAAACTCGGCTATCTCCCTCCGAGCCGCCTGTTGACGTGCTTCTTCGGCTCCCTCGGGGGTTTCGATTGGTTCGTGCTTGGTGTTTCCTTCCGAGGTTGCGCCTCTTTGAAGTCCTTCCCTGTGAGCCTGGGCCCGCAAACGCGCCTTTTCTCGGCGGCGCGCCACCCAGACGCTGACTCCTGCTTCGATCTCCGAAGTGAGACGGTCCGAACTAAGGACCTTGGCGGTCTTGGAGGGTCGAGCCGGGTTGAATCGTTCAAGCTTTCTCATATACTCACCCTGGCTATCCAGAGTTTCCAGATACCGGGAGTCTTCTTCTTCACATTGGCGAACCCTCTGCGTCTCTGCTTCAAGGGCTTCCTTGATTCCTTCGGCGGCTTCCTTTCGCTGCTGGGTGAGGCGTTCCAGGTCTTCAACCAGTGCTGCCTTCTCGCCTCCCGACCCTTCCGCTTCCTTCAGGGCACTCTGGAGGTTCTCCCAGTTGGCAGTATCGGCCTCAGCGAGGGCCTGGAGCAGTTTGACCTTTCCCGTGCCAAGCTTAAGACCCTGTGCCGGGACCAGTTTTCGCTCCTCCTGGGGTTGCCCGGGCTCTACTCTTCCGACCGGCCGATACCTTGCGGGGAGCCCGATGGGCGAGTCCTCCTCTGACTCCTCTGCGGGCGGAGGTTTGACCCGTTCCAGGGTGAGGCCCTCGGGTTCCGCGCCCTCCTCATGTTTGGGTTCGAGACGCCCTGGTTTGGGGCATCCTTCACCGGGTCCTGGGTCCTGAGGCTTCTTCACCAGCGTGGGTTTCCAGCTCGATCCGGCAGAGGTGGTACCGGCTTTCTTCTCGCTGGGTGGTACCGGCTTTCCTGCGGGACGCGCCTCGGCAACTCCTTGCCTTTCTTCTCGCTCAGTCGTGCCGGGGTCGAGCTTGATTTCTGCCTCGGCTTTCTTTCTTCACTGTTCGGGTCGCAGGAGCTGAGGGCTCATCCGGGCCCATGTCACTCTCTTCCGATACGTTCCAATCCGCCTCGGAGAGAGTGACGACGGTTGGTTCCAGGGTTCGTGGGTCCACCTGGACCTCCTCTTCTCCCTCTTCCACCTTCAGCCCGGCAACAGCCGACGCCAGGCCTGTCGCGGTCTGAGCAAGGCCCTCCTTCAGGTCCTGTTCCTGCTTGAGGCTGCCGGATGGCCAGGCGGGGAGCCTTGAGCCAGAGCCTGCAGCTCCCGCGGTGCCTGTCTTGTGGAAGGGCACTGGCGACGCCTGCTCGGGTCGGGCTCGGGCGCGAGTGCTTTCCGAAGCGAACCAAAAATCGTCAGTAGTCCATGCGACGACCTTTCCCAAGGCTTCAGGCGGGATGTCAGCATCGGCCAGCCAGACGTCATTACCCGTCACTCTGAAGGAGACTCCGGCCTCTTGGGCCTTCCGTGTGTCGACGGGCACTCTCGTCTCCAGGTCGGCCCTCCACTTGTTTGATGCCCGTTCTGGGTCAACCAAGTGAATCATTCTGCGGCTTGCTGACAGCCCATTCTGCACAATGCTGGCCGTATGCCTGTGGTACGAGCCATGCACGAGCAGGGCAGGGACCTCGGAGGGTTTGACCAACACTCCTGGCCCGGCGACCCCGGGTATGGTGTGCCCGGACCAGGCTGCAACACAGCTCCTTCCGGTGCTCTCATCCGTTCGCACCACGAAGCGCTGTTTCAAGTTGCCTTCCACTTCGGCCCGAATCGCCTCCTCAGTGAGGTACCTTTCCGGCCATCGGAGCTTCGCACGGAGGTACCCTCTCAGGTGGTCCATCGTGACCCATCCATCCTCCGTGATGTGGCACTCGGCACTTCCTGCCTCGTGTCTGAGGCAGGAGGCGAGGGCTTTCGAGAACTGGATGTTCCAGTCCTCTTCCTTTTTCTTACGGCGTTTGGTGCCTCCGGTCCTTCGCTCCGCCTCCCAACCTCTGCTTTGGAGCCAAGCCATGAGCGCCGCTCGCGCCTTATCTTCCCACGGGAGCGAACAAATTCCGACTCTTTCAGAATCTGCGTTCCCGGGCTCGAAGCAAGCCTCGGGAGTTTCGTCCGCCTCCGGACTTTCAACCTTCGCCTCAGCAGCGCTGGACTGCTCGGGCTCAAAGCAACAACCGCTGGCGCCCCGGTCCGTCCCCAGAGCACTCGCCCAACGGCCCGCTACTAGAGCCAGGCTGCGGGGGGTACCCATGAGCCTTCCCAAGGCAAGTTCAGTGGAGGGGGTGTCCTTGGGATGTTGTTCTACCCTACCACCTAACAACCTAAAGGCCTCCCCGGGCGTGATGGTGCGCGCCGCGGGGCCATTAGCACTGTACCCAAGCAACAAAAGAGACTCTTTATTGTCATTACCCCATGACCCATGATGTAATTGGGGGAGCGGTTTAAAAGGGTCCCAAACATGACGCCTACCTTCTGGGGTTTGCAGAGTCCCTCTAGGCTTTGGGGTAGCCTGACCCAGGTGCGGCATAGCGCTGTCTAGCTTTAGGCGACCATTTTTCCAGGTGGCGGCTGGTACCCTTTTGTCTTCCAGCAACCATTCAGTGGGGTAAGTGTGCAAGGGTGGCGTAGCGGGTTCCGCGTCGAGCGTGAGACAAGGTGCTGGAGGCAGGCGCTTTTCTGCGGGAACCGCTATCAGTATCCATCGCTTCCACCAGCATTGGTCCTGGAGAGTTCGGCCGCTGACTTGGAAGACACGGGTATGCCATCCTGCATCCTTCAGAATCCTTGCGGCTGCTCTGGGGCCATGAGAGGTGATGGAATCGACCCAGACTCCTTCCGGCTCCCACCTCGCAGCAAGTTCGGCGAAGCGAGCAGCCGTAGCCACCTCGCCTCTGCCGCCTGGGTGGAAAAGGCACACATACCGCTCCGGGGCACATTCTCGGCGGCTTGCCTCTTCCAGGGTGTGTCTCTGGACGATAAGCCCCTTGGAGACAAGCTCGATTTCATAGGGGCCGGCCTCCCCAATCTCAGCGCATACTAGACCTTCTTTCAGCGGAAAGGGGTGCTTATTCGGTCCCTCTGGATGCCTTCGGAGCCCCAACTGTAGGGCTGCAGCCTTATCTCCATGGTCCATTCCATCCCAAAGGAGGGCCCTTCGAGTCCAACCTTTGTCGAGAGTCCCCAAGAGCACCTCCGAGAACGGGACCTTACGGAGCTCATGTTCCTCCAGAATGCTTTGTGCTTCGGCACGCGTGAGGCTGCTGGCAACCTGATTGTGGTAGGTCCGAACATAGCTCGCATGCAGCCTGAACCCTCCGACAGTTTCCAAAGCTGCGAGCAGCTGCAGCAGGAACCTCGCCGCAGGGGGCCCAGCCTGCCTTTTCTCAAGCCAGGAGATAACATTCTGGTTGTCCCCCGCGTAGATCACGATCTTTCCCCTCCAAGCAGTCCAGCGGGTGCAGGCGAGTGACACCACGGCGAGGAGCTCGGCGAGTGAGATCAGAAGACCGTCATCGGGATCGGTTCGATCCTCGGAGTCCGGTCCTGACTGCCCCTCGTCCGTCCCCTCTTCCCCTCCGCAGAAGTGGCGGTTTCGTTGCCAAACAAGGCTCGCGGGCTCGACAATTGCTACCTTTCCGTGCCAGTCAACTGCCGCCACCCTTTCTGGAGTGGCATCTCCACAGGCCCAAACCACCTGGGATTGCATCCCTGGGAAGGAGAGCAATTCCGAAACCGAGAGGGCCGCATTGAGAGGGTGAGTGAACCGGACCTCCCAAGAGGCGCTGACGTTGAAGCTCAATGGCTTCCCAAAATCGGTTCCAAGTCTCTCTTTGTTGTTTCTCATCCCCTTTGGCTCGAGCCAGGGTCCGCAGGGCCGAGGAGGTCATTCGTACAGCCCAAGTACGGGCTCAGGCCGGGAGCACCGCCAGCCAAAACTGCTGGTTGCCTCTCAACTCTTGGATGAGGCGCAGCGGGACATGAGTGCACCCACTGTCAAAGTCAGGCAGGTGCAGGAGGTGATACGCCTTTTCCAGCTTGGCACTTGGCAGGCTTCGGGTGTTGGTTTGGGTATCGTAAATGAGCCCCCAAATAAGTTTGCGAGTTTCCAACCGTCCCTCAAGCCAATCCTTTCCTTCGTTAATGCTGGCATCCCCAAGAACAGCACGAGTCAGATGCTCCGTCAGTGCCACCGAGGTTTCCGGTCTCAGCCCAATCTCGGGTTCGATCAGCACCGTGTCGTCCATGAGGACGAAGGAATGGTATGGGACTGTATCCTCCCACCTGGAGTTTTCGGGCGCGAAGGCTTCGTGAGCCAGTTTAATGACCCAAGCGTAGTGCATGTATTCTCCGGGCGCACCGCACCAGCCAAAGGTCAAAAACCCATAGACTATGGTGATACCTTCCTGAGTATTGCTGTATTCGGCTGGAAGATCAGCAGCGAAAAGCTTGGAGTCCTCAAGCCGAACTGGGATCCACTTGAAGGCTTCTGATGCGTCCTTTTTGCTGAGCAGGATTCGGATCCTAGGGTACCGAAGCTTCCACCACAGTATCGCTCTGGCGACCTCCTGGTGCCGGGGTTGGAGCGCAGGCGGGTGCCGAGACTTGTGACAATACCTGTTCACCGGCGTGGCATCCCAGATGACCCTACCCTTATCAGAGACCGTGCGGTCTGGGTTCATCTTGGGGACCCTGGCCATTGGGACTGATACAACCCCTTCCAAGCCCTTGCCGGTGTCGAAGCAGAGCAGGGAACGGCCTTTACTGGCGTCGTCCCAGAGTTGCGCAGCAGCTTCGTCGAGGTGTTCTTTCAAGCTCGGGTGAGGCGCACTCTTGGTCCGAGTAGTCTCCTCTAAGTCAGCAGACGCCTCGACTCCCCAGATAGCTACATGCCTCGCCCTTTCTAAAACTGCCGGGTGAACCAGCCCTTCAAAGAAGTCACTGTGCAGACCAGACATGTGATCGCCTCGTTCTTGCACCCAAACCCTGCGGATAGCCCTGAGGGCTTCCTGCCATCCACCGGCTGCTGCCAGAAGAGCCGATCCTTTCTGAGCAGCAGACGCGAAATGTGCAGCGGAGAAAGCTCGGTTTCGGAAGAAATCCAGATATTCCTTTGTCGCCCGCTCAACCGCCGGGTCTAGCGGCGGCGCCAGGGGGCCTTTCAAGCCGTGGGAGTCTTTGCCCAAGTTGGAGAACGAAGAGGCCCCTCCCCCCCCGAGGAAGTCCCGCCCCCTTGAACCACGAAGGGGGCGCCCCCCGCCCGTCGGAGGCCGGCGCCGGGCGCGAAACACGCCTCAGCGCCGTCGAAAAGAACGGAGGCGAGGGGAGAGGAATGCGGCAGCTCGGATGAGGACGACCCAGCGGCGATAGCCAGCGCCGAAGAGGTAGTTTTCAGGCACAAGTAGGCGGCCGGGGACGGCCCACAAAACGCCGCAGCCACAGGGTCAATGGGCGAAGCTGGAAGGCGAACCCGGTGAAATGTCGAAAAGAGCTGGATGGCCGCGGGATCTTTCCAGACGGGGCTGGTCAACGGGTGAACGAGTGTGAAGTGCCCGGGCAGGTTCAACTGGTGCTGACCAAGCTCAAGCGTAAACTGCAGGTGTTGGTGGGCAGAAGGCTCCAAGGCGCTGGCGGAAGGCTCAGGCCAGCTGCCGAGGCCCGTGCGGGGCAGGAGGACCCAAACGTGGCGAGGGCGCAAGAGAGTGAGAGCTGCGCGAAGAAGAGAGCGCACGCGGCCATTGCAGAAGCTGCGGCTAGTGGCCGGACCGACAAAAAGGGCGGCGCCAACCGGCACATCCGGGGCGTTGTCCCAACCGAGGGCGTCAACGTATACACCCAGAAAATGGAGCGGTTGGCCGGGCTCAGGGAGCCGTTGGCCAGGGAAGAGCTCCTGCAGGTCCTCGCGGGTCCACTGTTCGAAGGGGGGCTCGTCGACTTCCCACCAAGATGCTCCTGCTCGGGAATCTAAAGCCGCCGTCTCAGCTGGAAAAGGGTACAAGCCGAACACCCCGGTGGTGACGCCGGTACGACGCATGGGGTCGTCTTGGCAACGCGGGCATGGTTTTGGGGCACGGGCGCGATGACGCGCCCCGTGCTCGGCGGCCGCTTCCAGGTGGACTTCACAGCCAGCGGCAGTGACAATTCGCACGTTGTCCGGGATAGAGGTCGCGATTTCCGGGAGGAGTAGCCGCATGTGGCCCTGGTGGACCAGGAGCCAGATAAGAGACTTCGGGTCGGAACGACTGTGGGCCCCCTGGATGACTTCGCAAGAGATGCGGTTCCAAGCGTCCATGCGGACGAGACAGAACGAGACTTCCGCGGCCTCTGCCGGGGGAAAGGCTGCCAAACACCGGTAATCCTTGTCGTGGCCGAAGAAGAGAGCGTCGTGCACGAAGATGCGCAAGTCTTCTTCAGCTTGAGTGCAAATGTCAGGTTCCGGGCCCAAATTTTCCGCGCAAGCCAGAGCCAGGCGGAAAGTTTCCTCCTGTAAGGCTGCCGCTTTGAGGCGGACCTCAGAGAGAGCCGGCACACGATTCGCGGTATGGGCCAAAAGGCCAGCCGCCACATGCAGGTAGAAGCACTGCCGGGGCTCCGTTTCTGGTTTGGGACATTGCAGAGGTTGTAGCTCAGGATGCACGGGCGCAAGCTGGTCGCCGTAGTCATAGACTGCATGGTCACCGTCTCTCCAGCGAAAGGTCGCCCAGGAGTACCCGTCGAAGCCGTGTACTGAGAATTGCCCCAATGCTCCGCGGCCCTCTCGCGACCCGACATGCGTGTCAGGGTGATTATGGAGGTAGTCAGTAGCTTCCGAAGCAAGTTCGGCACTGCCTTCTCGGATAGCGTCCTCGAGGAATTCTTGAACATCGTGAGCGGTTGGAGCCCGGTCGTTTACGGCTGTTAGCCGGTTGCGCAGATAGGTGCCCAGATGCTGGGGTAGATCTGGGAGAAGGCCGCTGCTGTCAATCTCGTCCATGCAGTGACGCTTGGCTTGGATCTCGGCTGAATCGGGTGACTCCCGGCAAGTGACCGTGCGCACAGCGGGGGGCGCGTGGTCGAGGGTCCAACTTGCAGCAGCTTCTCCTGTCATAAGTCGAGCAAGGGGGTCTTCCATATCAGTGGCGGCAAAATTGGCGAGCGCCGCGGGCGCTGGGGTCCAGCCAGCTCGGGTGTCTTCCCGGTACTGGGTCGAGGCATCCTGAGGAGGAGGGCCCCCCGGTCCGCTTGGCCATCTCTTTCGCTCTTTTGCCTTCCTGAATGTTGGACTCGAGCTTCTGGGCTTGCTCCTTTCGGATGGATTCGATGGTGGCGTCCACCTGGTCCCCTTTGAGTTTCGGACGGGCGGGATGCCCGCCTCGTCGCAAGAGTTGCATCTGCACGCTCCAATCGAGGGTGTCCCAGCGTGGTGCGTTGCCATGGTGCGAATGCGGGCAATCCTTTCCCTTGTTGCACTTGCGGTGCTTGGCGTTGTTTAGAGGTTGCTTGGTTGCTTTTTTGTGGCTGTGGTTGTGTTTCTTGTGTTTCCAGTTGTGGTTGTTGTTGTGGTGGTGGTTGCTGTGGTTGCGGCTATGGTTGTGATTGTTGCGGTTGTGGTTGTGGTTGTGGTTGTGGTTGTGGCGGTTGTGGTTGTGGTTGTGGCGGTGGTGGTGGTGGTCGTGGTGGTGGTTGTGGTGGTGGTGGTGGTTGTTGTTGTTGTGGTGGTTGTGGTTGTGGTTGTGGTGGTGGTGGTGGTGTTTGTTGTTGTTTGTTTGTTTGTTTGTTTGTTTGTTTGTTTGTTTTTTTGTTTGTTTTTTGGTTTGTTGGTTTGTTTTGTTTGGTTTGTTGGTTTGTTTTGTTTGGTTTGTTGGTTTGTTTTGTTTGGTTTGTTTGGTTTGTTTGTTTGGTTGTTTGTTTTCTTGTCTCACTGTTTTTCGTTGTCATTGTTTTTGTTGTTGTTGTGGTGGTGGTGGAGTCACAAGTCAATATCTTCGTCGGTCCAAACAAACTTTGAAATGGCTAACAGCACCAAAACCCTTTCAGCTAGGTTTGAACTGTATAATGATTTGTTGATGGGACGCAAGCTTTTCATATGCAGTGTACTTCCTGATCAGTGCATCTAGAAGCCCGGTTAAATCGAATCTTTGGATGAACTTGCCCCTTCCTTTGATAACCTTGATCCTTTAAAACGGTGGTGGCTTCAGTTTGTTGGTGAGTCATATGAGTTATAGCTTCAAATTGGGATGCCGATGCGGCGAGACCTCATGGGAGAAGCACCTCTGTTTTTGCACAGCGAGCGGGCATCTCAAAGCTTCGCTTGGCAACTGCAGTTGGGACTTCAAGTCAGAGCGCCCATCCGTGAGGCTGAGTGTATTGAACACAAGTTGCATGGCATACAGGATTGATCAGACTGAAGGAAACAAAAAATGGAGATAGACGGCAAACTTTGACAGCCTCACAGCCGCGCCGCTGACTTTCAAAATTTCAGCGGTGTCCTCATTCAAGCTCTTACCATGGCAAAGAAGATGCGTCGCTCTTCTCTCCGCCATCTTCGTCTTCGTTTTTGTCTTTCGTCGTTTTGCGTGGCTTTTTCGGAGCTGGCTCTTCGCCCTCCCTTTCAACGGTGCCCTCACTCGCGCCAGCTTGCTGGCCAGTTTTCGGCTTTGACCTCTTCTTCGGCGCAGGCTTGGGAGTGGGCGTTTTGGTCTCTTCGGTGCGAGGTTCGGCTACACATTCTGGTCTGTAGTGCGAAGACCCCTCTTTTTTCATTTCACTCAACACGAAGTCAGTCAACACCACTTCAACCTTGCGAGCGTGCCGTTCAGACAGCGCTAGCCCCCAGTAAGGTGTTCTTTCCAGCACAGAGGCTTTCGCCAGGCTTGCCTGGCCGACAGAAAGATCTATCCTTGGAAATTGCTCATGCGGGAAATGAAAAATATAAGACATCATATAGTCGTTATAGTTGAAGGGGTGAAAGCACATGAAAAAACATACTTCTCAGAGCAAGAATCACTGCGCGGCACGAATGTCCCTTGATAAGGTCGGAATAGAAGCTGACCGGAAGAAGGGCGGCAGAGAAGATCGATTCGGAGTCTTCCTGCTGCTTGGTGCCGCACTCTTCCAACTTGGCTTCCTTCTTGGCCTGGGCTACCTCAGTAACCTCCACTGCGCGGTCTGGGCTGAGCAAGTCGACCTTTTCAGTCCTCAGGGTTTCAGTTTGAACATTAAATGCTGATCCTGAGAATCTTTGTAAATGGCAATGACACACACACATACATACATATATATATATACCTATATATATATATACATAAACATATATATATATACCTATATATATATATACATAAACATATATATATATACATATATATATACATATATATATATATACATAAACATATATATATATATATATGCATATATATATATACATATATATACATATATATATTTATTTATACATTATATAAATATATATAATACTATAATACACAATGAATCTGAAATGCTGTTCAAAGTCCTGCTCGCGTGCCACAGTTCTGAGGCTTGCATTGCGTTGACGGGCCCAAAGACATCGCTGGTGCAATAGCCCTTGTGATGTTGGTATTGCTTTTCCGGAATTGCTTGGGTCAAGCAATGATGTGAAGCAAGGTGATATGTGGAATAGGTCGAGTATGAGCCTCTGGAACGCTTCTTCCTGCTTCGCATCGAGTCATCGTCATACGTGACGAGCAGCTGCTTGATTTCAGCATCCATGTCGTCCTTCTTGGCGGTTGCCAAGCGGAAGACACTCTGGCACATAGCCCCTGCCCTGTCCATCCCTGCGTGGAGGGCCACCACATCTCCCTCGGGAACATTGGTGGCCTCCCCCTCTTCTGTGCGACGCTGCGCACCTCGCCCCAGGAGGGCACCCTGCACTAGTTTACGCATTAAACCAATGTCGGGCTGGAATTTTTTGCGGAGCGACTCTTGACAGTTTGGGCCAATGGTTTCACCGAGCAGGTCCACGTCCAGATGGATTAGAACGGAATTCTCACCCACCACTCCTCGGATGTCCTTGGCCGTGCTTTGCTGCACAGCCGACGCCACTCCATCCAATGACTTCGGCTCCACCTGGATGGAGCAGTAGGTCCGAGTCACCTGGTTGGCAACTGCGCGCCAGTAGGCGTTGCTTCCTTGAGTAAAGGTCGTGGGCGCCTTTCTCATGTTCAAAAGCTCCGCAGAGTCAGCCAGTTCGGCATCTTCTGGCTCACTGTCTTCCACAATGCCTGCGGCAACTTTGCGCTCAGCTTCTTCGTTGGCCAATGTGTCTTGAATTTTTTTGAGCTCCTGGGCAATGGTTTCACTCTCCAAAACAGCTTCTGCGCTGCCTCCGTGTCGACAGGAGGAGCGAATGAAGTTGTCGTACTTTTTGTCATAGACCAATGCCTGCATGCATGCGCTGCGAGGAACAAATTAAAACAGAAGCAGTTGGAATGTCCGCGGAACCGAAAACAGCATTTTAGAAAAGAGGCCTGCCTCCACCAAGGAAAAGACCTCGATGCCAGACTTGTGCAAGCGAGCTTTCCAGCACAAGTCCTGACTCCCAGAATGAGCACGATACTCTGAATGGCTCATCAGGACCTCTTTGAGAAGCATCCGGTCGCTTTCGACCACTCCAGATTTCGGAAGATACTGCTCAAAGAGGTGCTCCAAAACCTGGGCTTGTACGATGGCAGTCGTGGTGTGGTGGTGCCCCCCGTTTGTCCATGGTGGTTTTTGTGTAACATTAAATTTTATGATTTACGTGGAACGAACACATGTATGCTAAATATTTAATCCAATAGGCGTTCATGTATCTAAGACTATTAAACCTTTGTCGGACGCTGCACTCCTGAGCTTATTGGGGTTCGTTTACCGTTACGGCTTCAGATAACAATGTCCACCATTTTGTCCATGGTGGTGTTTATGCATTTTAGTGGGGGGGTCATCTAAAACTGTAAGACAAGATAGTGCCTCCCAGATTGTCCATGGTGGTTATTGCGCAACATATGAGTGATGTACGTGGAATGAATGCATGCAAAATATTTAATCTTATGTGGGGGTGCATCTAAGAGCAGCAACGCAACACTCCTGAAATTCCACTTGAAACATGTTCATCCACCAAGCCCAAAACAAGCTTGGACAACTCAAATCTTTTTTGGCACACAGTCAGCTGCTTTGTCAGAGCTGGACGCCTGGACGCCCCAAAAAAATCCTGTGACGCTTTGTCGTGCGACGCTGATGTGGCACGAGGATTGGCAGCCGCAGCTGCTGTAGCCCATCACTGCTTCCCCTTCGCAACACTCGTCATGTTGCGAATGAAATGCGCCTGGGCTTGGAACCAGTCCGCCATGGCAGTCATTCTTGTGTCCGCCTCTCCCGAACTTGTGTACGTCTGTCCCGAACTTGCGGACGAGTCCTTTTTTTTTTGGGCTGTGGGCGGCGGATCGATCTTGGCTGCCGCAACCTTTGGTTTGGCCGCTGGGACTTTGGGCTGCTGCGGCTTCTCATCCTTATCCTCTTCATCAGAGGTGTAGTACGAGTAGCCGGAGCTACCTGGGGAATCCTTGCCGTCATTATCATTGCGGCGCCCCGCAGACTCAGGCGCCTCAGGAGCCTCCGGTCGTGGGCGGCTTGGCCCAGGCTCAGCAGCACGGGACTGCCCGCGGTGCTCATGCTCCCGGCGGTCAGGGTGCTCGCGCACGCGCTTGTCACGAGCGCGTTCGCGGCTCCCACGACGACCACGTGAGCGCTCACGATGACGTGCATTGGACCGCGCGCGGTCACCCCGCAGGGCAGCATCAGCCTCTTTCAGCTCACGACGACTTCCCTTGGACCGCGCACGGTCGCCCCGCGGGGCAGCATCAGCCTCTTTCAGCTCCGACGACTTCCCTTGGACCGCGCACGGTCGCCCCGCGGGGCAGCACGACCCTCTTTCAAATGAATGGGCGCCGCAGGGGCAAGAGGTTTCTTTTCTTTCCACTCCTTCTTCAACTCCTTCTTTGCCCTTAGCCCGGCATCATTCCAGTGGATCCCACCACGGTTCCAAATCAAGTACTGACGGTGCTTAGCGGAATTTTGGATATGCATGCGCATGCCAACTTTTCCACCACGGATCGTGCCCTTGCACACTGAGCACTCAATCGTGTCAGGCTCGTCCTCCTCGTCATTCTTGAACTCATTTTCATTGTTCGGAGGGGCAGGCTCAGGTCCTCCTGCCGGCGAGGCCGGCCGCTCGGAACGTCGTGCCGCCTTCTTGTCAGCTGACTCCGACCTGCCGCTGTCGCTGGACTCGGGTCGCGAACGACTGCGGGATTTCTCCTTGCCGAGCTCCTTGCTGTTCGTCGCCATGAACCTGACCAGGACCAGGGAATACAAAAAACTTACATTGAAATTTTGAGCAAAAAATTATTATACCCATTAAACAACAGGCGGTCCGCCAACTTAACACCTTCTTTTCTGGCCCGCAGGCCCGCCCGCAGGCGCTCAGTCAAAGCCCACAGGCTTGTTCGGCCCGCAGGCCCGCCCTCAGGCGCTCAGTCAAAGCCCGCAGGCTTGTTCGGCCCGCAGGCCAGCCCGCAGGCGCTCAAAGCCCGCAGGCTAGTTCGGCCCGCAGGCCCGCCCTCAGGCGCTCAAAGCCCGCAGGCTAGTTCGGCCCGCAGGCGCGCCCTCAGGCGCAAGAATCATTTAACCCGGTGATGCACGGATGCATGCCCCCAGGACCGAAGCCCGCAGGCTATGACCCCGTCCGATTGTTTTTTTTTTCATTCCGCCACTGCTTACCCCCCCAGAAAAATTGCCCTGTGCGCCTTGCAGGACCACGGGGCTGCTCCAGGGGTCACGGCGCCAGATTTTGAAGGTCAGTCAGCTGCGGGCTCATCGATGGTGTTTCGATGACATGTCAAACATGAAAAATGGGGTTCTCTTATTATGGCTACAATATAGCTAAGTTGACTTATAACTTGGTTAATTAAGGTCTATAGGGAATATAACTATAGGTAATGGTGTTTATAAACCAACTTACAACTGGGGGGCATCACCTTGTATTTTTTTCATGAACTTGAATTCTTATCATTATTATCGTCGTTAGTGGTGCTAATTAATTGGAATGTAGATATTATAGTGTGTGGTGAGGACAAAGCAAGAGTGGTTTGGAATGAAAGTATTGAACATCAACAAGCTGATTCTATTCCTATGAAATTCATCAACGCCGGCTCCGACTTCCATCCCTCCCGGTATTGCAAGCCAGAAACCTTCAACTTGCATTCGCACAGCTGGATAATGCCCACGTGGTGCTTGGTGCCCATCAAGCTTCCCTTGGTGATCTCTGAAGGGGACATGTCCCCGTGCATCACAAAATCATGCACACAGGACAAGACCCACTCCCGCGTCTTCGCCGAGGTAGGCTTCGTTGCCAAGCAAGCCAATTTGGACATCATGTGAAAAGGGCTCTGTGTCCCGAAGGAGGCTTCCATATCAAGCAAGAGTTCAACACAGCGGGGAGAACTCAGCACGACTCTTTGTACACTCAAGGCACTGCTGATGAAATTTGCGGATAATGTTCCACATTCTTCATCATCCTTTTTGGCTTTCGCGGACCCACTCACCACCTGCTGAAGACCTGCAGCCAACAAAGCCGAAGAGAGCTGGCTAGGTGTTAGCTTCGAGCTGCTACCAGATTCAATCAGCGCCTTCAGCTGGGCCACTTCCATGGCACTTTGCAAGGCTGTCCTAGAGAGGGATTCGTGTTGTTGGACCACGGCCTGCCGCTTGTTCCAAGCTGTTTTCCACAAGTCGCTCTGCTGAACCTCATTGAAACTTGCAGGGACGCTCAGCAACACAGATTTCCATTTGCTTCTCAGCTCGGCCCACACTGCGCTATCCAATGCTGATGAGAGCCTGCAGTTGCAAATCATTAACAACAAAATAAATAGCCAGTATAAAATTTCGCGAAACAACATATTCAAAACAGGGGTTGGGAATTGAAAATGACAGCTTTGGTGCAAGACACTTGATAGCCGAAGCACAGGCGTGCAAAAGGCTGTGCAAAAGTTCTTCTGGGCTGATCATCTGCAAATTCCGAGGCTCATCTGTCAGATCCGCCTCTGAACATGCGATTTCAATCATGCGATCCGTCATGAATTTTGGCTGTGCACCTGGAAAATGAAAAGCGCTCAGATCTTCAACTCTCTTCCGGCTCATGGGGACCCCTGGGGTCGCACTGCTCAAAGCGTTGATCGAGAATGCAGACACGCTGCATCTGTAGACAGAGTGCTGCTTCAGGGATGTAATCCCCTTTTGACGATCATATACATCCTGGACACCGCTCTCTTGGCCGCAGCCAATCGGCAAACAAAATTCGGTTGCCAACTGCGGTCCAAAATGTTCAAAGATCGTTGCGAGGTCCTGCTGGACCAGAGCGTAGTAATGCTTGTTCGTCGCGTCGTTCAATTCAGCATCTGACACAGAGTCTCCCTGGGAAGGCACAGGGGCCTTTGCTTTGGCCCTTGCGCTCCCTTGACTTTGCCGAGCAGATTTCTGAGCAACCGCGTTAGCGGCAGTCTTTCTCGACAAAGCCGCTTCCGCTTTCAACTTCTGGAGGGCCCTTTTGACAGTCAGCTCATCTTCCCCGTTTGCCACACGGGTTTTCAACTGTTCTTCTTCTGCTCTGTTCAATTTCCATGAACTTATGTTCTTGAGCTTTGGCGCCGCAGCGTCCGACATTGCTTACTATTGACAATGAGGAGGAAATGACTTTCGACGGGACACCCTGGTGATTAAGTTAAAAGCCGAAATGCTAAAAGTATTGAAAATGCCAGTGTCAAATGACATCAAATTCAGCGGTACGAGCGTCAAGCAAGATGGAAGCCACCAACCCGAATGCAAGACCGCCAGGTGACAATGTCAAAGGTCACACGGGCAATGGACATGAGCTTTTTTGAAAGCCAAGCATCAGTGACTGCAGTCTTGCGACGAAGGACGCGGCGTCCTCGCATCATGCATAGTATACATTTAATATTTAATATGTACTGTAGCATCTAGGTATAGTCATCTACCGTCGGCATTGGTCATGAATGTATATATATATGTATGTATGTATGTATGTATGTATGTATGTATGTATGTATGTATGTATGTATGTATGTAACAACAACAACAACAATAACAAAAACAACCACAACGACAACAATAACAAAAACAAAGACGACACCAACGACCACGACCACGACAACGACAACGACAAGGACGACAACAACAACAACAACAGCAGCAACAACAACAACAACAACCAGACCAACCCCACAACCACAACCACAACCACTGTCAACTAAGAAAGAAGATAATCCGTAACCCCGTGACACTCATCGAACGTAACGTTAGGTCGGGTAGCTTGATGGGTGTTGCCCAGGGTCCTTACCCAGAGGCTGCCTAGGCAGCCGTCGGGTAAGGACTATGGGGCAATCCAGGTTCCATAGACGCTTGCAACGCAACCCATATTCTTTAGCCCCGTGCCCATACCCCTTACCCAGTGGCAACCCAGGCAGCCTCCGGGTAAGCACCCTGGGCAAAACCCATCATGTTACCCAAGCGAACGTTACAGCACGTCAACGTTCCCATAGTCTTTACCCAGCGGCTGCCCAGGCAGGTTCCGGGTAAGGTCTACTCTGTCGACTGGTCGCGACGTTTAACCGTTGCGACGTTTAACCGTTGCATTCGGTATGTTCCATGATATGTTAAACCATCGTCATCATGACATTAGGTTAATGTCGTGATGACGATGATGGCGTTGGGTCTGGATATGATGATCATGACGATGAAAATGCTGATGGTGTCCATGATGTCAATGATTTTGGAAATGGCGATGATGATGATGATGATGAGGATGATAGTCAGTGATGATGATGATGATGATGATGATGATGATGCTGGTGATAGCGATGATGATGATTGATACTGCATGAAATCAGTAATGCTCAGAAGCCGAGATACAAAGCGCGCCAAATCTTGGTTTGCCGTACAAACTGCACATCCATTTTTTATCACAAATCCTGTCTTTGCCCTCACCTTTTGTACTTGTCAAAGAGCTTCTTGCTCAAGTTGACGCTCGCCTCACCCAATGGCACTTGCAGCCAAAAGTCTTTGCCGGAACCCAATTTGGTTAGCCCACATGCATCCAGCGCCCGCCTTAAAACGGACATCAGAACATTGACGGACATGGCATCTCCCAATGATTCATCCACCGACCTCTTCGGCAAGCGATGTAGCTTGGCTGCCTCTTCCATGGCCTGAAGGATTTGAGGCGGCACCCCTTGGAGCTGGGCGGCTTCCGCCAATGTCAGCCTTCTCCGAAGTTTTGGTATGTAGTAGCCAGCGGCCTTGAGCCGTGACTTTGTCAGGCATGGGGAGAAGTTGGGCATGACGCTTTGAAAGCGCTGCGAAGAGCCCACGTCTAGTATGTATCCTTTCTGAAACAAACGGTTTCCTAACTTCTCTTCGTAGAATGGAAGTGAAAGCACTTCCGTGCCGACTTTGTCTTTCTCCAAAAAGAAATGCAAGTCCGCGTGTTCTGACCTGGCCGGTGGAAAGGACAGCTCATGAACTAGGGACTCTCTCGCCACGGCGATCAAGTACATACGAGACCGAGAATGTGGGATTGTGAACTGCTTCGTGTTGAGCACGCGGATCTCAAAACGATAGTCCAGCTCTCGTAAAATTTTCTGCATGAATTGAAAAATTTTGCTGTGTTTCTTCTGCAATATGGCTGCGACCTGTTCCAAAATAATCGCCCGCGGGCGTTTCTCTGCTATGTACATCAAACCCTGCAGAGATACGAAGCCTCGGTCGTCCAAAACTCCACGTTTTTTTCCAAGCGTGGAATATGATGGGCAAGGGTACCCGGCAGTGTACAAATCAGCCCGGGGTGCCGCAGCATTGTCGCGCCCACAGATGTCAGCATAATGAGAAACTTTGCGTGTGTCAATGCCACAAGCAGCTGCCACCGCATCGTGCAGCATCATCTTTTTCCCGCATGACTCGCAAGTCATTACAGAATCCACCCGTTTTTGAAGGCCGAACAACCTGAGAGCAATGAGATCTGAACCATAGCCAGAGCAGTCCGAAGCACATCTAATTTTGCCCGAGGAGTCCGCGGGAGACCACAAACCCAGCCGAGCTTTCCATGTCTTTGCCAGGTCATTGATGCGGGAAACCGCGCTGCGAATCCTGATTTGATTGTTGCCAGTATGGCTTTGGGAAGCCTCGGCCCTATGCTTTTTTTTCGTGTGAGAGGAAAGCACTTTCAAACGAGGCATGGCATCTACGAAGCTACCCCGCCTTGAACTGCATGGCTAGCAATGTGAGAATGACCCAACTGCAGTGTCTGTCCACAAACCTTTCATGAAAACAAGAGGGATGACAACAAAGTCATGAAGACTACGGTGCAATAGCGGGCGCGGCAGTGAAGTTTCAAAGATAGGAAACGTATAATATCATAGGAAATGAGGAAATGTTGAAAAGGTAGCTGCGTCTCTGAATCTCTCAATAGGCGCGCGGTCATCAGGTCTTTGGCACAGGCTTCCAAATGAAAAAAATCATCTGTCCAAGGAAGTCTGAATAAATTTCTCTTTCTGTCACTGCTATTGATATATTTCAATAGGCGCCTAGGCTAGGCGCGCGGTTCGCGCGCCTAATTCAAGTTTTTGGTACAGGCTTCCAAATGAAAAACAATCATCTGTCCAAGGAAGTCTGAATAAATTTCTCTTTCTGTCACTGCTATTGATATATTTCAATAGGGGCCTAGGCTAGGCGTGCGGTTTGCGCGCCTAATTCAAGTTTTTGGTACAGGCTTCCAAGAGAAAAATGTATCCCTGCAAGAAATCTGAATTAAATAAATGCTATTGATATATTTCAATAGGCGCCTAGGCTAGGCGCGCGGTTCGCGCGCCTAATTCCAGTTTTTGGTACAGGCTTCCAAGAGAAAAAAATTAGGGTTTAGCCAGCGCCGAGCTTTGTGGATTTAGGGTTTAGCAATGGCAAGCGCGCAGAGTGTGTGGATTTAGGCATCCCTAGAAAATTAAAAAGGAATATGCAAACTTGCAACAATGATCAGTACTGTCGAAATCTTTTTTCCCGCCGGACTAATACCCCATACCAGCAGGTTTTGGAATGACAAATTGTCTCCCGCCAGGGTCTTGCCAGGCGAAGTCAAAGTCCCCCGCAAGCTGTGCCAGTGCTGATCCAGGCACTTGACTTGACATCTACAAATTTTTGAGCAGCCCAAGCAACTAGCTCATTGCCATCAAGACACTGAATCCTGGACTTGCCCAGATTCAGTGCCTCCCCTTTTGCCCGTAAGAGCAAGCAGGAATTCTTGGGCCCTTTGCTCCGAGCCTGCAAGTCATTCATTGTCACAGCCTTCCACCCATGAGCGCACGCTTCGCGCAAAATCATGGTCAAGCCAGGCTCTTGATTTCGAAATCCATCAGTCACGTAAACGAACACACCAAGCTGACTTCCAGCACTGTATGACAGTTTCACTCCGTTTCCACCGTCAAGAATTGCCGCAGACAAAATGACCTTACCGAACAAGGCTGCCATGAGTTGATGCTTCCGAGGGATCGTGTTGATGTCCGGTATGATCAAAAGAGACGCTTGCCTCAGATCCTTAGTGTCTGAAGCCACAGAATCACATCTTTGTGATGATATTCTTTACAAATGTGACTGCTTAAATTAATGTGAATGCTTTAAATAAAACCAGGTACAGCCAAGGTTCGCCTGTCAAAGATACACAACACTGTCTCAATGGGCTAGTCCAATCCTTCGCCGCGTCAGTGTTTAAAGCCGGGCTGGGCAATCCCTTCAGCGCCCATGCCACAGTCTTCTTGGTGATGCTGGCTTCCACTGCAGCGTGCCTGCTGTGAAAATTGGACTTGCGAGCCCGGTCATTGGAAGCGTCTGCTTTCCTTTGTTTCTGAGCCTCAGCAACTACTGCTTCTGTCACCTCGGAGTTCAAAAGCAAGCCATCAGAATAAGCCTCAGCTTTTCGCTTCTTCTCCAATCGACTCTGTTGCTCCACTTCTTTTCGAGAACTTTCAGGCAAATCATGTGAAGAAATCTTCCGGGGAGGCGTAATCAACTGAGCCGCAGCCTCCTCCACAGCTTCCTTTCGTTTTCGCATCCAGTTCTTGTGGGATGACGGTCTCATTGGACCTTTGCGACCGAAATCTAACCGCTTCCTCCTGCCCTCAGAAGACCGGGACTTGCCGCTTTGGCTCAGCCGTGTGTAGATGGCTCGAGCTTCCTGCAGCATTTCCTTTTCCTGCGCTTGGTCCAGAGTGCACCCCATGGCAGCACAGACCCTTCGGTCCGTATCTGCCTGGGCACTTGCCAATTCCACTGGTGATCGTTTCAATTTTGAAAAGAGCTGCTCAACGCCGGAACTGGACGCTGACCATGCCAAGAAGGCGCAAACGACCTGATGAAGAATCGTCATGAACAATTGATTGCCAATGATGTCAAGGCTATTGTAAAAAATCGACTAACATAAAATTAAACCAAAACTTATTCCTACTACTTGTCCCAGCGACGCGATATAAAGCATCTTGAGGATATTTCCCCTTGAGACGAGAATCTCGTATGCGCAACAAAACGTTCGCCCACGCCGTGCGATTGTCTTGTCCTGTCTTCTTCTTCATTGCCTGGGCCATAGGCAGGATTGCAACATACTGTTGCGTCAGGTCTGCCAGGTTCACCCCGAAGGCGCACGCCAGACGCGCCAGACTCTTCTCTACAGTGCGCTTGTCGCTGTCACTCATGCTCCCGCCGAGATGAAAGACATCAAAAGCGCCAATGAGGTGCCACGACGGAAACTCGGCCTTCAGAGTTGCTTCTGCCCCACACACCCATTCCTGGCGACGAAGGATGTAGACTGGTTAATTAAAAAGCAAGTATGTCATACAAAGTTTTAGTAATAATCCGTAAATGCATTGAAAAAATACATGTTGATGCAATGTATATTCAATTCTCATGTGAAATATGGACCGATGTGAAACGCAAATTCTTTCCAAAATTCTTTCATAACGTTCATAGCCCGACGCTTGTCACAGTCTCGAACTCGCACTTCTCTTGCCTGTCCAGCAATGAGAATGCTGAAAGGGGCCCGTGTGCAAGAATCCAGCAAATCTTTTGCAAAGGTAGGCAAAGTGAATGCCTCTTCCTGAAGAAACAATGCGTGAGTACTCAAGAGAAACTGCTGCGCTTTGGTGTTGAGAAGGGAGATGTCGCTCTGCTCGTCGTCGCAGAAGCGAGTGAAGTCCATGGACGTTGCCGCGGCATCTGCACAGAGTGAAAGCAGGATAGCTTTGTAGCCAGAAAAATGTGTCAGAATCTGGGACGCCCAACGGCCTGACGAATCCCGAAGCAATGCAATCTTATGCAAGAGGGTCAGCACACACCTCATGTTTTTTGTCACCCGTGACAGGGGATGAGCATAGCTTCCGAAGCGATGCTTCGCAGCAGCCATGCTGGCTCCAGTTCCTCCTTCTTCTGTACCCTTCCCATCTTTTTCAAGAATTTCATTCCACCACTTGGTGTACAGTGGACTATGCTGCACCTTTTGACAGAAGCTGTCCTTTCCTGAGATGAACTCATCCATTATAGCCTCTAGCTCAGCGTGCTTTTGGAAAGGTCTCTTCAGCAAGCGGGTGCTCGCATGCGCAATGTCACGGCCAACTATCTTAACATGCGGCAGCTCCTTTTCACATTCACCTGTCAGTGCAGATGGGCGTTTGCCTCGCAAGACATTGGACGCCAGCTGCTCCGCAGAAGCTGCATCGGTTACCAAAATGGTAGTCCGCTCGCGGATCCTCTTCTCGACCGAGTCATCGTATGCTGGAAGCTCCGGGTCAAGGCAGGAACGGGGAGGGTGGAGCATCGGCTGGCACAAATCATGGATGGCTTCGACAGTGCAGTTGGCCAAGCTTTCGGAAAAGCCTTCGGTGGGCTTAAGGCCAAGCACTCCCTGAACGACCCTCAGGTCTGGAAGACATGCTCGGAACCTTATCAGAAGCCTGCCTTTACGCTCGTCCCTCAAGAGAGCAATTACTTCTGCTGTTTTCAGCCAGCGACGATTCATGTCCAGTATTGCCTCGGAAATGGACCAGCGTATGTTGGTCTTCTTGTCGGAAGACACACCTCCATCTCTGCAACTTCCACCTTGTTGCATCTTTGTCCAAGCGTCCCGGAACTCCGACAGAGGCGGCGCCAACAGATTTACCCGCGAGTTCGTCCCATGCTGGAAGCTTTGCTCTGCCAACTTGTGACCCTTGGAGTCTTCATGCCGCTTCAAGCAGTGCAGTCTCAAAGCTGTCGGCTTTAAGTCAAAGTTCGCCCAGGGGCCTCCAGCGTCAAAAGCAGCACAAGCTGCACAGCCCACCCTTGCCACTTTCCCTTTCAAAGTCACTTGCAGCCATTTCGCATTCCGCAAGCGCTTCCGCCAGCTGTCCTTCTCCTTGTGCCAATGACACAACCCGCAGCGGCCAGGCTTCAAAGTGCAAGACCGACTGTGCTGGCTAACCAGTTTCGAAGGAAGAAGCGTTGGCTTCCCCATGGCGCCTTGTGATAAACTGAAATAAAATGAACCATGCCATATTAAATCCAATATACTATGAAGAATAATGATCCGTGATTGATTCTTGTGTGTTCAACATGTGGCCATTAATTTGTCACCCCCTAATTTCAATAAGCCAGAATGTGCAGGCAAATCAAAAGGAAAGCAGTGATTGTCACGGGACATGCAAGACCATGCTAAGAAGTCATAATTCCCCTTTAAAGTCAATGAGCCTGCTGCCTTTTATTAGCTAACAGCCCGCAGGCTACGGCACGCATGCCTTGGCCCGCAGGCCTGGCCCGCAGGCACTGACCCGCAGGCCCGCTCTCAAGCGACATAAAAGCCCGCAGGCTCAAACCTTAATAATTAAATGACCTGCCACAAACCTAACTCAAGCCCTGGCTTACGACTATTACAGCGAAAAAAAAATCTGCGTTTTATCCCGCCAGCGGCATCGCGATGCACATATATATTTCTAAAAACTCAACCATTATGGCCCCTTGTCAAGAATGGCACGGCCCAAATGGTGCAAAACTCGAGGTGAACCCAAGCTTTCATCTTCATTGGACTCGGGGGTGCTCAGAGATGAGTCCAACATTGACAGAATCTGCCGCAGCAGAAACATTGTCTGTCAAGCGAACGGCAGTTTCAGCCACAGCAGCTTGGCCGCGTTCGGCGTTGCCTTCTGCCAGAAGTGCACATGTGCGCCCAGCGTTTCCTGATGCCTCAGCATCAGAATGCCGAAGCTTGTTTTCCAACGCATTTTTTTTCTCTTCGCACACGCGTGAAATGTGGTCCCACACTGCACGAAGCTTGTTGTTAGCTTTCTCCAGGTCACGCTTGCACTCTGCCCAGTCAGCTTCCGGCCCAGCTGCCAAAAGGTCGTCCAGATCGTCTAAGGCGATAACTGCTTCTCGGGCTGAGGTGTTCACATTGACCCACCACTGGAATTTGTCCAGCTCCGACTCAGGTCTGCGAGCCATGACAGTCGGGGCTATGTAATGTTGTCACTGGTCTGAGCCTGAACCAAAAACTACGATTGCGACCGATGCTAGACTCCCAATTCCAAGCTCGGAAAAATCGGCACCACAACCTTGACAGATGCAAAACAAATAGTGAAAAATAAAAGATACGCGGTCAACACTGTCAACATCTGGTTTCGCACTCCTGTCTCTTTGTATGCCCACTTCTGTTTTGAAATTTGGAAATATCACAGAATACAAGCAAAACCCGCACGAGGCGGCTGGCGGAAGTTTCCAGCAGCAAAGACTGTTATACTATAGGAAAGACAACGTTTGCCTATAGGAGTTGGAGTGAAGCCTCACGTCTTCGAAACTCTGCTCTGAAAATTCGTTCTGATCTTGCCTCAGCCCTTTTCAACTGTGACCACCACTTCTCAGCTCTTTGCAGATCTTCTCAGACCATCTCAGTTCATGTGAATTCTTCTCCCAACTCTTCCCAACTGTTCTCATTTTTTTCATCTCTTTCCACCTCACCTCAATTCTTTTTCATCGCTTTTCATCTCTTCTCCTCTCGACTCTTCTCACCTGATGCCTCACCTCACCTCAACTCTTCTCACCTGCTGCTAGAAGTAGAGCGTTTGCTTGATGTGGCAGCCGCCCTGGGGCGCTACGAACCCCACACAACAATCCACAACAAGACAGCAAGACAAAAAGACAGCAAGAACAAGAACAAGAACAAGAACAACAACAACAACAACAACAGCAGCAAACTTAACAATTACGAACCACGAACCTGACGACAACAACAACAACAGCAACAACAACAACAACAACAACAACCACAGCAACCACCACCACAACAACAACCGCAACTGGAAACACAAGAAACACCACCCACAGCCACAAAAAAGCAACCAAGCAACCTCTAAACAACACCAAGGGTGGGAAAAGTAATCCCAACACAGATACTTCCCGTCTTTGTCCTTCGGGCGGTGATCCATGGAGCGGCCCGCCTCTTTGCTGGTCAGAGCATTTCCCAGGAGGGGGGCGGGTTCCTTGGCGGCAGTGTTAGCGCCAGGGGGCACTCCCTCTGCCTCCAGCCCGTGGGTTCCTAGGGTTGGGAGCGGAAGGTTGCGCTTTGTCTGGTCCGCCAATGTCTTCAGCTCCCGCTCGTCCGCCAGTGAGTGGTGACGGTCTCTTGAGGGCCATTGACCAGCAAGCACGATCCAACATGCGCTGTTGGCGAGGAACAATATCCGTTTGGAAGTACTCTCCTGGCGCCTGTAGGTCGAAAGTTTGAGGCAGCCGGAGCCAGGGTTCGCCATTTTCTCCAGGGGATGTGGCGAAAAACCGAAGACGGTCAAAGCTAGGGCTCTCGTCTTGCATTTCCCGCCTGGCCCTTCGATCGAGCGCCCTCAACTCTTCCGTGAAGCGGGCCCAAAGCTCCTCCCACACACTCATGACCGAGTGCAACGGCCACGCATGGGCATATTCTTCCCCGAATTTAAGGAGTTGTGCCGCAGCTTTTTCCCAACTGCCATAGTACTCTGCCCCCAGGATACATGCCATGGCCCAAGCTTGGCGCACAGCATTTCTGTACCAATTGGACAGAGTAGTGGGATTCCGCGCCCGTTTTTCCAACTTGTTATCCCCAGGCGGGCTAAACAATGTCAAACTCCTCCTCCGAGGTCTGGGCGAAATCGGCCACCGTGAGGCAATAGTCGGGCGGATTACCTTTGCCTCCGAAACTGAGGGAGGCAGCCCCAAAGGCGATGCGGTTGGTAATGTTCACCGGGAAGCTGATTTCTCTCAACAAGGGCCGGTTCTGCGTCGCTACAGACTTTAGGGCATGGTACAGCTCCTTTCCGACCGTGGCTTCCCCAAGGTGCACCGTCAGCGTGTCGCACCCTCTAGCCAGGTACAGCATCCTTTCTTCTGTTCTGCCGATCGAGGACAGCTTCCCTCGATCTTGGGCAGCTGGGTCTTCCTTCGCCGCCATAACTTTTGCGATTGTCTGCAGAGCCTTTGAAGTTTCATCGAGGGCCGGAGGTCCCGGATCGGTATATGCTCCAGCATGAAAGGGTCGGAAGGCATGCAAACCTTGTATCCCTCCAAAACCTGCTGGACCGGACATTCCTGGGAAAGTTCCAACCGCTCCCGGGCTCGAAACAAGCCTCGGGCGCGGCAGGGCGGAATCGATCTCGCTCTTAGGGCGAAACAAGCTCGCAGCGAGCTCACCGGAAGTGCGAGGACCCGGGAAATGACTCGCAGGAGCCGAGGCCGGCCTCCCCAGCCGTGGGGCTGGCGTGTCGGATTTCTCTTCTTCTGTGGGCCTCTCCAACGTGGCCTCCAGCATCCGAGTTACCGGGTCGTATGCGGGTTCTTGACATACGGCAGGGGGATGCGCAAGGCGGTTGAGCGCTCTCCAGGCGGGTGATTCTCGGGTTTCCAAGTCTTTGTGTTGTTGCACATAGGCCTTCGCCAGGGAAGTCAGCGAGTCCTGGAACCCAGGATGCTTCCACTTGCCGTCCCCCGGGTTCCTGGCAGAGAGGGCCTGATACGCTTCCTCTGCCTCTTTGCCTGGAGCAGCTCGACCAGGAGCTCAGCAAGGTCTGCCCTGTCGGCCACCGCGCCCTGCATTGCGTTGACTTCTGGTCTCTCTGGTTGACGCGCAGTCTCTGACCTTTGGCCGGTATCCACCTGGGGCGGTGAAGCCTCGCATGCCCTAGGTGCGGTTTTGGCCCGGGGCTTCTCTTCTGTGGCTCCGTGCAACTTGCAAAAGTTGACCCCCTTCCTGGTCCCTGTGACTGGCTGCAAGCACCCCTTCACCGCACATGCTCGACCCAGGAGCGAGCCCTGGTACATGGACCTGTGGTACTCACAGGCATGAAAGCATGGGTCGCCGCCTTCAGTGGTTGGTAACCCATCAAGACAGCTGTTGGATCGGTCAGCTTGTAGAAGCACAACGGGACAGCCTCGGGCCACGTCTCTGCAAGGTCCAGCAGCAAGAGGAACCACCTTGCCGTAGTTGTCTAGGGCGACCTGGTCCGCTTGACAATGCAGCCCCGTGGGGCCTAGTTCCGCCTCGGATTCCGTCTCAGAATCTTCGTGTTTTTGGCCCTGGTACCCTGCGCCGCGCTCCGGGCGAGAAACTCGCCTCGTACGGCAACACCGGCACCACAGACACCAGCACCAAGCTCGGCCGCATCTTGCCATGCTGCGGCCGAAACAGCGGCACCAAAGTATCCCGCAAAAACTTGTGATCACCGCGCACCGTCCCCAGGGCCCTCTTCCTGCCAGTTCCTGCAGGCTGACCTCCCGGTCCTGCGGGACCGTTGCGCTGGCCCTGATGTGCACCTGCGCAACTTCTGGGGCGGTGCAAGGGTCTTGAGCGCACAAGTGGACAGCGCAGTTGGCAGTCTCTATGTGGTGACGGAGGTATCGATGCGACGAGGCTCGAACTTCTTCACACTGACAGAGGAAACCGTGCCGATTCGTTCTTCCCCTTATAGTCCCATGACGAAGCCTCGCTACAGCAACTCCGTCTGCAACTAAGAGGTCGAATGGCTTCTGATTCGGTCCTCTTCCCCGTACCTCGCGCTGGATGTACAAGGCGGACCATGGTGTCCCTGCACCCGGCCCTTTCCACACGGGTATGAAAGGCCTCTGCCCCTGCAAGCGTGTCACATCGCTCCAAGTGCCTGTCCCTTGGCAGTATCGCCAGAGAGCCCTGGAGTGAATCCAAGTCGGATGAATGACCCACGTGTAGGTCCATACAAGCAACTGGAGCAAGAAGACGAGGACCATCCCGGTAAGGAGCCAGTAGCTCCATCGGGCGGCTAAGCCAATTGAGGCACAAAGAGTCCCACAATAGCTTATCCCATTCTCCGCAACCTGTAACAGCATCCGTACCCACATTTTGATCCACCAGCTGTTTCCGACGTAATGGTAGGCGCCATCCCAGGCAACACTCCACCAGTCCCAAGTTCCGTTACCTCCAAGCCCAGGATCCGGGCGGGATGGCCCGCCTCGGTCCCTTGGGCCTGCTTCTGTTCGGTTTCTAAGATCGTCGGAGGAGTTGGTACCAGTCAGCAGTCCAAGCTGCAACAAGTTCCATCCATTTGCCGTGGCTGACGCTAGGAGGTAAACAACCCCTAGCGCGGCCCGAACCATGGCCCCCGGCTACCTTGAGCCCAAAACTAAGGTAAACCCTATTAAGGTCAAAACCTAGAGCGCGCTACACTAAGCTCCTACAGGTATGTACCCCAAATATATGGAAAAATGACTTAGTGGTGCTAAACGTAGGGAATGGATGAGTAGCTGGGGGTTGCTGGGATTATGAAATTGATAGTTAGCCAGTGGAATGCCAGTGGATCATTCCCGAAAATTCCCTACGTTTAGTTTAGCACCAGTAAGATAAAGATTATCCCCCAACTGCTGGTGAACCCCCCAACTCTCCGACATTGACCCAATTGACCCAGCCACCCCCAGCAGCATATTGCGACAGCCACGCCAGGCCAACACATAGTCCGAGACGGTGAGGCCCCAAACAGTCGCCTGGGTGAATGTGGGTGTAGAGCCCGGGGAGTTGATCCTCAAACGGGGAGAGAAGCAACACAAATGGCTGGTTGGTGGTTTCAACCAACCCCTCTGAATAATTTTTTTGTTCGTCAGTTGGGATGATTATATATTCCCAACTGAATGGAAAGTCATAAAATTCCATGGTTCCAAACCACCAACCAGATGGAGATTTCATGGCAGTTCAATTGGCTGGCAAGGTAGGAGATCACCGACCGGCTCACCCCTTTCACGTGCTTGCCCTGCACCAAGGCAGCCGGTCTGTTCTTGCTGTTGTGACCTCCCCAGTACAGCTTCATGGAGGAGCGACTGAGGGTTCGGCAGCCATAAAGGCCGTCTGGCCCGAACCTCCGCCCATTCTGGGATGGGCCCAGCACCGAATTCAAATAGCATTCCTCCTCCACCCTGGCCAAGTGGCTGGTGCTCATCAGGTGCTTCTCGTCTGCACACTTGTCGCCGCAGCAGAGCTGGCATTTCATCCAGGTCTTGTCATACACCCGCGAAGCTTTGAGAGCATACTTGTGCACAGCTTGGGGCTTTTACAATCAACAACGGGATATGAGCAACACTGAAATATGGATCTTTTAGAAACCAAAAACATGGGAGTCACGGCGATGACGTATGCTGGCAAATGATCATCTGTATGAGAATATATCCGGGTGAATGGTTGCGGATTCATGGGCTGATTGATCGCCATCAAGGGGCCAAGATGTTGAACATCATACTTACCATATAATTTCACATCATAGTTCCAGCGTTGCAACTTTTTAAAATGCTGTTCTAGCATGTTCTACCTATTTGGGGGGTGATCTATTTGAAGGTTGCTAATTATAATAAAACCTCAATCTTTAGAATATGTTCCCAATAAAACTTACATCATCATCTTTAGATGATTTTCCCATCCTATCCTGCTATGATTGCCCAAAAAGGGATCTCCCAACAGCAGGCGAGTGGCAAGGACCATTTGCATCAGTGGGGAAACGAAGAAGGCTGCGAGGACGAACACAGAACCTGACCGGACTGTTTGCTTGAAGGTTTCATGGGTTTTTCCAAGAAAAATCACGATTTAACCAACAAAAAAATGTTGATTTATAGGATTTAGTATGATTTAATGGGACTATAGTGGTATTTACTATGATTCCATGGGATTTATTCTCGATTACCTTACAAGGATCGGCTATATGTACATATATATATATACGTATATATATATATATATATACATGTGTGCAGTACAGATACAGCATCTAAGAATATCTAACATGTATAATTATGGCAATCCCAATGCCATAGTAGAGTTTTAGAACTTGGCTTTATCACATTCCTTGTCGAGATGCTGTCAGTGATCAAGCCGATCCCTGCCATGGCCGAAGCAATGATGATGCAGGCCAAGTGGTTGAAACCTCGCGATTTGTCACAACGACGAAACGTGAAGCGTTGCAGTCAGACTTGGAGATCCAGATATATTTCCGGATTGTTTCTTGAAGGATCTATGATGATAATTAATATATATATATATATATAATATAAATTTATATATCTTTATATATTTCTTACTAATTGGTGGTTTCAACCCCATGTTCAGCCCAAGACCTGGGATTTACTGTAGATCTACATGGGGGGGCCACCATAGTCATGGGGGTACCCCGGTCGCTCGCCTGGATGGTGACTTTTTCATGGAAAATCCCAACATCAAATGGATGATGATTTGGGTGTACCCCCATTTTAAGACATCCCCAACCACATGAGTTTCTCATGTCACTCAGGGACTTCAAGGACTTGCCAAAGATACAAGATCTTCCCCGCTGGATGAAGCCCCAAAGACATCACCAAGTTGCGAAGAAACTTCGCAAGACCGCTCGATTTCTTGCTGACATGTCAACAACTCGAAATATCGTCTATATGGGCTCATGGGAATATGATGGCTAATAATGGTGAAACATGGCGATTAATGGTTGATAATGCTGATTAATGGTAACTGGTTGGTGGTAAAACAATCCCTCTGAAACATATGAGTCAGTTGGGATGATGACATTCCCAATAGATGGAACAATAAAATTCATGTTCCAAACCACCAACCAGGTAACATCTTTGATATCTGAGTAAAATTATCTACACACGATATATCAAACATGAACGAATCCAACTTGTTGATAGCACTAACAATTGGTCGTGAAGGTTCATAGAACACCCGCAACATCTGAGCAGGGACCCACTGGCCTCCTGTCATTCCCAAACCCAAATCAACTGGTTTGGATAGGGATGAACTTACCAAAGTGGAGTATAGTGGATAATTACCTGGTTGGTGGTAAAACAAACCCTCTGAAAAATATGAAAGTCAGTTGGGATGACTATTCCCAATATATGGGAAAATAAAACATGTTCCAAAACCACCAACCAGTTACTATAACCCCCCATTTTTCACCGGTCAGTGACAGTCTAGTACTCAGCCAACCATCATTTCGTTGGATTCTGTTCAGTTCTCTCTCCGGTCTTGGAGGTTAAATCACTCACCATCGACTTTCTGGGTCCTGAGATACCCTCCGGTAAACTAACATAGCTATGGAAAATGGTGATGTATAGTGGATTTTCCCATTAAAAATGGTGATTTTCCATAGCTATGTTAGTTTACCAGAGGGTATATGGGGGTTCCTAAAATGGTTGATCCCCAAGTCACATGGTTGTCAACCTACGCTAAGTCATGGTCATCCATGACGACTGGATGGGGTACCGTGACTTAGGACCCCCCCCTTTTTCGGAGAACATTCTTCTTTCCTCTTCCCATCCTATTCCCATGGTTGTATTCCCATGGATTCCATGGTTGATGATGAAAAACACCCCTTTCCTCCCATGGATGGTGAGTGAAAACACCCCAGGTGTCCCCTGACAGTCACAGCTGGGCCAAGCAACTCAGAAAACTCTGTGCCACGATGGCAGAATGGATCTCTAAAGTCGACCTGCAAAAGCGCTTGACGCGACATCCTGCGACTCCCGTCTGAGTTTAACGTCCTAATTTTTTCGGAGGCAGAACACAAGGTGAGACGCACCAGTAGAGTTAGTTGATGTTAGTTTATTGACTATTGGTATGTGAACAATGTTAGTTATATATGATAGATATGTTAGTTATTGACTAACATTGTTCTATGTTAGTTTATTGACTATTGTATCCCATAGGATCCATGGTGCTGGTATATATGCTAACATGACTGGGGTATATTGATGGGATCCATGTTACCATATATAGCAGCACCATGGATCCTATGGCTATGTATGTCTATTGTTCATGTTATGTATGTCATTGGTCTATAACTGGCTCTATAACTGGCTGTTTTTCACGGATATATACATCGCCAGACATGGCGGCTTTTTGAACAATCCCTCATGTCCATTTTCTGCAGCCCAGGTCAACTTCTTGGTCAAACAAAGAACACCTATTCCTACACTTTTCAAGATGCAATTTACCTGTTGCCAGGTTAAAATTCAGAAGCTTCCACTTGTCAGGTGGTTCAGCCGGGGGGTGTCAAGCAACAGTTCAACATCCAATGAGTAGTAGCTACACTTCACCACCTTAATTTCAAAGAGGTGCGTACATAATAAGGGCGTTCAAACATAAGCTCAGTACTGAAGACTGGGATAAAAACTCCTTTTTTCATCTGAATTTGTGAAATCATTATCTGAAAATGTGAAACTATTCCGACTTCCCTGTCAATTTGACTTTAAATAATTGCGTGTCCATATCAAAACCTTAATATGTTTATATAGTGTTTTTGATATAATAGGGGACCATGTGAATTTGAGTATGGAAGAACCTTTTTCAGATGTTTTGATCATGTAAAATGGTGAAACTACCCTATCTTCCAACTGTAGAAGCCCCATGTCACCCCAAACACGAGGCACCCAGCCAAGGCGCATTCGATCTAAGGCGGTGCTATTGAACTGCTTCCACCTACAAGGGAACAACGGCAAAACTGGATTTGCGTAAGTGTCAAAAAATGTGGTGAATACCAAAGAATACCAAAACTTGAGAGGCAAAACACTAACAGCTTCTGAATGGAATTTACCCTCTGGTAAACTAACATAACTATGGAAAATCACAATTTTTAATGGGAAGACTCACTATAAATGGTCATGTTCAATAGCTATGTCACAAATTACCAGAGGGTAAAAAGATGATTTCTGATCCATGGCCCACAGATATGATCAAAAGGGGCAATGGCATGCTGAGAGTAATGGAAGAGACGGCAACCCTGATGCTGACAAGTTGTGCTGATGATTGTGACGATAGTGGCTAAAGTATGGTGATGATGATGATGATGATGATATAGTGTGTATAGACACACACATATATTGAACAGTATTGATATTTATCAGTTAAAACCCATATAGCATAGAATCCCATACCTGTCCCATATATATATATATATATATAGAGAGAGAGAGAGATATCCCAGATCCCCATATATCTCCGGCCAACGTTGCCTGCGTCGGCATCGCCCCCAGCAGTTGGACGCCGCAAAGGTCGACGGATCCGGAGGCAGCTCGGTGGTGCAGCGCACCTGGCGGCTTCGGTCTCAGAAAACCCAGGGATTTCATGGGAATTTGCCGAAGAAATGGTGATTTCAAGGGAATTCAACAGGAAAAAATGTGACTTAATGACAAATGATCCAAAAAATGATCAGAAATGGGGATTTAATGGAGATATGATGGTATTTTTTAAACATAAGTGAACATGTGAAGATTGACCACTGTGGATTATGGGGAGTTTAGATGTTTCTATCTGGTTGACCGTTTCATGAGTAGAAAATCCCTATAAGTAGACGTAATTCCCAAATAGATGTGATTGATATAGACATGTTCGTACAATAAAACACCGAAATTACAGAATCAATTTTCACCAGCATTAAAGAGCAGGACTTTGCCCCTTTCTTTTCGACACTTGCTATTCATATATCTTCAAAACTTATATAGATTTCACCAGCTGCTGAAGTTGGGGTACTGTCTCCATTTCCGAACAACGCGCTCGCTATCTTCTCAAGCCATGCTGGGCGGGTGATTGCTATTGGAGAGTAAGTCTCAACGTCTCAACGCAGGAAACAAACCACACATCAACATACATCATCAACCTTCAAATTGTCACATTTGGGCGGATTCCACAATTTTCAGTTTGCATATAAAAACATATAAAACTATCCCGGACTATCCCCTACAGATTCCCTAGTGATAGTGGATGTCCCTTCCATATTCCATTCAGAAGGTCCCACGCAATGCCTCGAAGACGTCAATGGAGCCGAAGTCTTCACTTATTCTGAACCTTGGTGTAGCCAGGGGGTTTCCGAAAATCATATGGATATAGTGAAGATTAGAAGGAATTGCCAGAAGCTAAGGAAGTAATCATGGGTTTGGGATTTTCCCATATGATATTGTTGATGGGATATTGGGACATTATAAGTTCCCTGTGCCTTTGGCAATCTTTGAGCTTCGCATGTACCATCATCGAACCTACAAACAATAGGGATGTATATAGGTGAAATAAAGTATACTAATTATACCCTCTGGTAAACTAACATTTCACTATGGAAAATCACCATTTTGAATGGCTAAATCAACTATTTCAATTGCCATGTTCAATAGCTTTTTCTATGTTTACCGGTCATGTTGCCACCTGGAACACCCTTGAGCCCAAAGATCCCGTGAAGTCTTGTGCCTACGAATTCCCTGAAGTGTTCTTTGTTTCGCACACTTTTTTTCGTTGGTTTCTTCTGCGGAAACTGGGACGACATGTCAAGACATGTCAAGACTATGGACTTTCTGCTTGTTGAGGATTTCTCTATCAGAATAATTCATAAGAGATCGGTTACCTGATTCTAGGCCATCAGATTGAACCATCAACTACTGGAATGGGCTTGGTTGCTGGTTCAAGGTCGCTCGAATACCTGAAAAACCATGGATACTGATCACTGATAACGAGGTTCCTGAAATCAGGGCCATTCATGTTCCATCCCTCTATGGAATTTTCCTGAAATGGAGGTACCCCCAAATCATCTATGGTTTTTGGGTATTCCCCCATTTTGGGAAACCTCCATTTACCAACGTATGGCATGGCCATCCCCACCGAATGGGCCATCATCCAACTACTTTTCGCTTATCTGCTTGATTTGTGAACTACTCATGGTTTGTCAATGCCAGGAATCAATCATGTTAAGCAACAAAACATACCGTTGAATGGAACAAAAAACAATCAAACAAAAAGATGTACAATTACGGTATACATGGCCTATTTGAAGGTTTCCAAAAATGGGGGTACCCCCAAATCATCCATTTTATGTTCGGATTTTCCATGAAAAAAACCATCCAGCTATTGGGGTACCCCCATGACTATGGAAATCCCCACTTCCCATTCCCCAGTCCTTCCATTCACACCTGAACAGTGCTCGAAATCCCTCTATCATTCCATCAAAAACTGGATGGTTTATTTTTCGGGATTCCCCGTTCTTGGATTAAATTGTAATCCCCACTGGTTGGTGGTATACCTACCCCTCTGAAAATATGAGTTCGTCAATGGGGTTGGGATGACATGCCACATATGAAATGGAACATAATCCATTCCATGGTTCCAGTCACCACCAACCAGTTTATCATCTACATCCACTTACATCCCCATCATTCCCTATAAAATTCCATGGTTCCAGTCACCACCAAGCAGTAAAGGCTTTTGTTTCATCCCCCAACGAATTCATCATCGAATCATCGCCACTGCTCACCTGGAAAGGTCCCCGACAGGATGTCCCAGGCACCGTTTGGCCACCTTGATCAAACTCGTCAAATGTTGGGGCCGGATCTTGATGGAAATCCTCAGCGCTCCGCTCCAAAGCGCACGTTTTTTTTTGGAATTGGGTGAATGTGGGGAATTGGCATCTCATCTAAAACATATAATAAATCTGGAATCAGTTTGGATTTTTTGGAATAGGTGGCATATCATATATCATCTTAAACATGAATATACAAAAACTCATGGATCTGTCTGAATATGGGTATAATTCTCCAGATCCCAAACATCTGATTTAGTAAATTTGATACTGAAGTGACTCCGTGGAAGGCTCAGTCAACAGGCGAAGCAAACAAAATTCGGCCAGGCCAGATGCCTAACTTTACCCCACTCTGGTTTCAAGATGAATTACTCTCATGTGGCTGCGGAATATTTTTTTTTAAACCCTAGCTCCCAACAGATCCCGCCATCCACCGGATAGATATGGATAGATTGTCGAAAATTCGAAAATTCGAAAAAACAGAAACTCCCATCAAATGTCCCCACCATATTCCAACAAAAAACACCAAAAGAGAGCCATCCAATGCAACACCCGCCCAACTTTCACCGTTCCGCCACGCATCGTATGGAGTCGTTCTCCACGACGACGCTCACCATCCAACACGATGCGCTCCCCCGAAGACACCTGGAGCGCCGCTCGCGGCGCTTCGTGCGGTTTCTCCGACGACCGCAATGGGATGATCTCTGAAGGTGATCCAAACGACGAGAGAATCGATTTATAAGTAGATATATAGTAATTATACAATATGAGATAGAATTTATATGTATTTGGTATATATATATATATATAATGTTGATACATATATATATATAAAAGATTAAAGTTTTGATATTGGATATACCAAATACACATTGATAATAGATATTCAATAGATGATGTGATAGCCGTCTATCCAATTATATACGTGATGACAATATCTCTTGATATGTATATATATACACACATATAATTATGATAGGCAATATGGACATGTATATATTATACAGTATATATTATATTCAGTTGATGATATCTAATATAGCAAGTTGATGATTAAACCAGTCATAAACGGCTCTTTTCATGCCGATACACTGGGGTATATAGCCAACTTAGTACGACACCATGGGAATTCTAAGGGTACCTCCCTCCCCCCAGAAGTAAACTTGAGCCTGTACTTGGGGTTGATGGTGGTCAATAACTGTTAAATATAAGGCCTGAAATGGGGGGGGATCTTTGTAGGGTACCCTGGGTACCCTTCGACCTCCATGGAAATAATGTCAATCCACTTGGACTATGATTCAGATGGATGTTTCCAGATTGGTGATATATCATTTGCACTCCAACATACTCCAACCTTGGTGATTTTTTTTGGGTTATATATGGTTGTATATTTTCCAGATGATTCCCCCATTGACGGTGACCACATGGTGAACCCCGGCCGCAGCCCATCGCCTCAAAGTGTCGTGCCATGCCTTTGCCGTGCTCAGCCAAGGCGTCGCCTCCCAGCAACGATTCGGAGGCGCGGGGCGATTCGGAGACAATTCCAGAGGGGGAAGCCACATCATTTGACTGGAAAATCCACGACATTTCTTTGGGGCGAAAACATCAGTTGCAATGGAAAAAAAACCAACACACACACTTTTTTGGGGGAAAACACACATCATGTGCAATGTTCAATTATGATCCTTTCGCATACCCATCAGATTGTTATCCTAATTTCCAAATCATAACCGTCACAAAGATAGAAAAACTTCAATTTAGCACAGATTATTGTGGAATTGTCGTGTGCTTTTCTGTTTTTTTTTTCGGGTTCCTGTGAAATACGGCGGTATCGCCCAATATCCCCAGGTTTCACTGCAACCAAGCAGCAAACGCCATGGAATTGCCTCGGCACTTGCAACAATGCCGGTTTTAGGGTTGAACTGGGGTTGTAAAGCCACCTACCTAGTTTTAATAACACTTTATTCCTACATACATTTATAGATATATTATTATATGTATATTGTCTACTATTTCAATCTCCACTCTTGAACACTTGGCCTTCCGCAAAAAAAACACGGTGCCCTGAGAAAAAATCTCAAAAAAAGTTAGCAGAATAGACTATGTTGGGATGGAAGGAGCCACCCACTACACCACATCCATCTTGCTTCGCCAACTCCCATCCTTTCATGGTCCCAATTCCAATGTTTGAACCGACAACTCAGCGGCATCGAACTTTTTTTCTTATCAAGCCACCATTTCTTTCTTGCATTGATTTCTTGTTGTGTCAAGTGAGAAATGTAGTATATTCTCTTGGTAAATCAGGAAAGAACTTTACCGTTTTTTGCTTCGAAGACACATCTAGAGTCAGTATTTCCTCTCCACTTCCGGAACCACCAGAGTTTCAAACAGGGGAGTGGCATCAGGAAAGCTGCCATGAGAATAGTGATCCCAGCACTCTGGGCACCTGAACATACAAACAAATATAAGGTACAGTACCTTGTAATGACACCTTCAACACCGGATGTTTTTGTGAGTGCCATGTTTACCTGAGTGTTCACCCACCCTTTCTGATCGTCAACCTGTTTCTCTTCTTGGCATTTTTACATATTTTTACCCCTTTCCTCAGGCGAAAATCCATGAAAATCCTGCCCCATGCTGTTGAGATACTCTTCCGGGATGCCACACAGCTTTACCAGCAGGCACGTCATGGTGCGCAACACGGCTGAAATCCCGGGGGAGGCGTGTCGTGAACATATGTCTCTCCTGTCTACGTGCATTCAGGAAGCCTCCAAAAAAGTAGAAAAGTAAAATTGCACTGAAATGGTGGTGTAAATCTTGTTTCTATCTTTTGGGGGGCTCTATATGATAAATTCACAATACGTTTCTGATTTTCTTCATATCTCTCCAGTTTCTTCATACATCCACCATGGAGGTGACTCGGATGACTTCAGGGACGGCCAGCTATACACGGCTGGCCGAGTTTTGATTTGCGAATGGATGTGAAGGGATATACACAGCAAATGAGCCATGATAAAAACATGGGATGGGTATGGATGGGTCATAGTTCTGATGGGTTCCTTGCAAAATTTCAATCCTCATGATGGACAAACATCTTCAATCATGGATTCAATCTAAATCCCCATTTCAAAAAAATCAGGCGCTATCAAATCGATTCAAATCGTTCTTTTGCAATATTGCCGGTTGGTGGTTTCAACCCCTCTGAAAAATATGAAAGTCAATGGGAAGGGTGACATCCCATATATGAAATGGAAAATAATCCAAATGTTTGAAACCACCAACCAGATTGTCATTTCGCCCCTATAAAGAACAGGCTGTGTAGATTGGAAAGCTCCAATCTAAGTCATCCCGCCTGCTCTTCTCCGGCCGGCTGTCAACCAGCCGAATGCCCTCCGGGGGATGGATCAGACACGATCAGCAACATATGTCTATAATCATATATGGATATATATGGACTATAATATGGCTATATATATATAAATATAGGATATATATATATATATATAGGATATATATATATATATAGGAAATATATATATATAGGAAATATATATATATAGGATAAATATATATATAGGATAAATATATATATAGGATAAATATATATATATATAAAGGATATAAATATATATATATATAGGATATATATATAGGATATATATATAGGATATATATATATAGGATATATAAATAGGATATATATATATAGGATACATATATATATATATATATATGATATATAAAGGATATATATATAGATATATTTAGGATACATATATATATACATATAGGATATATACATATAGGATATATATATATAGGATATATATATATATATATCCTTATAGGATATATATATAGGATATATATATAGGATACATATATATATATAGGATACATATATATATATAGGATACATATATATATATATAGGATACATATATATATAGGATACATATATATATAGGATACATATATATATATAGGATACATATATATATGTAGGATATATATATATAGGATATATATTTAGATATATATAAGTATAGGATATATATATATATATATATATATGGTCAGTGCCGGAATTATAGAACGGAAGTTGAGGAGGACGAAGGTACGGTTATTTACCGTACCCTGTTGTTCTATAATTCTGTTTTCCTCGGAAGGTATGAAAAAAAAATGTATCTGATCTTCCTCCTAATTTTTTTTCGTCGTTCTATAATTCTTGTCGGAGCGCTGTTGTTCTATAATTCTGTTTTCCCCCATTTTTCTCACATTTCCCATTTTCGTTCTATAATTAATGTTTCCCGGGCCCCGTTCTATAATTAATTTTTCCGTCGAACGGAAAAATTAATTATAGAACGGAAAAATTAATTATAGAATTATAGAACCTCTTCCGGGGTCCCAGAAATCCTATAAAATCACCATGAAATCTAAGAAAATCACCGTGAAATCTCATAAAATTACCATGAAATCCCATAGAATCACCATGAAATCTTATAAAATCACCATGAAATCTAAGAAAATCACCTGGTAAATGTGGGAAAATGGGGGAAAACAGAATTATAGAACGGAAGTTGAGGAGTACGAAGGTACGGTTATTTACCGTACCCTGTTGTTCTATAATTCTGTTTTCCTCGGAAGGTAGAAAAAAAACGTATCTGAATTTACTCCTATTTTTTTTCGTCGTTCTATAATTCTTGTCGGAGCGCTGTTGTTCTATAATTCTGTTTTCCCCCATTTTTCCCACATTTCCCATTATCCTCATGTTATCCTCATTTTATCCTCGTTATCTCATCAAATCCTCATTTTATCATCATTTTATCTTCATTTCCTTATCAAATCCTCATCAAATCCTCATTGTATCTTCATTTTATCCTCATTTCCTCATCAAATCCCCATTAAATCCTCATTTTATCCGCGTTTTATTATCATTTCCTCATCAAATCCTCATTTTATCTTCATTTTATCTTCATTTTATCTTCATTTTATCCTCATTTTCTCATCAAATCCTCATTAAATCCTGATTAATTCCTCATTTTATGTTCATTTTATCTTTATTTTATCATTATTTCCTCATCAAATCCTCATTTTATCTTCATTTTATCATCATTTTATCCTCATTTTATCCTCGTTTCCTCATCAAATCTTCATTTTATCTGCATTTTATCTTCATTTCCTCATCAAATCCTCATTAAATCCTCATTAAATCTTCATTTTATAGATTGTATATGTACAAATATGCAGTAAATATCATGTCAGTGCCAGAAATTATAGAATGGAGCCAGGAGGACAAAAGTACGGTAAAATACCGTACCTTTGTCCTCCTACCCGTTCTATAATTAAATTTCCCGACTCCGCTCCGAATCGGAACCCGGAGGAGGACAAAGGTACGGTATTTTACCGTACTTTTGTCCTCCTGGCTCCGTTCTATAATTCTGGCACTGACTGTAGATATATATATATATATATAGGATACATATATATATATAGGATATATATATATATATTTATATATATATAAAGGATACATATATATATATAGGATATATATATATATATATAGGATATATATATAGGATAATTTTATATAGGATATATATATATATAGGATGTATATATATATATAGGATATATATATATATAGGATACATACATATATATAGGATATATATATATATAGGATATATATATAGGATACATACATATATATATATATAATATGGACTATATTAGGACTAATGGTTTACAGTAAGTTTGGGGTAGATCACCTGGATTTTTGGGGCATTAACATCTATGATCATTGAGGCCCACTGCCGCGCCTGGTCTCTTCGCGCTCGCACGCTGAAGTAGGACGAAAGCTTCTTGGACTCGGACCAGAGTAGCATCCTCGGCACATCGGGTTCATCAGCCCCAAGTAGTGGTGCTTCATATGGCAGTGTGTCAAAACCCTGCTACCCCTGGTGAACCCCAAAATAGCTGGTAAATGGATGTTCATCCCACTAAAAATGTATCTATAGGTATTGACCCATCCCCATATCCGTAACAGGGGTTTCCAGAACGAACTATGGGGATTTAACGAATGAAGTGTGGGAGCATCAGGGCTCCCAAGCCCTGAAAATGCTCCAGAACCACTGGGGATCTGAGCCGCAAGGATCATCCTCCAGAGAAAGTACATAGCTACTAGATGTATCAGTATGTTACGATTGGTTCTTGACCAGTTCCTCTTGGGTTCGACAGGTTCTGTCCCCACAATGACATGTTAGACAGTCCATTTCATTTGGTTACATGCCTCCCCATGAGTCACGTATAGTCACGTCTACCTCCCCATCTGCCCCATCTTTCATCAATGAAACAAGCGGGAAAACAACCTGAAGGCGAGACGCCCATGAACATGTACCCTCTGGTAATTTAACATAGCTATTGAAAATGGCCATTTATAGTGGATTTACCCATTGAAAATGGTGATTTTCCATAGTTATGTGAGTTTACCAGAGGGTAAAATGAACCCCCCAACCACATACTTTGGTTGCATGCCTCAATTCGATGTTGGTGACATCCAGTTCTTTTTGCTTAGAAATCCACCTGCATAGATCTTTGATTCACAAAAAAAAAGTTCAATCTTTATTGGTTCAAACATGTTCAAACCCATATTACTTACTGGTTGGTGGTATACCTACCCAACCCCTCTGAAAAATATCATTCAGTTGGGATGATGAAATTCCCAATGTATGGAAAGTCATAATCCATTCATGTTCCAAACCACCAATCAGCCATTCATATTCCATTACCAGAGGGTTAATCACAATTAAATTACCATAAAATCACCATAAAATCAATGTTAGGTCCCTTTTTTCCTTCGTCAAATCTTAATCTTGAGGTGAAATCGCCGCCGTCTTCAAAACTTCAGCCGGGTCGCTTTGGCTCATCCGCTCCGCCTGATTTTGCATCTTTGTTTGGCCCAGAAACATCCAGAAACATGGCTTTAACATGGGGGTTTAACATCCAGAAACAAAAAAACATTGATTTTTCACATGCTTCAACAAAGAAAAATGAACGACATCGGAGCTGCAGTCACAAACAAGGGTGTTTGACCTTGTGGCGTATGGGTCCAGTGACACACAACGCTGCCAGCTGCGCGGTTTGTTAAAAGACATTGGTTTGGCTTCAATCATTTATTGCACAATTCAGGTTCAAATGAATTCAAAGGTTTAAGTGCCAAACATGACGTACTATGAATAACGTGACCACTGTGATATTGCGGATCAATTTTCCTCCATTTTTCCTCCATGACTCCACATCAGAAGTGTGGGATGAATCCACCACCCAGCGACCCAGCGCGGCCTTCGCATGTAGCCACCTCCACTTTCAAATGTGACGTGGCGGCCACAAAACCTGCGGTTGAAGGGAAAAATCCTCAGGAAACCGGATGCTTTTCCCAAAAGCTAAGACCAATGCTCGTCTCTAGACCCCGCAGGGCAAGGTCGTCCCCAGCAAAGTGTCATTGCTATCTGCAGGATGTCCCCATCCAGTTATAAGTTGGTTTAGAACCCCATCAAGTATAGTTATCTATAGTTATATCTACCATAAACGATAAACGATAGTTAAGCCACTTATACTTCAACTGAACGCTATCTTGGGGGCCCCATCCTGTGGGAGTGTCTGAAAATGGGGAATATTGCTGAATAATCCCCCCAAATGGCCAATTTCATAGGAAAAATGATGACAAACCATCAACATCTCGAGGTACTCTATTTTGAGATAAACCCATCTTGACATCAACCAAACTTGTGAATCGAGGGTTCAAGGAATCTTACGTCTTGACCACCCTACTCATACCCAGTTGGCTGATCTTATAAACGCAACAAAAACCATATTTTTCACCATGATCTTCCCCCATCAAGTTGGCGCCAACAATCAGCCATGACCCTAGCCTTCACTTAGGAGTTTTGCCCAGATCTTTTGCTTCAAGCTGAGAGAGGGGGACAGCTGGGTTGCCCTGCCAAACTTCTGCAAAACTAACGAGAGGATCGGCTTGTGGATCCTGTCACGGGACCGACCCAGTCAGATTCCGAAGTACTTCTCTAGAGGTTGACCCTGGCGACCCCAAGATCATCAAAACCCATGGCTTTCTCTCTGAAAATGGATTCATGTGGGGAATTTTTGATGGAACTCTGGGAGTCAGCCAGTCAGCAGATCAAACACTTTGGACAGCGCCTATTGTTTTGGGCAGTTCTTGTCGCTCTGCTGATTCGTCTGCTTCTGTGGCCCTCCCAATAGAAAACACCAGTAAAGAACAAATCAAACTACCCTCCGGTGAACTAACATAACAATGGAAAATCACCATTTTTAATGGGAAAATCCACTTTAAATGGCCATTTTCAATAGCTATGATAAATTACCAGAGGGTATATTTGTTTGACAAGTCCTTATTCAACAATGGAATTCCTTTCAGAAGCAACTGGTAAGCCATACAGAAATCACATTTCCAAGACCTCTCAGCCCCTAGCCCACCTGTCTGTGAGTGGTGTCACTTCCAACATGAGACATAGCTTTAGCCTGGGCGGCTTCGCTCCCAAAACCACCAACATCAGTGGTTATCCTCCAGTCATTTGACAGTTTGCTATTGAACATGGCCTATATTCAGTTCAATGATTTGCCCTTTGTGAGAATGTGTTTTTTCATAACGATGGTTGCGAAATCCTGCACCAGCTGGAAGATGGTGACCATGCATGTTTATTGCCATGATCATCTCATTATTTACAGTGCTTCATAGTTACCCAATCCACCGTATGTTAAGTCACCAGAAGGTCTTCAGTACGGAATCTCGTAAGATTGGATTTCAATAACATCATATAGTATCAATAAATCCAATTGTCAATTGTCAATACCTCTGGTAAACTAACATTTCACTATGGAAAATCACATTTTTTTACGGGTAAATCAACTATTCCTTTGGCCATGTGCAATAGCTTTTTGTATGTTTACCAGAGGGTTATATTTATAAATCGATGTGAGTTTAGTGGAAAAATCATGGAAAATCATGGAGGACAAACACCACTGTTAGTTTATATTTATGTTTAAATCCAGTGGGTCTCCAATGTCAAACCACCACAGCAATGATGACATCCATATGCGGCGTTCCTGCGACGCCATGAACAACGGATCCGGGACTCCCAAATCAGTGTCCGCTTCAACGGGTGCATCCCATCCCCAGCATCTTAAGTGGGCAATAGCCAATTGTTTTATATGTGTATATATGTATTATATGTAATCATATATATATATATGTCACGGATATATTGTTATATTGTTATATAGTCTGATATATTGTTATATATTGTTATATATTGTTATATATTGTTATATATTGCTATATATTGTTATATATTGTTATATATTGTTATATATTGTTATATATTGTTATATATTGTTATATATTGTTATATTGTTGTATATATGTAGCCAATTGTTATATATTGTTATATTGTTATAAATATCAAAAACCACGGATTGGCTATTCCTTGTATGCACATGCAAGCATCCAACAGCAGAAAAGGTGATCTCATCCTACCCCACTGTACCACAATTTCGTAAGTTGAATTCACTGGTGTTGTTGGTTCAATCCCATTGAAACCTATTAGAGTCCCCTTAAACAGCTGTTACCCTCTGGTCAACATACAAATAACCAAATAACTATGGAAAATCACAATTTTCAATGGGTAAATCCACTATCAAGGTGCCATTTTCAAAAGCTATGTTTGACATAACCAGATGGTAAATCCCATATCATCCCATTATTCACCATTGTTAACCATTAAATCACCATAAAAATAGTGGTAAATTATCACCATTGTTAACCCTTTGACATAACCAGGCCGAGTAAGCCCCACGATGTACATCATTGGTTGATAGATGGATCGTGGTAATGCCCAATTGGCAATGTATCGGTTTGTATAACTAATCCTCAAAGCAATCACCAATCAACCATCATCTGCAAGTTTTACCCTCTGGTAAACTAACATAGCTATTGAAAATGGCCATAGAAATAGTGGATTTACCCATTAAAAATGGTGATTTTCCATAGCTAAGTTAGTTTATCAGGCCGGGTATCTCTGTTTTTAGTGTTTAAGCCGTACTACTCACTACTTGCCATCCCAAAAAAACAGATGCCGACAAGTCCCAGGAGAATCATTCGAGAGGAAACATGACATATTTCCAGTTACTTTTCTATTATTTTTGTTGCTACAAATGATGGTTAGCTCCCCCCAAAAAATCTTGTGTCATCAAATATTGCTTTTCAAAAAATATCCAATCATTTCGATGATTTGTCCACTAAAAACCCATTAAGACCTGAGGATTTTATCACTACCACTCCCCCATTGATAGATGATTTGCCCATTCAAAACCTCCATTTATAGACCAGTTTCCATTGTCCCTACCCTCTGGTAAACTAACATAGCTATTGAACATGGCCATTTATAGTGAGTTTTCCCATTTAAAATTGTGATTTTCCATAGCTATGTTAGTTTACCAGAGGGTAGCTGTAAGCCCCTATTTACTTCGAGGATTTTCCAGCTTGCCACGTTTGAGAATCGCCACCGGTGGGTCGCCGAGAGCAGTCCCGATATCGCGCCGAGAGACCACAGCGCCAAGAAGAGCGAGGCCAGACCCCGCCCTCGGAGCTCCTGACGCTTAAATTCTGTGGAATTCATGGCCCATGACGGATCCGGCTGGTGCTGCGATATATGGTAAAACATGGATCCCATCAATATACCTTCTTTATGTTAGCATTAATATACCAGCACCATGGATCCTATGGGTGGGGAAATGGGGCATAAAAATGGTGTCTTCATGGATCATATTCTACTGGATTTTAATTGATGTGATTGGGTTCATCCCATCCCTTTATTGAATAACTGCCTCTCTAAAGCCTGGTCGTGTTTATTGTATGTGAATGTTGGGGGCCTACATGGGGGTTACGAATTGTGAGATGGGGCTAATCTGGAGAATTCATGTCATGATTCGCGAACCTGATACTTTCGGCCATGTGGGGATAATTCGCCCAATCGGAATCTACCCTCTGGTAAACGTTTACAGTTTTGCGAACTGGAAAATCACCATCTTTAAGTTCGGTAAATCCACTATTTCTATGGCCATGTTCAATAGCTATGTAACAAATTACCACAGGGTACCCTCTGGTAATTTAACATAGCTATTGAAAATTGCCATTTATAGTGGATTTTCCCATAAAAAAATAGTGATTTTCCATAGCTATGGAACAAATTACCACAGGGTAATGACCATTGCATCTGGCAGCCGTGACCTGTGGTCTTCTATCATCCCCCAATCAACTGCTGGGATCATATACCGTTTGAACTGCTTCATGACGATTCCCAGCCAGAATCCTAACCATTCATGTGTTGAATGTCAGTGCTTAGAGCTTAAACGTCGTAACATAAGCGTTTGATAACTTCGTTACATCTTTTTTTCCAGCAGAGTCAACCCGTTTCTTCACTCCGCATTTGAAAGGAACGTCATCGACACTTCGGATGTCCTCGTTCACCCACATACCGCGGAGGATGAACTCCCCGGGCTTCACTTCCTGGGGGTTCTTTCAAAACCTGGAGTTGAAATAACTTAAAGCAATAGCACCTGATGTCCCATGGAAGTTCTGATTTCAGTCATAAAATGGTTGAACCAAGGGTATACTGGGAGACTGACCAACCTGGGGATCATGGAGAAGCCACAGCAACATGAGTGCATAAGCCACAAACATCTGGAATGCATGACAGATCAAATACATTCACATATGATAGTTAATTGATGTTGATTGTAACTGCAATAATGTGGGTACAATAATAATAGACCATCCACCAAATCACAACAAATAGGTGGTATAAAGCATTCCCAAATGGGTGGTTTACTATTGTTTTACCCACATTATCATTATACCATAACCATTCAAGACAAATAAGAAAAAACAGTTGTTGGTACCCGGTCAACCATTCTCAACTTGCTTGGGGAACCATTGGCTTGCGGACACAAGGCACAGCTCATAAAATAAGGTGTTGTTTAATTAAGAAAACAGGTAAGCACCAAACCAGCAAATCATAGGTTTTTAATGAAGCGACTCGTTCGTCAACAAATGACTGGTTGATTTCAACACATTCCAAACACATCAAATGGTGCCCATTGAAAAACATGTTGGACAGCCGATTTTTGTGATTCATTTCCCTGGGATTTGCGCAATTTCCAACTCCAACTGTACCAAAATCCAGCTTTCTCAAGGAAAAAACGCCAAGCTTCTGTTGGAATGAAGCCCAGCTTTTTCTTCCTTAGCGCTTTGTTTGGAAGAGCAAGTGTTGCAACCCAAAGCCGCATGCTGACATGTACACACTATAATATGGATTTTTCAGTGTTGTTCAATCGATTGAATTGTAGCGGCTCCCCAAAAAAAACTTCAATGCAAATACACGAATCTCCATCAAACTAGGAGAATTTGCTTCGCAGCTTTTTCTGTCCATTTTGTGGCAACATTTATCACAGCTACATGGAAACTATCTGATCTTCCAAGCTGATCTGGCAAATATTGAAGCACCGAGCAAGTGTTTTCAATCGCAGCTGCCAAAGTTAGAACTTTGGAACTCCGAACAAAAACTCAGGGATGATGAAATTAACATCAAGTGCGTTTGTTTGAAAACGGTGTATGTATATTGTATACCCCCAATTCATGACGAAAATTATGATTTACTATGGGATTTGGGGGTACCTGAAGTTCAGACAAACCCTAGTTACCGCGGGAACTAATGCTGGGAGTTCCATGAACATCATGCTGAACAATACAAAACCCATGTTGTATATCAGAGCATGTAGGATCTGGGACGAATTTTCATGGCTCATTGCAGCACTCCTTTGAGCTTTCCGATTGATTCGAGAAGGCCCGGTGTACACGGGAGTTCCAGCCCCATTGTCAATGGCCAACATTCTCCTACTTTATTTGCCGAAACCTCCTCCATACAAATTCATGAACATCCCAAAACAAACATCAACAAAAAACTTGGTAAACTAAACTGATGACCTATCTATAAACATCCCATGCCATCGTTCAATTCAGCGCAGAAATGTGGCCAAGATTCCCCTGTCCAAAGAGCAACTGCAAACACTTGCGCTCTACGTCACCTCGGGTTGCCGTGGCTGGGGAGGCTGCCCTGCCCTGCACTTAAGTGTCTTGTGGTTTATGTATAAACCCAGTTAACTACAGTTAAATCATGTTAAATCCCTTTACATGCGATTATCATTCCATAAACGGGGTTAGAACTGACTTATAACTGGTAAAGGGCCATAACTGTATGGAGATATACCTATATAGCATAAACCCAAGAGTTCATCTAGTTGAACTCTGCTACCACCTTGTGGGCATGTTTGCATACATTTGCAATAATAATCATGGCATGGACTAACAATCACATGGTGAAATAAACAGCAAGAAATGATTGCTCCATTCATCACAGCCCCGTTGAGATGCTTGTACCCGTATAAACATGGACAAATCGTTAGCTGGTTAATATATGTGAATAATATACATATCCGTTTACAGCAACACAACTATAGTCTTATTGAAAGACAGATCCACAGTTGACCCAGACTTGTTGGTTATATCAAGTTATATCCTACTATATCTCGCTATATCGCTGCTGTATGATCATTCTATCACCATTATATCTCCATATTTGTTAGTGCATCTCCAAGGTCGACCCAGTCAATCATACCAGGGAACACGAAAATGACCCTGTTTGAAACCATGCTAAGCCTAGCTACCCTGTCAACAATCACTCTCTAGACACCTTGCATGGACATCCCCCAAAAAGACTGAACCCACAAAACACCTTCTAGAGACAGGTTGGTTGGAGATCCCTGAGCAGAACATAAAACATCAATCACTTTCTGTAGATTTTTATTGTGGGTATGCCCAAAGAAAACAGCATCAGCCACCAACCCCTGCCAGGGGCCAGGTGGCAGGTCAGCTTGACCATGATTTCCAGTGGCTCTTCTTCACTCCGTTGGAATCCTTGACAATGATTCAATGGGTGACCATCAAGGATTTGCCCGAAGATGGACAACAATACACCATAGAAATTTCACATGGAACCCGGAACAAAAAAATGGTCTGGAAGATAACTTTCGTAAGTGATTTGGACATGTTGTGGTTCCATGTTACACTTAGGGAGTGTAAAAAAATGGAAAGCACAAAGAGCTAATACTTGGCGCATTTTTGTCCTCTACCTCTGACTAAACACATACCATTACCATTCCTTGTTTTTTTCACCAAAATACTCGGTGAACCTTTGACATTGTATGTGTTGCATCTACCTTGGCCATCAAATTACCCCAAAACAAATACTTGGGTGTACCATAACAGACTCGTCTACTTGGTAATTGGGGTGCATCTATATCATATTGCCCAAGCCGGTTGCAGCCCAAATGGTTTTTATGCAAATAGTTTTGCTTCGAGATGAGATGAGGATTCTAACACATTATAATCCATTCACAGTGATGACTACTAGTTCAAACACATGTGGAAAACAAGCCGTGTGAGTGGGACGAACATCCATTTCTCGTCTATTTCTGCGTTCCCATGTATTCACGGTCCGAAAGCTTTGAACCATATCATATCCAGATGTTAAAATCCTTGACCTCAGCAATGGAATTACGATGAATGGAACATATGTTGAGTTATGTTGCAACAAAACGTAACGTATGAACATGTTCTGAAATTTGTTGACCGCCTAAGAAAATGGATCTGGACAAGTGACATTGATTCCCCTGAACGAACTGATTTGGGGCTACCCCGGACAAACTATCAAATTGAGGGCCAGTCCTGTGGGTCCATATTGGTACCCGATTTTTTGATCCATCTCCATATTTTGCCGTATGGCGTTGTCTGAAGATATTGTATTCCTGAAAAATCTAAAATGGTTGTAAGTAAAGCCTATATAAATTTTATGTTCCCGATTCTTTTATGACCGTATATTGGATCTCATCCCTCACTTTTGGACAGGCCTATCTCATATTGTATAGTTGGTTGTGTATCCAATTAATTCCAACCATAATATGTATATACAGTATATATATATATATATGTATATCATATCAATTGGGCCCGTTTCTCTTGATGAAGTCCATTCTACATCCTCATATTGGTTTGTTTGATCGTCATTTTTGATCGAGTTCTTTGGCCCATTTCATTGGATCTATGTCTATATCCTCATCATCCCAGAAAAAAGTCACGGATCAAACGAGCCATAGCTGGTGATTTCATTAATGGTACCCCCGCCCAATGATCAACAGCAGGGTCAACAGGCATCCACGGTTGACATGAAATACTCCCATTATATCACCATTCCATCCATAGCATCATTTGTGTTCATTAAATCACTATGTTTGATCTTTCAAAAACCTCTTTTATGGTTATCACCAGCTATGGGTTATGGTTGTATGGTTACATATATCTATGTGAATGTGTATTAAATAGTGTTTTTCAGAACCACTGTCAGTTGTTGGCAACAAATCCCCATGTTTGTTTCTGGAAACTCCCAGGGCCCAATCTTCCCAGATGAACCCGGAACACGCCAAGCTTCTTCCCAAGTTCGTGGTGCCCTTGTTGGCACACGCCAATCCCTTGGGCGCCACGAAACGTGGGCCACCAGCGTCCTCTGGTGCCAGCTATGGGTTGTATATGGTTATATGGTTACATATATCTATGTGAATGTGTATATTAGTAAATGGTTGTATGATGTTGTATATATATATATACATATTATATGATGTATATATATATATACATATGTATGTATCGTCTATATATGGTTTCTATACATCTATATGCTTTATTGCCAGCCCAACATATCTGAAGGGAATGATATAAAGCAGTACTAAACTTGCAGTAGAACCTAAATAATGGGGAATTAATATATTAGATGATATTGGCTGTCATATGTGAGGCTGTGATAGTTGTAAAATGAAATAAACATCTGGCGGGTAAAGTGGTATAGAATGGTATGCAAGGTGGGTATGGAATGGTAATGTAGTGGTGTGGATTGGTCGAAGGGAACCTGTGCAGGAAACCCATGGGATTTACTTCTATAGATGGGTGTAGCCAGCAATAGATGTGACCAGTGATCAATGGGCACTAATCTAATAGATAATATTAATATATATAGATCTGGTTATTAGATTATATCATAACATAATAAAACTATCTAATGTAATATAATATATATATATATACAATATAGATAATCTAATCTAATAACCGATCAGCTTTTTCCAACACTAACAATTATCAATGTGGAGCTTATGAGGAAACAATGGGATCAAACTGGATATTCATTACTATTACTACCCTCTGGTGAACTAACATAGCAATGGAAAATGGCTATTTATAGTGGATTTTCCCATTAAAATTGGTGATTTTCCATTGCTATGTTAGTTCACCAGAGGGTACAGAATAGAACGGAGAACAACGGTTTTGGCAAATTGTTGGAATCAGCATTTTTTTGTGTCAAAACATGTTTTACAATCAACATTTAATCAATGAAACTGTTTTACCAACGTTGACATGATTTAACGATCAATGAATTGAAATACACAACAGCGAATGAACGCAAATCAATGAGAGTACTAAATCCATTTGACACTCTCACCAAAGTTTACTCAGGCAATTCACAATACATACATTAATCACATATTTTTTACCCACTGTAAGTCACTGTATGTTTGATGAATATCTCATTTTTGGGGTGTTGTTCTATATCTCCTTGTTGTTTCTTTGGTCCTTCGTCATCCAAGCAGTTCCAGTTGGTAAAGTCCTCCATTTTAAGTTGACATATGATGGGCCTGGCAATGAAACTACTTATGCAAGGGGGAAAAACATGAAGAGTACCCTCTGGTAAACTAACATAGCTATGGAAATCACTATTTTTAATGGGTAAATCCACTAGCTATTTTGACATAACCAGAGGGTACCCCCTTTTACATCAACCCAAAGCCGCCGTAGCTGCCGGGCCTCCAAGGCTCCCATGCTGGAAAGGCACGGCGAGGCTTCATCGATGAAAATCGAGCTGTTTTTGACCTGGTTTCATCATATTCCTACCATGACATGTCCCTATGTTTCACAATGTTCTGACCATGACTTTAACATCGGTTTACGATCTTTTACTCAGGAATCATGAAAAAGGTATGGTACCAGGTTTATCCATGTTTGGGCTCTTTAACTTTTTAACACCACATGCAACAACATGGGAAAAATATGGAGATCATCAACGAACATGAAGAAGGCAAGGGCATGTTGAGCAATTTCAAACTTCAGTCAGGATGTTTAAAGGCCATCGACTGGTTTTACCGTGGCAATCCTGTCTGCTGTGGACCTCTGGCCAGCGCATCGTGCGCAACTTACGCACGATGCGGGCTTTCATGTCATGTCTAGCCAGGATTCAAACCACTTGACGTTGAGGATTTGGGGCTGTTACACCTGCAAAATCCAGTGTTTTGTTCCAAGTTTAACAGATATGAACATCCAAAACATCTACTCTGAGTAGTAAACTGTTTGCTTGCAAAACCCTGGGTGAACATTATATACCCAACAATTCATGATGTTTGTCTATGATGTTAACATCCACTGGATCAGAAATCCGCCGCTGATCTATGACCTACACTTGTTGGCACCTGGACATCTTGTTGGTAAATCATTGATTTTCATCTGATTGTCCTCTGCAATCACTGCGGATTTCATGGGATTTCCGCATGCCAGGCCTAAAACAACAGTGGTGACCATGCCACGTTAAACCCACCCATGGAGAATTTTGGGCACCACGAACACAACCTGTTGTGACAGCAAATAAACAACCAGACCTATGCACCATCGTAAAGTCAGAAATTCATCCAACAACACATACCAAACGACATATATGTCATCATCATTTTTTAGGAAATCACTCTGTGCCGCTGGACACATCTCCACTGCAAACAGTCACAAAACCATTGATGAACACAACCCCTGCTGGCAAACTACTCGTAAGCAACAACTTTCAACAGTGCATTAACAACACAACAAATATCATTAGACAAAAAACACCAAATATCAACATCACATTGAGCAACAACGTCTTTTGTTTTGAATGCACCGTGTTTCCCATCCCGACACCATTGCATTTTTGGCAGTGCGAAGCGCTCGTGCAACGCCCGGCGGGTGAAACCCTAGGAGGAACCTCAATCTCCCCAGAAGCCAAGGATACAGAGAACCTGACGACGCTGAAAAGCACCGAAACCGCATCTGAGATTTTTTGGGTTTTGGATGCGCTAAAACCATACACAGTTATGGCCATTTACCAGTTATAACTGGTTATTTCTATGGGATTATACATTCTATAAATGGGGTTTTGTTAGTACTTATAACTGATAAATGGCCATAACTGCAGATGTATGGTGAACCTGGCGCTTCATAGTCATTTAACTTCATTTAACTATCAAACATGGGGATAGAATGGGAGATGTGACCAACATTAACCAAGAATATAGCCTTTCTTGGGGGATGAACATCCATCTCAGGAAGTTTCTTTTAATGTTCACCAGGACAGGGTTTTGAACGATACCCATATGAACCATAGAAGTTGGGATTTTAAGCAACAACTGAGGGCGAATTATTGGGATATGAGCCAGGTAAATGGGTTGTTGATTGCTTTTGCCCTGTGAAGAACAATGCATAGGTAGTTCGTGCCACTATTCACGGCAACAAAAACATGAATGTGCCGGTTCTGCTCTTCTTTGGTTTCCTAGGGCTATATTCAGAACCCGCCGTGTTGTTCTTCGAATCAAGGTTCATGACAGTAAAAGTAACTGACTGTTCACAATCGCATTTCAAGATTCCTTAGTATGGGCCGTTTCATCTACTTTCGTCTCTTTTTGAGAAAACATCTGCATTTATTCGTACTTGAGATAGAACAGTGTTTCCAGGACATGACAAATGAATGCACATGACATTATCAAATATGTTCCTCACATGTCGACAGGTTTCCTACTCTTTTTCTATTTCTTTTCGGATGGCTATACCCAGATGCGAACCATGGTGCTGGAATATAAAAACCTACATTTACCCTAAAAATGACCCAATCATCTACAGTAGGTTTTTATATTCCAGTACCATGGTTCGCATCTGGGATTGCTATACCTTCAGAACTAGTTTCTGCTGTGTTGACCTTCATGCGCTGGGTGAAGTCGGCCAGGACCGTGGGACCAACCAACGCATGAGGATCCCTCTGGCCACAGTGCATTTGGGCAGAATAAGGCATAAATTGATATACTGGTTGGTGGTAAAACAAACAACCCCTCTGAAAAATCATGGAGTGAAAGTCAGTTGGGATGATGACATTCCCAATCTATGGAAAAAAATGTTCCAAACCACCGATCAGTATAGTTTTGTCTGCACTTTAAAAAAAAACAAGAACCAGAGGTGAAACCCTTTTTGTTAGTCCATTTATGCAACATGATTCTTAAACTTTACTTTAATTTCTTGTATTTTCTGGGCTGTTATGGGGTGATATATCATATGTATTACAATATGTAATATCATAATATGGTAAATCCAATGTCAATTGCACCATCCCAAGAATTACTTTTTTCACTATCCCAAACGGTAGGTTGATTGTTGGGTTTCCCAGATTATGATATTACATATTTAAAAAACATTTGGGATAGTTACTATTACAGATTATGATATTACAGATTATTAACCTATTATGTAACATGTTCTTTAAATGATGTAGCAATGTAGCCTTACACTTATTACACGTACCGAGAAACTGCCAGCAGGGACCATGAGTTGTGCCAGGTTGAGCCAAAGGACCTCCGTTGCGACGGCCAAAAATGTCGAGGACAGTCCCATGTGTGGGATGATCTTTTCAGGGGACTATCCCACCAATCATAAGTGATATAAGTGGTTAGTAACTGGGGTTAACCCACTTATTCATAGGATAATCTACGAAAATGGAGAGTTACGAAGCAGGGTTATTGACCACTTACAAGCTGTGGGATGGCCCTCCAAGTATTTGGGTTGGATATGCGGTTCAGGATTCAGAAGAATTCACTGTACCAAAATAAAATATGCCCAAAAACCTGGGCGTTACAGCCCAAGTTTATCCTGGTAGTTGTAACACCACTCACATCCCGGTGGCTGGAAAACATTGGGAATACGGACACCCAGAACTCCCTTCACCGCTCCCTCCATTAGCGTCGAGGTGGGCCCAGAAGAATCACAGGAATGGAAAGCACAGAAAGTGAAACCATCAACGCTTTTTTTCTCGAAGCTGCCCATTTAACTGCCCATTTGCCAGTTAAAATCATGGTAAATCCTTCTTCATATTCCAAGTATAAGGTAGTAAAAGAATGTAAACATATACGCTCCAGTAAACTAGCAGTTTGCTATGGTATAGATGGCCCATTGATAGAGGATTTACCTCTGGAAATGGGGGATTTTCCAGTTCGCTATGTCAGCTATGACCATCCCCATGGATTCCATTCGTTCATGGAGCGGCGACCTCTGCCCCAGCACCGCTTCGTACCTGGCACAGTCTGAGGATCTGGGGATGTGAAACGACTGGAAACAAAAGAAGTGTGGCATCATGGGCTTGGTGGTTTCAAACCCAAAAACATGTGGCTGCTTGGTGGTTGAGCCCTACCCCTCTGAAAAATGATGGAGTTCGTCAGTTGGGATGATGACATTCCCAATATATGCGAAAAATAAAACATGTTCCAAACCACCAACCAGATGTGGGTGTCCGGGAACAAGGTACTTCAGAATCTTCAGAATCTATCGGTTGATCATGATTCCCGAAAGTGCCATTTGGTGGGCCCCATTTTTGGACCCATATCATCCCAAAGATGTTTTCGAAAGTAAAAAACATGAAACCTCCGACCAGTCATGAGGTTTAACATCATCATCCTATGTCTTCCTCATTGCTTATTATTGAGGAACATGGCCGTTGGGGGATCTCCTATGCTATCTCCACTTTGGACAATGCCCTCTGTTTTTCATGGGCAACATGAACTCAGGCAGCCGAAAAAGATGTGAAAACGGCTGGTTTCCGGCAAATGCAGCATACATGGGAATCCCCATTACCCTCTGGTAAACTAACATAAGTATGGAAAATCACAATTTTTAGTGGGTAAATCCACTATAAAATTACAAATTTCAATAGCTTTTTGTTTGTTTACCAGGGTAGTTGAAGGTGGAAAGTCGGCAAGGCAACCTTCAAGAGCGACCTGTATTTGTTGAGTCAGATCCCTTGGGATCCGCCATCAAAACTGCCATAGCCGTGCCCCAAAACCCCATTAAGAACGCCCGCCCAATATATCATATATCGATCATCTTAATCTACAGTATCCATCACTACCTCCAAAACTCCATCTCTGTTTCTTGATCAACTACCATCTGGTTATTTAACATAGCTATGGAAAATCCCTGAAATAAATGGAGGTTTCTAGCTGGGAACATCATCTATTTCTATGGGCCATTTTCCATGGCTATATTAAATAACCAAAGGGTACATCGTAAATATCAATTACCAACCATATAATCATCAAAATGTTCCAAAACACAACTACTAACTACCTCGACCCCCTCTCCGTTCTGCTTGGTGACTTTTTGGGCTTTCTCACATCCCCCCTGCGGCACCCTCCGTAGCGTCCAAACTTGTCGTAGGCCAACTGAAACTCCTCCAGCACCTGCGGATCATCCGTGGACCCATCAAAATCCACAAAGGGGAAACCAAGGTATGGTATGATATGGTATGATGTATATGATATATATATGTATGACATATGTTATAATATCTGGTTTTTATAGGTGATATCTCTAATATATCTATAGTTAATGGGGGTTGTAAAACAATTTATGATGTTTGATGGAAGATATAATTGATGTTCTGGTTGGTGGTGCAATAACCATCTTGAAAAATATGAGTTAATGGGAAGGATGACATCCCATACAGTATATTATGGAAAATAAAACATGTTTGAAACTACCAACCAGAAATTCAAGTTGGTAGAACCCAAAAAGGTCTAGCTGAGTCTATGTCAACATAGCAGCAGCTTTTGCTGAATGTTCGTACAACCGTCCAATTATACTACAGGTACCCAATCACATGACACATATCCATTGTTAAGGTCCAATCATCCTGAGTCCAAAACATATGGTAACATTTGATATCATCCACCAACTAGAAATAACTCAATATTGGGATAATCACCCCTACTAATCATCATTAATCTACATGAACGAACGCACCATCAAAACGGTTGGTTGCAAATGCCCGTTGATCCCTGGTAAATACCCACACTCGTTTAACAATGTTTAACATGTATCATGGTTTCACCCCGAAACATTTTAAAGCGCCAACCTGCCGCTAAACAACAGCTGATATCAGCTTTTTTTTTGCGGTTATAGTTATTATATATATATATATATATATATTTGTTTTTTCGCGATACCCCCCATATTTCTTGGATATGTGAAACCACTATTTTTGTCTCCCTTTCACACAGCGCTGCTTTAATTTGAAACCACCAATCAAATCTAATTTGACTCATCATATCCCTTCTTTTCCAGTCAAATCACATGCTTTGCTGGTTGACATACTTGAACACGGCTTTATTCCCATCTATATAGTTTTATGGTCGAGTACACCATATTTCTTTGTTAAATCAACTTATGAGCCAATAATTTACCCAACTTGAACGCTCAGACATTGGTAAATAGTTACCCATCAATCAGTCATATTTACCGCATATCCCAACAAAAAACCCAATTTCTGCGACGTTGAATCGTCAACTCGGATCATTTCCCCAAACGCATCCAAACACAGAAAAAACGTGGACATCAGCAACCTGGACATCAGCTAATTCCCCATGTTGGATGGCTAATTCCCCATGAAACAGCCAGTTGCTCTAAAAATCCCCAGCCAACACCTCCTCCTTACTCTGGATGGGCTTCTTATTCAGCTCATTCACCTGGCGTGTCAAAAAAAAAAACGGTGCTGGCATCGATGGCACAAAATGCCCAATTTTTGGGGCTATCTTTAAGGGAATATCACCACACATGGCCTTTTTTTTGGTACAGTACTTCCAGTTTAGGGTCCTGAAATTCTCACTGGTGGATTTCGACATCTCTACATTTCGCGGATGGTATGCACATGTGGGGGCTAGATATTCCACTATGATATGGACAGTTCACTGTTTATATTTCGGCCCATCTTTCTGAAATTGACTTCATGAGGTGTACTTAGCCCAGAATCATGTCAAAACACAAAATCATGTGGGGGTTGTCCCAAATTATGGTACCCGAAAACTGCCCTTACGCCGCGCTTTCGCGAACCTTTCGCGCCCTTTCGCGCCCCAAATCGGGACATGGGATTATGATCAGGTTTTCGTTTATAGGTTTATAAATAGTGGTATTCAGACCTTTCGCGAACCTTACGCCGCCCTTTCGCGGCCTTTCGCCACTGCAGCAAAACATACACATCCATATCTGCAGATGTCACTCGGATAGTAAAAGCCATGCATGGGTTTTAGGACGACTCCCATGTCAAAAAACAACATCCTAAACTTACTTGTGCATAGTAGGGAATGAGGGAATGATCCACTGGCAAACTATCAATAATAATCCCAGCAGCCCCCATTCCCATCCATTCCCTACTAACTAAGCACCAGTAAGCAAATTCCCATGGTTTCCCATGCGGTCTCCCATGGATTTCCAGTGCTTCGACCCAGCTGCATGCCCCGTTTCCGGGTGGCGGTCCTTGTTGTGCATGCGGATCATCCACTCCACCATGCTGCTCCGGTGGGCCAGGTGGGGTTCCACCGGGTCCTGACGCTTTTTGAACGCTGCGCGGCCAGCAAAAAAAAAGCGAGGATTTGTCAACAGAAACGGGTTGGAAATGATGAAACTTCGAGTTTTTTTTGAACCAACTCAAACTCATGGAAATGATATGGATTTATTGGGTTGGAAATGGGGTGCCCATGGGATTATCGTGAGCTATAATCCTTCATTGTTCTTGATTTATGGAAACTTTGAGGATTTTTGCTTGGAACCAACTCATGGACAATTGCCTCTGTACATATGGAATGTGTTTCAATGAATTGAACCATCAACCGCAAGTCAAAATGTTGACTCCGCGAATAATCCATTGATGGATATGGCTTTGTCAAAAACAAAGGAGAGCAAAAAATCAATCATCATTCATGAAATCATATGAACTCTAATCAGCCAAAATTACGATTTTAATGGCGTTAATGACAAAAACGGTGATTTAACCCAAACTGATGGGCTGTGCACGGAGACAATGATCATCAAGCGATTTTAGGGAACCCCATTTTGAGACAAACCCTGTCGACGAGAACCATGCTTTTGTTGGCTATGTCTTTTCTTCAAACCCGGCATCAAAAAATGTGAGTGGTCGATTTCTTGAAATTTGCAATTTGAATTACATAATTGTAGCTTACATGGCCCAAGAGCTTCAAAGCCTCCGCTATTCATAGTAAAACAAGCCAGTCAGAATCCGTCACCCAGAAACATTGCTCGCACAAATTAGCCCATTCAGAGGGGAATCCCAATTCTGAAACCAAATCTGTGTCTATTTAAAAAAACATCATTAAAACAACAGCAAATATAGATACGTAATGATATGTACACTGCCCGGCCTCACTGCCCTCACAAGACCTTCAACATTCAACAATATTCAACAGGTTATTTTTTTGATCAGGAAACTTCCCACGAAACACTCCATTCTTCAAGGCACCAGCTGGTAATTTTGGGAAAGGGTTGCAACATCGCTTGATCATCCCAGCTGGTGAACATCAACCGGAATGGACGGAAGAGCTCACTCGGAATGGCCTGGCAATCTTGAAGCTCTTTGAGAAATGGTTTACGCATTACCAAGTAAACTCGATGATGATGATGATGATTCATTATCACATTCATTATCATTAGCGTTCTCATCTTATCATCCAACTTATCTTCACTGTTTGAGGACAATTTCCATTGATGTCATCATGACGTTGATCCCACACTTCCGCCAGACCCGACCTCTTCCATATGTCGTCGCCAGTGTTCCGCGCACATGGAACAAGGCAGCACCTTGCAGGGTTCCACCGTGGCGAATTCCCGTGGCGAATTCCTGGGGTGATGATTTGAATGTGTCAATATCTGTCTGCAGTTATGGCCATTTACCAGTTATAACTGGTTATAAATGCGATTATACATTCTATAAATGGGGTTATAAGTACTTATAACTGATAAATGGCCATAACTGTGAGCATGGTGGATTTAGCCCAGTTTTTTTCATGGTCATTGATGGGAAAAATAAGTATCAGTAACCAATGGAACTTCAATGGATGGAATGGGGTACCCAATTTTTAAGACACACCCAATGCTGGTTGGTGGTTTTAACCATCTTGAAAAATATGAGTTCGTCAATGGGAAGGATGACATCCCATATATGAAATGGAAAATAAAATTCCATGGTTCCAAACCACCAACCAGGTGTCAATCATCAATCTAAGAATGGCTAAAATGTACTAAGTTACTAAGACATAATAATGAAAAATAATACCGTATATCTGGTGCTTGGGGTTCAATGATTCCTCCAACCGATCTCTTGGATTTTGGGGCTCTGTGCTTAGGTGAATCTCAGTGATCTTCCCCTGGATCTCTATGTCCTTCTCTCTGATTTCCGAATTCAGCTCCCCTGATTGCCGTGTCCTTCTCCCGGATCGTCGCGGTCTTGGATGGTCCTATAGATTCTTCGCCATACCCAAGCGGAATGGAAGCTCTCAGGCACTGGCACCATCCTCAATCCAGGTCACGAGTCCTCATCCGACCCCGCAAACGCCGCGCGTTGGCGAGCTGGTGCGCTCCCACTCTGGCTGCTGTGCGCAACCCCAGCAGGGCTCCGAAGCCCAGCCATTGCAAAAGGCTCATCATATCCATGGATTCAGCTCTACACTTTCCCGCCCCCAATCCAAGTGACTCGTCGAAGAATCTTCGAGCATCTTTTTCCTGTCCACGGCACACCCAGCCACGGTGGCGGGTCCGCGCACAGCGACGACCGTGCCAACCAAACAACTAACATCATCCGCAGCTGTCCCACCTAGGCGAGATTAGGCAGCAAGCATCCCATTTTGCCTACACATCACTTGATGTAAATAAATAGGCTTTAGCATGGTGCACTTCAGCTATCAAAAAAACATGGTTTGCTGGAAAATTATCCATCTGGTTCGATTATTTTCTCATTGAAACCTTTCAGATAGCCATGTTTGATTACCGAAGGATAGATAGAAACCACCACCACCGCCCTTGAATGCTTCGGCATTCGTCTTTTCTAATGGTAGAACCACAGAGAAATGTCTCAGCGAGGTTTCGTCAGGCTGTCGATGAACAGGTTAAAGTCGTGGTGAAATCCTGATAAACACTGAAAGCATGATGCTTATCAGATACATGCGTACATATAAATATATTTATATGGCTTATCAGTCCCAATATAAACCGGTAATCCAATGTAGCCATGGAAAACCACCAGTGAAGCAATAGGTCATTTCTACTTCCACGGGCCTTGGCTTCCAAAGATATACAGCTGGTCATGTCATCAACATGTTGATCCACAGGAAAACGAACTGGAAAACGACGTGAAAAATCTTCATCCCAGTGGGTGTGTGTGTTTCCATATTTATAAGCCATCTATAACCAGTTGTAATTAATGTTAATTGTAATTATGTGGGCTATTCTCCAGTCATGTTGACCTTCAGAAACACGCTTTCGATGTGAAACATATATCTATGCAGGCGAGACTATCCATGTAAGATGATAGTTTTTCAATAATATATGTATATATATATAATATTACAAACATATTTTGTTATATATGTTACTGTATGTATTGTTATGTTATGTCCCTTCACTTGAAAGAAACCACGGATTAGTGGCTAGTTCACCCCATTTCTTTAATTTTTTAGGGTAGGATTCGTCCAGCTATTTGACTGGGGTGAAGTAACCACCAAGAGAAACTATACTTTAGGTCCGAGGAAACAGCCTCGGGTAATTCAACATATATGGAAAATCACCATTTTCAGTAGATCATCTATTTCTATGGACCATCTATACCATAGCTATGCAACAAATGAGGCTACGTCTGACTTGGAGTTTCACCTGCAGTCTCTAACCTATAACCAGGTCATGCAGGAGACCCCAAATATCCCATGAAACCTCAAAATTCATAGCCGTAGATTCCCACTGTGAAGCACTATAGTCACTATATCATTCACCACCAACCAAAAGGGACTATATATTATATATATATATATTATGTGTATATATATACACATGTATGTAACTATAAACTACTGGGCCTTCAGCACAATTGACTCAACATCTCCGAGAGTTTCTCGGCGCAGATCACGCCTCTTGTAGAGCCACCAACAAGTTCTTCAGCTGGAGCTGCTTCTCTTTGGGCACCTGCCAGAAACCAAGCGATGGGGATCTTTTGAGGTCAAGCTTTTAAAGGGGGATTCAGCCAACAGAAATGGTGATGACATGGCAATTTAACAGTGTTATATATGTAAAATGACTATTAATGACCATACATATGTAAAATGATCTATCATTCACCATACATATGACCATACTATTAATGACTTTAAATTAATGCCTATAATATTATACATATTTCGATTCATAAAACGATGATGTAGCCATGAAACAGGGCTACATCATCGAAGCGGTTCATTGCATAAGATTACAACAGAGAGGACCATATTAGTACCGCTCAAGAATTCTATGGGGCAACGAAGAACACATCATCTCGAGTTCAACATGTTTCAAGAAGGTGCCCCCCCTATGCCCTATGTCATTATTTTTCTTGGTTTATGTTCACCCCGTGAACTATAGATATATCTAGCATAAAGCATAGGATTCCCTTATACATTGGGCAGCTCCTTGAAGCCTCTTAAAACATTAATGTCCCGAAATCCGGCTTCCCAGATGGTTGTTGGGGGGATAGCGACCCCTAATAAGATAGAAAAGTAATCCATCACTATTCAAATGGGATTTGTCCTAACTTTTTGGGGCTTCCTGATCTAATCAAGTTCCGGAAAACACTGCGGTCTGGGTAGCCCCTTTTGCGTGCGCTGGATGAAAGGTGCGCCACCTCCAAGGTGCTCATCGTTCCTGCTTCGACTTGGAAGAGGCTGCCTCTTCCAGTTCTCCAAGGCGTGGCACACCCACAGTTCAGCCACATTCGGAAAGCCGTTGTGTGCCTTTGAATCCAAACGAACACGACATTTTCAGCAGACAAGGCTGCATCATGTTTGTAGCAATATTGATGATCCTGTTCCAGATAACCTGTAGATATCCATCAACAACAAAACAAACTGGGAATAGCAAACGATGGAGTACTCCCATGTTTGTCGGATAGGTGCAATTCGGGGGCTTAGCTCCACATCTTGTTTAAATTGTTGAAGATGGTTGCTTTGTGCAAACTTACCATCTCCCAAATTCTTGTTGGTTATAATTCCACTCTTGTCAGGGATGCTGCTATCTCCGTCATGTTTTCGCAAGATTCACATGATTTATGGCCATCCATCACCACAATGGGACTAAACAATCCAGACATCATGGGCATATCAATCCCCATGAACATGGATGGATTCCCATCTCCGACTAACTTGACCACGGCACTAATAGGACATCATAGGACTAATCACTTAAAGCTGTTGGTGATTAAAAATGAGGCTATCAAATTCATGGCCCCCCACTATTTATCATCCTTGATGGCAAGGTCAAGGTCACTGGCAATTCTTCAAATTTATAGCAGTTATATATATATATATATATATATGTATAATACATACATATATATATATATTATCCAGTAGAGATGTTCTCCACCATGTTGATTTTGTCGGATTGCCCAGAGTAAATACAACCCTCGATCATTTTCCAGGGGAAATGATGTGTTTTCCAAAGACCGGGAGTTGGATCCATCCAGTCCAGCGGCTCTTCAAACCTCCTCGGGAAGCGCGAGAGTCATGGAGTGCAAGAAGAACCTGAGCAGCGCGCTCTAGTGTAGATGGCTGAACAATCCCCTCACTGGAACTTGAAATGGAACAACATCACTGCTTGGTGGTGCAATAACCATCTTGAAAAATATGAGTTCGCCAATGGGAAGGATGACATCCCATATATTGTGGAACATAAAATTCATGTTTGAAACCACCAATCAGATCATCTATCCATGGAAAAAAAAACACCAATTGAATCTCTTACTCAATGGATATCATGGATATTGAGATGGACATCTCATTGAATGGATGATTCTCCATCCAGGTGAAAGCACCAACCGGATTCCGGTTCAGATTCACCCATTGTTCCAGTGACCTCTCGTCGCGAGGTGGTAACAGTTGGTGGCAGTGATAGGTGGAAAGTGACACAGTGCTCGCCCTGGGAGCCCCAAACCAAGTGGGTGGACCCCAAATCTTTGAACTTCTGAAGGCATCAGAGGTAGGAAGCAACCTGAGTTGGGGGCCAGGGGCGGCCAACCAATCCCCTCCAAGGCTGGTGTCTGCATCTGAACAAGTGGGCCAACTCTTAGATCTTCCGCAGAAACATATATTGTTAGTTGTTTGTGTAGCCAATGAATTAGCTGGATTATAGCTGCTTGGTGGTATACCTACCCCTCTGAAAAATATGAGTTCGTCAATGGGAAGGATGACATCCCATATATGAAATGGAAAAATAAAAAAACATGTTCCAAACCACCAATCAGATAGTCAATGTTTGGAACTTATAGCAACAGATTCAAGACATTTCTGAAAGAAAAAATAGATGGAATAGATCTGATTCAGATCGTTTCTTAGAGCTACTTCTGAAAACATGTTAAACGGACATCTAACGGTCATAACGTGCTGCGCTGCTGCACTGCCCCATTTTGAGAAGTTACTGTAAATTTGATTAGTACGAGTTTAATGGGAAGAAACCTATATATTGATGTGTAGGATTAATTCATCCCGTAAAACTGGATCTGGGTCACGTTTCTCGGGTGGGAAACCATCCCTGAAACATGTAGCGTGTTGCTGACAGTTGCAAGTGCTGGACTGGTAGTTTCCACCCCTTCCAAACGTGTCAGTTCATGTCACCATGGGGGGAATCATGCCAAATACCCTCTGGTAAACTAACATAGCTATTGAAAATAGTGATTTTCCATAGCTATGTTAGTTTACCAGAGGGTAAATAGGGATCACTAATATTTGCCCTGAACTCTCAACCTTCAGAGCATGCGGGCTCCGCGGACGTGACGTTCCGTGCGTCTTCCGCGCGCAAGGCAGTGTGATAGCTGATCCTGGGCACAGATGGGAGAATCAGTTGAGGCAAATGAAGGGGAATGGTCAGAGGGTCAAACTTTGGCACAGACGCACAAAATCTGGTGCGCTCTGCAGCGGGGACAGGGCTTAGGGCTATGGAAATCTATGGGATTGCAAGCCTGGTTGTTAGCATCCAACCGACAAGGTCTCACAACAAAATGAAGTGGGACCGAGAAGAGCTGCTTTTGATCCTTTTTGAAGGCGTCGAAAAGTAGCGCATACCGGCATTACAAGGGATAGTTTGAGATCCTACACTTGGATCAACATCAGTTCCAAGATAGTTCCAAAAGCTGAAAGAGCGAAAATGACCCATAGCCATACCCAATTTGTATCAATGTGTTCCATGGTTTTGCCAGGTTCCACCTGGTTGGCGTCATCGGCTTCCGGGTACGTCCGGGTCGGTTTCAGCAAGGATTCCCTTCTTGTTGGAGCCGCCAGAGTGATGGAAATCCGATGAGTAGCCCAGTCGAAATAGTGGATTTACCCATTGAACATGGGTGGATCTTTCCAGTTCGTGATGTAAACGTTTACCAGAGGGTAATATCCGATCCCCAGTAAACACCGGCGAACAAAACTAAACTATAGAACTACAAACTTGGACCCCTTTACTGTGACCTTTGGTTGTTCACCGCATGAATGCTAGTTCGATAAATCTACCAACCAGGGTTTCCCGAGGGCCCCAGGCCTTGAGGTGGCTGTGCTGTTCACATTCAGGCCTGTGAAGATGGAGATGATGGTGGACTATGGCCAGGGTAGGAACAAATCCATGGGAAACTGACCAAACTCCGAAAATCCTTCGAGAAATCGATGGACACCATCTATATCTCCTCCGAACATCAGAGTCCTACAAGGTGGGAACGGAATATCCAATTTCGTGCAAAAACATAGCCTTCATCCATCTACCTGTCGCCAGTCAGTTTATAAAGCAAAGAAACTATATATAATACAACCCTTATGACTTGGAAATCCATCTTTTCTGGGGCTTATTGGACTGTCAGGTCACTATCAACATATACACAAACATCATCTATCTATAGATTCTTGGTTGTATCCCATCTGTTGTAATCTTAAATCCCCATGATTATTTTCCATAAATTATGGGTCAAATCGATCGATGTTATCCATGGCGAAATCCTCACTCTCGGGCTGGGCCTTCAACAATGGTGCACAGCAGCACTGCGAGCAGGCTGCTAAGGCCATGCAGCCTGAGGTGTTGAGGCTGAGACCGGGCACACTTGGGGATTGAGGTTGGTCTTAAACCATCTTAAACCACTGGTTCACATAAAATAAGGGTTGATACATGGTGAATAAAGTGGTTGATAAATGGCTGATAAACCTAAAAACTGTGATAAGAATTGTGATAATCCATGGTTGATGAACTGGTTGGTTGATAGGATCACAATCCAAGCAGTACACTTCAGTATCCTGACTCCAACTAAGCAACAACGTGGTGGATTTAGCGCCAGCAAACATGGATCGGGAAACCAACCACCATGGGGATGTTATGGGGATAGGCTGATATACACTTCCAAAACATTTTTTAGATATGACATAATTGGATATAATTGGGTTATACTGTAACCATGGCTAGCAAAGGCAAATTAAGTACTTACCTTCTATCCAACAAAACAAAGCGACACTGACATGAGTGGGGGGAGGAAAGAATCACGACCGCAACAAACAGATGGCAACTGCACAGCACAGTACAGGCAAATTGACACAATATGGATATGGGATCATATGGTGGTTTCCTAAAATTGGGGTACCCCTAAATCATCCATTTTTTGTTGGATTTTCCATGAAATAAACCATCTATTTTGGGGTACCCTCATTTTTATGGAAACCACCATATGGGCAAAAACGTTGCCAGGGTACAGAAACAACTGGTAATGACTGTAATGACATGGATGGGTTTTCCTGCGCCATGCCGCAAAAATGGTGAAAAATTGGCCCATGCCCAGGTAGGTTGTCAAAACAAGATGAGGATCGTCAACCCTGCAAGGTGGCGCCCCCAAGATAGCTAAGTTGGTTTATCACTCCAATAACTATGGTTTATATAGGTGATATATCTATAGTTAATATTAGTTAATGGGCTTTATAAACCAATTTATAACTAGGGGGGCACCACCTTGTGATCAATAAATTCTGGCAGAGTTAGGGAGTTCACCCCACCCCACATCTATGTTGAACCCCAAACGAATCTGCCCAAACAATTGGCCACGCTCGCCAGAAACGATGTCATTGTGGCAACTCTGCCCTGGATGGGATTCATAGGCCTCTGCCAAGGATTTGAGCTTCTGCGTGCTCATGTCACCCTTGATACCATAAGCAAAGATCCTCAGCTCCTCAATACTTGCAAGGACAAATGCGTGAAGGGGCCGTGTCTTACACCTAAAGTATCAAGTAGAGACTTAGTAGATTAATAAATTCAAAGCGTCTATTCAAGGAAGGATATCAATTCATGCACTTTGAATAGATAAAGGATATTGTACTATTGTACCCTTCCCGTGCCCATGTGAGGGAATATCCAACATGAAAAGGCAGAATCTTTCGCACAGCAATTTTTCATGATGTAATGATAGTAAACCTACTGTCACAAGCCTGCAACTGGGGTTCAGAAACCACCCATGTAGCTAATCAGGGTAATCGGGGAATAATTGTGGTAACCCAATGCCATAACCGCCATAGTCACCATCCCCAATTCATCACCATTTTCAATTAAATTTTCATGGGTGGTAAAAAAACATTTCCAGTCATGGTAGTTGATGATTTTTGGGTTGCCCACATTATGTCTTCATTTTTCTCAGGTGAGTGATCCAAAATCCACCCGCCAGGACACTTCATTGAGGCTCTCTCTGAGCGCGCCCCCCACGGCCGCACCCGTCCGAGCCGCTAACAGAGTACCATGCGGGGTTTGAGATCAATGTATGCGCAGGTCTGTTCTACATTGTTCTACCATAATGTTTCACTAATCACTATATTCACTGGATGTTAAAACAAAACTAAAATTTGCATTGTCTAATAATGTCTATATCATATTACTACCAATATTTCATATTCTGGAATCATGCTAATTCACCTTAATCTGACCAAAATTGGTGTCATTCTTGCACAACCTATTGCCAACAACTATATCGGAGATAATCCGCGTACTGAGGTAGTTGTCTGAGCCTCTTTCAATCGGATCATTCTTTCGAACAATCTGGGTAAATTACAAGAATTCACGTTAACCGTTAACCTGAATTCAGTCCGACCATTTTGGGATACCTACCCCTAACATTCCAGTGACGGTCTGATGATTTTTCATTTTGGGATAGTGACCCCTTACATTCACAATCATTCCAGTGTGGTCGCCCGAAGGCCATATACCATCCGGTAATGAAACGTGGGGAAGTTCTAATGGGAGAAAAACAACCATCTAGAAATGGTGGATTTTCTAATGCCATGTTTGATTACCGGAGGGTATACAAATGCCAAAGACAAATGCCAACGCCTCATCAATGAGAGTGGGCCTTTTCAAGTTACAGTTGCCACCATGGAACTTATCCCATGGTCGAAGTCTCATGGTCTGATCGTAGCCCAACTTACTAAAAAAAAAAATATCACCAACTAGTGATGGACATTGCATATAGAAACAACCAGCCACTAGGGGGTTAAACAAACCTAAACAAACCTGTCAATGGCAAATCGTGATTAATATTGATTAATCCCATATCTTCTTAAACATCATCGTGGATATTATACTGCCAGGGGCCAATTCCACAAAATGCCCTAAAACTATAATTCAAAGTTTTTCTAAGTAGGTTTACAAGCAGCCTTGCCTTTGGGTTTTGATGGATATATCGTCGATAGTTGAACCACCATATTATAACCGTGTTCAATCTAAAATATCCTGCCCAAAAAAACATGCTGGTTCTATTTATAGCAAAGGCCTTACATATTTAACAAATTCATGTCTGTAAAGCAATAGTAAATCATCTCCACTTTTGCCATAAACAGGTGGTATAAACCATCAAACGAATGGGTGGTTTGTGCTTTAGCAACATCAATTATAATTATTAACCGTTATTAACCATTATTATATAACCCGTATCAACCACTATGAAGCAATTATATATCAACCATTATCAACCACTATCAACCATTACAGTATAGTAACCACAAAAAATCCAATGATTACATGAATTTGATTAGTAATTACCATCTGGTAAACATACCAAAAGCTATTGAAAATGGTCATCTACAGTGGATTTTCCGATTGAACATGGTGATTTTCCATAGTTTTTTGTTAACGTTTACCAGAGGGTAACCATGACCCAACCAGGATTTCTCCACTTCGCTTCTCGGGTTCCTTTTGTCCGTCTTGGGGGATGCCACCCCTGCGAACCGTGCGAAGCTTCGCGCTGCCGCGCGCGCTGCACAGGCGTAAGTTACAAACCACAGCCGGGGCAAAAGACCCCGCTGACCCATGCTAAACCCCTACAAATGGCGATGGCTGCGATGGCTCAAAAAATGGGGAACACGATTGAAATATATTGAAATCAGGCAACTTTGCTGCAGCAAACATGGGGATTTTTAGCCAGTAATTCCAGGTTGGGCATATGACTCGGAGAGAATGGAGGTGTTTGTTGTTTCCTTTGAATCTTTGAATCCATGCAAATCTCAGAGGACTTAAAGATGGAACCTTTGAGCCATGGCCAAGTGACAGCATCCGCACGAAGTCACATCTTCAACACACAAAAAATGCAGCTGGATAAGGACCGTATGATGTATGTGCCGTGGATATGATTGTTCGACACGAAGTGTTAACGCCCAGCGTATGTGCCATATACACACTGCACCCTTACAAACACTTCTGTGATTGTAGGTGTTATTGGAAGCAACGCATATCAGTTGACGGTCATTGACCTATTGCTCCATCGTATCTCGGATCATCAAGAGAGTTTCTAATTTGAGAATGAACAATCAATTTCCACCCAGGAACTAAGATCTATAATTAGTGTGCTTGTATCTTGAAATATATTGTGTTGAAACATGTTGAAACCAACTGTGCATCTAAAAAACCATCTAAACAACATGAACAAAAACAACTTACTGTAATGGCACATAGAATGAGTGTATAATCGTGATTAAACATGGTCAGAGAACTTCAATATTTCGCTGCTCCCAATGGTGTCTTCGTGCGCGCTCTTCAGCGTGCGCAGAGAGTCACCGTCACCGGACGAATTTGGCGCAACGAATTTGGCCAGCGCGGGGCAGTGGCCAGTAGCCATGACTAAAGGGCGCCATGTAGCTGGGTCCAACCACTGGAAAATTCCAGGGGAAGCCACTTGAGCTTGCACTTTTTTTGATGATTTTAGGTGTTCAGCGAACATGTGGTCAACAGGAAAATGTTGAGCCATTTGATAGCATTGTCCGCAACATATCCAAATGAACCAGTCAAACATACGCAGTTGCAAAGCATCCCTAGGATTCTCATGGATTCTAGTTCGGAAAACAACAGAAAGTGCCAAAACATACCCAAAAAATGTAAAACCTCTGAAACATGTTTCGCAGCAAAATTTGAGCCTACCGGAAATGGACTGACTGCTAATTTTTGGGAGTGGTGTCTGAGCCCACCAAACCTGATTGTTGCTGAACTGAGCAGCGTTACTATCTGTCATTCTATGAAATACTGGTTGGATCTGGCTTGAATAATCCCCCAATTCATGGAATATGGAATAATCCCCCAATCAATATTGGATAATAGGATAGAGGGAATCTTGTAGGATAGAGTCATAACCTTGACAGTATGAAATACCGGAAATATCATCATCCCCTTCTCAATACTTCTCGGGGTTTTGATGACTGCAGTTATGGCCATTTATCAGTTATAAGTACTAACAAGTCACCCCATTTATAGAATGTTTGTTATCCCATAGAAATCACCAGTTATAACTGGTAGCCATGGCCATAACTGTGGGTTTCAGCATGCACCCCTTCTCCCAATCACCACTGCCCCTATCGCCAGGTCCGTTCCAAGGGCGTGGCCTTTTCCCCTCGAGGCGGGCTGGGCCGGCAACGGCGGGCTGGAAGACACTCGAAGTCTGAGAACGCCTAGGAGCGATGGCAATGGATTTCGATAGATGCCTTGTGGGTGTTGATGAAGTCCAATTTGACTGCATTTTCGTGGATTTCTGTGGATTTGAAGAGATTTTAGTTGATTTAACCATGCAATGGTGTTTTAAACATTTTAACCACTCAAAATGGGATTTGTATACAACTTAACCATAAAAATGGAGATGAACCTAGGTACAGTCAACACCTTTAGTCACAGCAATTTCGATGTCCGACCCCCTAGATATGCTTCCCTGGACCTAACTGACTTAAAAACATGAAATCGCTACGACTAAGGTCTCCAACTGTATGTGCTACAATAGTTGAGGAAATGGGGAAGAGTTCAAGAATTGAAGCGCGCAATCAGGGCCCAGTGTAAATAGTTGTGTCTCAAAACGGAGGATATGATGAGAAACCACAGCTGCACTTGGAAGAACCAAAATGGCCCTTTTCCATGCCCAAAATGGCTGGGAAATACCGAAGAAACAAGCACAGAACGCAAGCATCATCGCAAGGATCTCAAAAACGTCGAATGAAAACCCCAAACTTGATGATGCAATCTGGGATGATGAGCATCTAAAGAACTTGCATCCACCCAAACTTCATGAGCTCCCAAAGATTTTTTTTTGTGTACAAAAAGGGTGGCCCGGACTGGGTCGCTGGGGGATAACCCTTAAGAATTGCTGACAAAAATGAAGGAAACATGAAGATAACTGGTTGGTGGTTGAGCCACCCCTCTGAAAAATAGGAAAGTCAGTTGGGATGATGAAATTTCCAATATATGGAAAAACATAGAAAATGTTCCAAACCACCAACCATATAATAAACGCGGACCTTTTCGGAGTAGCCTATACCCTCTGGCAAACTAACAATGGAAATCACAATCTTTAAGTTCGGTAAATAAACTATTTCTATGGAGCATGTTCAATAGCGAACTGTTAAAATTACATATCATAGTCGGGGAAATAGATGATTTTCCCAATCATCCAATGATGATTGGTGAATTTTCCATATGTTTTCCATCATTGTCCAATATTTTTTCATAATTTTCCCATACTTTTCCCATAACCATCATATCATCATTTTCCCAACAAACCCACATGGTTTTCTTGTCAAACCCTCCCAACACCCTTGTCAAACAGTTCCCAGGCGCGAAGGGACTGCTGAGTCGCTCATCGTCAGGCCACCAGCCTCAAGGGCCCAGGAGTTTGATCCACGATGATCATGAAAAAAGGATTCGAATGCCCGAATAAGTCTAAGAATATGTATATACATATATATATATAATGCACGTATACAATGAATAGCAATTAATGTGGTAAAACATCATCAATGGAAAGTATAGTAGATAATAGTATATGACTATCTACTATATATATATATATATATATAAGTATAATTATTCAAAAACATATCAGATGTTGGGACATTGTTGTGTTGTTGCTGCTATATTCCTATTATCCCTGGTTGTATTCCCGAGAATCTTAGATGTCGCTTGGGCTGATTCAATGCCTGAGAATTGATCACATCCCCAAAAGTGCGGCGACTGTGCCTACAGTTTGTGTTCCAGCTGTTCCAGCTTCATTTGCTTCAGTCAAACGTGGATTACCATCTGGCAATCAAACATGGCAATCTGGACAATCTGGACAATTATCAATGGCCTTTTAATGGAAACGAGTTGGATTTTCCAGCCATTTCCAGTTTGATTTGCAGGAGAGTTTGTCACCATAGGCAAACATGGGTGTTCTATCCCAATTCCCTGGGTCAACTTGCCATCTTTGATGCTTGATATTGCTTGATCTAAAGGGATCCCCCCAAAAAATGTATGATTGGTCACGTTTCCACAGGCTCTTCATTTGGCCCAAATGTATCCTGAAATATCCTAAATTAAGGTGTCCCATGGTATATTCGACCCATACCCATATCAGCCTGTCAAGACCACGTCGCCATAAATTGGAGCAATATACAAACACAAGAAAAACCCACCAGAAATGGGGTGGTATAAAACCCTGCAAAAAATCAGAGGTCTATGGCAGCTTTCGACCCATTTCCTGCCTGGCACTTGGCTTGGCATCTCTTCTTCGGACCTGGCTTGAGCCCCTTGGGTACGTCCTCCCCAAGGCCATCCCAACAATAAGAGGTCGAATCATCCAAAGTGTCTATCATTAACCTGTAACGGGTTGGAGCAACCCCGAGGATCACTTGTTTTATTACCCATCTAACTCTATAGTTGTAACATGTTATAAATCCTAAGTCTAGCTGCTTATATGGAGTATCTCCCCCTCTTATTCTTTGCAGGCAAAAACCCAAAACCTCTCACCGGTGAGCACTGTGCCTCTTCTCATCTTCCACTTCGAAGCTGCGCGAGTCCTAAGGAAGCCGTGGCGATGCCTTAACGACAACTCATTGGATTTTTGTTGGTAGATGTTGGTAGAATTGAAACCATCATCAACCAGTTTTTGTTGGTAAAATCTGTTGCAAAATCACATTCTTGTTCAAAATGTCCCTTTGTTTCTGCTGAGAGCCCTTCAAATCTACAGTGGTTGGTCCAGAAACAGCTTCCCATCCAGCAAATAGCTGCGGTACCCTCTGGTTCACATGCCCATGTTGCCAGAAGTTTCTATACTATGTTGGGATGCTGTTTACAACAATCCCACAATTTCCTTCTGGGACATGTTACCAGCAACCAGCAAATTTGCGGCAACCCATATTCTTTCCCAAAAATCAACCCATTGCAACAAGATACAACCATCCAATTTTGGAAGACATTGTTCCAATATGGTGAGTATACCCAGGCCCAACAATAAATGTTTGTTGGGGATAGTTATGGCATTGGATTTACCCATTTTCAATCAACCCCTCCAAGCGGGAAAAATCTGTCCTCACGCGGTGGTGGAGAGAAAATCAACCTGCCAACAACAGTCACTGTTGATGGTCCCTGATGCTTTTGCTGGTCCGTGATGAGAACTTCGAGGTTCAGCAGGTGTTGAAAGATTTGTTTGAACAAGCGAAAACCACTTGCAGCATGTCCTTGGTTCAGAACAAATGGGTTAACTACTGCTAGCTATCCCACTTAGAAGTCAGGATATAGAGGTTTCCTAAAAATGGGGATACCCAAAAATGGATGGTTTGCAGTGGAAAATCCATGAAAATCCTACGAACATGGATGATTTAGGGGTACCCCTACTTTAGGAAATCACCAAACTGTTGGCTGCTGCTCATTTCCTGAGAAACTACACTGAAAATGGCGGGAGAGATCCCACGGCTGGTTTTCTCATGAATCCAGCCCCAGACCGCTGTTCCAAACATGAATTTCCCTGAAGTCATCCACACATTTTCTGAAACGCATCTGAACCCGGTCCATTTCGCAGTTTTGACACAGGAACCTGTTTCATCCACCCCTGGCTATGCTTTGTCTTGAAAAATCAGATGTCGAACAACATACGTTCTGTAATAAACTACATACTATATATTACTATATATATATAATTATATATATATATAATCACTATATATTATATTTAGCATGCATCTTGATATCACTAAACATCTAGTCTGACTATTCTGATACCAAGGTTCTTCCAACTTTGACAGCAGTTTCTTATATTGTTTTATCATGTTTTATGAATTCCAACCATGGGAAACCCCGAAGAAAGGGGCCGGGGCCGGGCCCAGCGGGCCGTTTCGCTGGCACCTGGCACCAGGCCGGTTCTCTTGATCCACCCTCAAAGAACCTCCAGCGCCGAAAAACGCCGGGGGATCGAGCGAAAACCACCGGGAGCCAGTGTCTGAGAAACGAATGCTATGCGTTTTTTCGGAGTCCGCAAAAGATATTCTTAGTGCGATGTTTGTTTCTTTTCCATTCATGATTGAAATGCTGCTGGGGTATGATCTAAATTAGAAGATGAGATAACGCTTAAATTCCGGGAAACATCGAAATCGAAACACAACTTTCTCATTACCTAGACCATCAAGTTGTACCCATAAAAATGATTGGAAATGGGTATGGTACCCGCAAAAAGTAAGGTATGTCCATCATTTTTTTGGTGGTCAATTGAGGGTCAAGGTATTGGTATATGTCATCCGACAAAAAGAAACAACACACATGATATATCATATTAAAACATTACATATAGCAGGATTTGCAGGAATCACACTGAATGCCTGGAGGATTGAAGATAAGAACATAATCACTGCACCATGGAAACACATCCTCGAAAAGATGCAGAATAGTATTTCAAGATATTTCAAGGATGCTAGGTCGATAAGTTCATGGTTTCTAACTCTTAGCTGGTTGGTGGCTTTTCGCCCAACCCCTCTGAAAAATGATGGAGTGAAAGTCAGTTGGGATGATTTTTCCATTCCCAACATGATGGGAAAGTCATTCAAAACTCCATGGTTCCAGTCACCACCAATCAGTTGGTTGGAGCTGAGGGCTGCTCTACGACTGGCCAGGCCTGCCAGCTTCGGCTCTTCGATCTCAGCCATCTCCACTGTTCGCTGGGGAGCTTCTTTCTTTCCTGATGCTGAACACAGAAACAGAAAGGCTAGGGAACCAAACAAGTTACATGTTGAGGTTTTCTTGAAAAAAAACGTGTCATGACTTGTCTATGGAAATTTGGAGGATCACGATATCGACTGTAGAAACTTGGTGTGTAGATCTCTCATCGCACCTCCGATTGGCGTCACTACATCGTCAAGGGATGGAGGCAGGAACATGTACTGAGTGTACTGTAACAACCCTACAAGGTGGGCGACCGCCAGTTATAAGATGTTACAAGTTAGTTTATGGACACCATGAAAAAACATATGATGCCGTAAACAATCCATAAACAATGTAGTTATTGGAAATATCGAATAGCTATGGAAAATCATCGCTTTTAAGTCTATATCAGTTATATCTATAACTATATCTAGTGGAAATTATAAACCAACAAACATAACTGGGGGGTTTTCTCGCTGTAGCTCCTCCATCCCCGCCTTTCGGAGGTCTTGGAATGGGCTGATTGCAACTGCGCAAAGGCCCCCGTGCCTGGTGAAGGCATGGCTTCAAGGTTGGAAGCGAGACCCGAAACATTGCACAGTGGCAACAGGAACCGATTTATTGGAGGTACCTAACATAGTATAAGGTCTATGAGTCTATTCTTTAAAACGATGTGAGGGGATATACCCACAAAATATCGTTTTATAATATATATGGCACAGTACCTCCAGTTTAGGTACCAGAATGGCCATTGATGTCACATCATCACATCAAAATTGAGGCAAACGTATCACAAATTTAAGGGTACATACCCCCATTAACAAAAACGGTTACGTCGGGTAACGTGTTGGTTTTCAACCATGACATCCCTTTGAACTCGATCTTTTTGGGTCTCAAAAAAATTGATAGTTTGCTCCCCACAGTTATGGCCATGGCTACCACTTATAACTGGTTATTTCTAGAAGGGATTATGCATTCTATAAATGGGGTGACTTGTTAGTACTATACCCTCTGGTAATTTAACATAGCTATTGAAAATGACCATTTATAATGGATTTTCCCATTCAAAATGGTGATTTTCCATAGCTATGTTAGTTTACCAGAGGGTAACTGATAAATGGCCATAACTGCAAGGGTCAGCTTTACACCGAAACACTGCGCAAGCACTGCATCCAAGTCATGGTGACATCTTCCGAGATGCCGGTGACCAGTTGGGAGCCCAACATCTTGCCCCCAGAAACCCCGAAAACTCACATCTGACGAAATCCAATGAGAGTCCCACCAGTTTCGTTGGTGTCAAATATCCCTATGATATAGTAATAAATGGTATATACATGTATATACCATAAGATATCCTATTTATATCCTATTTATAGAATCATGATTTTATGGCTATTTTATGGCTATCATAAGATTGGGAAACTGCTCCAACTGGCTGCTGGGACTATGGATCCCCCCCTCCAGTCGCTCATCCTAGCTCCCGCACCCAAGGTGACTGCCCAGGAGGCGACGTCTTCGCTGGACTGAAGCCCTTGGATTTCGCCACCACATTTCATGGGGAATTTCCGGTGAACATTTTCCACGAAAAAACAGAGTCCAATGATCCAACAAACCATGAAATTTATATGATTCGGGAATATTTAGGATAGGTATCTTGGTTTATAAAACTACGCCAACTCCTTGCTATTATGCTGGAGATATCTACACTTTCATGGGTGAAACAAACATATCTTCGGGAACGACGGCTAGAATCCGAGTTGCGGGGGAGGAACAAACTACTTGAGGTCCCGGAATCTTCAAACAACAAAGTAGTTACTCCTGATGCTACTGAAGTATTGAAGTCCAACTGAGACAAAAATGGATCTACCTGAATCTTGTTTCCAGGTTTGCCTGATAGTTTTTTCTTCCTCCAGTGTTTTAGTCTTTTTTCCCCACCTGTCAGGTGAGGGTTGTTAGATTTTAAGTCAGCTGGCCCGCCGCCTCCTCCGCGCCAACTGCAAGCGCTAGTCATTTCACAAACAGGAGCTTACTGGTCATTTCAGCAACGGCTCCTTGAGCTTCGGATCAGAGTGTTCCCTGCCGGACCTCAACCACAAAGAATCTCCGAAGATATCCCAAATAGAATGGCCGAAAGAATGTCAGAAGATATGCCAGAAAGTACGTCAGAATATATGCCAGATAGAATGCCAGATAGAATGTCAGATAGAATGTCATAGTATCTGCCAGAAAGAATGTCAGATAGAATGTCAGGATAAATATGCCATACATAGTTCCAGATGGTATGTCAGATGTCAGAAGCTCACCAGGATAATGTTTCACGGTGAAGGATCACTCGCAACAGTATCGCTGTGCAGTGCCCTGGCACAGCTTGGATACTCTCACATCCCTCTTTTTCCCACCGGAGAATTGACTAAAAGAAAATAACAGAAACTTCTTCCCATTCAGCAGCCAATAAATCAATAAATATATCACAATTCATACCATACAACAGATTACAGTTAATACTATGACATTGATGGCAATTGATACTAGACAAAAACTGGTTGGTGGTTTCAACCCATCTGACAAAATATGAGTTCGTCAGTTGGGATCATTATTCCCAATATATGGGAAGTCAAAAAATCCATGGTTCCAGTCACCACCAAACAGAAAAATATGGATCTTGGGCACATGGCAAATTAAAATTGGAAAATTCTGGGCCATTCTGGGATGATTACCCTCTGGTAAACTAACATAGCTATTGAAAATGGCCATAGAAATAGTCGATTTACCCATTAAAAATGGGTGGATCTTTCCATAGCTATGTAAACGTTTACCAGAAGGTACCCTTGAGGCCAGGGCCGGCATGCTCAAAGATCTCAATCTCGTTGGGGTGGCCTGAACTTTTTTGCGGAAAACGAAGCGCTCCCCAGCATCCACCAGAAAAAACACAGAGAATCCACCAACAACACTTTAAGGGACTTCACCAACACACTATGAGATTTCTGAATTATGATTTTTATGATAGGTAACTTGTTTATTTGTTTTATAACCAGGCTAAGTGATGGATTCGTGGCGGAGATCTCATTTTTACTATACATCTGTGGTTAGATCTAGGCCAACTTAAAACTGGGTAGGGCCTTTCTTGCGGGTCGGGACGTGCTGCGTCTGGGGCCTAGATCTAGCCACCATTGGCAACATGACACCAACCACCTTCTTGGTTGAAGAATCCCTAAATAACACATGGTTGTGTAGGAAAAACAGCATTTATTTCTGTTTGTTTGTGGTTCCAGGTCTCTTTCGACATATAACATATGATCACACTTATATATATATATATAGATAGATAGATATATACGGGGTAGAGCGGGTAGAGGCTGGGAGTTCCCCGGAGGGCAATTGAAGTTCATTGTTGTCCAGTTTGAAAAATTTCATTTTCACTGTGTTTTACAGTGTTTTGTGTTCTTCCTATAACTTGAGAATATCAGCAATTAGCTCAACATGCGGACAACATATCTGGGATATGTTGTCCGCTGTTTCAACGTTGTTTTGTTTTTTCAAGTTCATCAACTTATATATTATATTGTTTCTTTTCCCAAAGAAATTGGGTGTTTTTTGGATTTTCAGGTTTCTTGTGATAGACATAAACATGTCATAATCCACCAGAGAACCATGGGCGAAATGGACATGAGTCTGTTTTCTCTTCAACCCAAGAAAAACTTGAACGTAACACCATCTTCAACGTAACAACATCTTCAACGTAACAACAAATTGAATGTAACAACATCTTCAACCTAACAACATCTTCAACGCAACAACATCTTCAACGTAACAACATCTTCAACGTAACAACAAATTGAATGTAACAACATCTTCAACCTAACAACATCTTCAACGCAACAACATCTTCAACGTAACAACATTTTGAACGTAACAACATCTTCAACGTAACAACATCTTGAACGTAACAACAACATGAACGTAACAACATCTACAAAGTAACAACATCTTCAACCAGATAACATTTTGAATCTAACAACATCTTGAACGTAACAACAACTTGAACGTAACAACATCTTCAACGTAGCAACATCTCCTGATGACGCAATGCAATGAACGGTAACATCGTCCCCCACCCCCCATCTGTATACGAGAACGATCCTAAACGTAACAACATCTTCTCATGACGCAATGCAATGAACGTTAACACCCCCCACCATCTGTATGCAAGACCAATCTTCAACGTAACAACATCTTCTGATGACGCAATGCAATGAACCTTAAAATCCCCCACCCACCCCCACCATCTGTATGCAAGAACGGCAAAATATGCAAATAATATATTTATCAGAGAGAGACTGAAGGTTCTCATACGTCTTCCGGGGAACTCCCAGCCTCTCCCCTGTACATATATATATTATATATATTATATATATATTATATATATATATATATATATCCATGATCTTAACAGTACGTACGGACGTCAAAATATAACGTCACAAAAAATACCTATGACATATGATTAGGATGATTAACTGACACATACTAGGACTAATCAGTGAATTTGCTACCAGATCTTGGGATACTTTTGGTCCCATAGGCACTGTGTTCCATATAGGCTTGGTTTGTCCTGACCCTGCCCGGACCATCAATTAACATCGTGTTGTTTGTTGATAGCCATATGGGGTTTCACAAAATGCATCAAAATGCGTGTACCTCCAAATCATCAATTTTTAAGAGGATTTCCTATTATATGAGGCACCCCCATTACATGGAAATCCCCTTATCAGATCTTTCTCTCTATCCACCGCGCTGGCCGGAAAAAAAAAGCCGAACCTGAGACATGGTGGACATCCTGGAGGCCTGCAGGTCCTGCAGCCTGCGATCCCGTGGGCGTTACCCTCTGGTAAACTAACATAGCTATAGAAAAGCACCATTTTTTATAGGTAAACCATCTATTTCTATGGGCCATTTTCCAGTTCGCTATGTTAGTTTACCAGAGGGTATGTTGATTTATATGTTCCATCTACTGTATCAATAGAGATTTAATCATCATCATCATCATCAAACTGAAGTTTTCGTGGGCTTTATAGTGATTTTTAACTGTATCAATAATAGGGAACTATCAACAATAATGGGTATATCAGCAAAAAAATGGGAATATGGGAATGGGATATATATATATAGTATGTTTGTTGGGTTTGTCTGACAAAGGGAATTTCCGGATTGACCCCTAAAGAACCATTTGTAGATTGGGAAAAATATGATCAACTAGTAAGTTTTCGGGCTGGTTCACACCTTCGACGTCTTAGTAGATTAGATTTACACAATATCATGGCCAATCTTTGATAGTCCACAAAAACATGATCTTTTGCTGGTCATGGTCATTTTCCACTGCGAAAAACTATTCGAACAACTAAAGGATTAAGCTACCCATCCAAGGTTGGAGAATATATTTCGCCATGGAGTGCCAGTTTTTGTCGTGAGTCAATGACTGCTGGCTGGGGCCCATGAACCCCCTCAGTTGCTTCCGACGAGATGTTTTTTCCAATCCCCAGTTGCTGTTGCAGATGGTTGCAGCATCATCATTTTCCATGATGAACTTACGATTTTAAAATGGTGAACCATGGTCAAAAACCACGTGTTCCCTTGGTCAAAGCAAAAAATTATGTGGCGAAAATCAACTTGTTGATGACATTAATTACTACGAGTACCTTTCCTGGTTATAGCTCCATATTCTCTGGACACTTCACCATCTTTGCTAATAAAATCCAGGTTTCCCATCCATTCAAACCATGCTTCAACCAGGGTTTCAGGATGTTTCAGCTTTCCGGCCTCTTGGGTGTGTCATGCAGCCGGCTCGCCACATTCCTTGCAAAATGGGGATCGTCCTATCTCACCATCAGGGGTCCAGCAGCTGTTGGTTTATCCCTATAGACTATAGCCTGCATAGACTCTAAATGACTATATGTTTTCGTGAAATTGCAAGTTATAAGATGTTATAAAATTGTCAGCTCAAAGCTATCTACAACCCAATCTTGCATCAATACGGCATAAACAGCATCAACATGGGGATTCAACCATCAACAATAGGGATTCAAGATGATAAATTTAATGGTATTTCATTGGAAAACTTCACCATCAACAAATTGACAAATGAGGATTCAAACATCGACAAGAGTGACTTTTTTATGGTATAATATGGTATAATTAGGATTTAGTTATATATGCTAACATTGGGGGATCCTATGGGGTATGATTTCATCATCATTTCTGCTGACCAAAATCTTGGGCTCGAGAAAGCTACACAAAAAAAGAGGTGATGAATAAAAATTGGTGATCTGTGGCAATATGTAGCAAGCTGATGCAGAATATTAGCATGGCCATGGGGAGACATCTTCCGGAGCCGCAGCGGTGTCCAAAACGACCCTCTGGTAAACGTTTACAGTTTGCTGTAGTAAATGGCCACAGAAATATTTACCCATTATTAAACATGGGGATTTTCCATGGTTATGTAAACGTTTACCAGAGGGTACTCCACTGCGAACATGCGAGTCTCAGCATGTCATGATGCGTCTTGCCGATACGCTATGCGGTTTGGAAAGCCTGCTTCTGGGGAAAACCCATGTTGCCTTTATGATACTTCCCATCAACATTCTGAACTCATTACATTTCTACAATTTTTAAGGAAGCACCTACAATAGCGCCATCAATTGATGTGCTGCCAAGACGCGCAAACTTCTGCAGCTTGAAGTCTGGCTCGGAGGCCTTTTCGGACCTTGGATGAGACAACTGCCTTTGCAAATGTGAGCGGAACACTGGGGAAAACCCCATGGGAACATGGATTCTTGAGTACTGCCCTTCTTGTGTTTGATGCTTGACTTAGGGTTTCCTTCATTTCTTGAATAAACGCATCCATTTTGGCCGCTACCCATGTTAGCTAAGTTGGTTTATAATGTGCATCTAAGTATCATTAACTGTCATAAGCATACACCCAACATCACCATAAACCCAACAGTCTAGCTAGTTGTAAACCAACTTAGATACCATGTTGACCTTGCTACCTGGCTCAAACGGCCCCTTCACCCCGAGGAAGGCCTCATGGCTCTGGATTCTCGATTGCCATGTTCGATGACCAAAGGGCAACTTGTTAAGTCCTGTAAAAAAAACATGGTCGAAACCATACCATGCAGAATTATACATGCCATACATGGATATAAATGGATAACGTGAATTAGGAATGCTTCGGGGATTTACACTACACACTACAGTAAATTTAACATGGAGCACATATCAATACCCATATCCAAAACAGTAGATTCGTCTTCCACGCTGCATTTTCGGCTTCCATGTCGTTCAGTGTTTTTTGGACTTCCTGAAAAAAAAATCCCCGCAACGAGTTGATCAGATGATCCAAGTGACCAGTTTTTAAGTGGGATGATCCTTCAGTTTTGCCACATGTTCCCATTTTAATCCCATGAAAACTTGCGGGAATCAAAGGTGGCAACGGAAAATACCCTCTGGTAAACTAACATAGCTATGGAAAATTACCCGTTTGTAGTTGGTTTACCTATTAAAAATGGTGATTTTCTATAGCTATGTTAAATTACCAGAGGGTACACTACGTATAGATTATATATAGATGACTTTCCCATGAAACCTCCATTGAGTTCACGGACTTTCCAGCTACGGAGCTGATGACACCAGAGGGTATAGTTACCCCAAACACAGCTACAGAAAATGGCCCATTTACAATATGATTTTCCCATGAAAACCTCTGGTAAATTAACATAGACCCTGGCAGATAGGGGTTGGAAGACTAGTTTCCATTGAAAATTGGTGATTTTCAGGGTCTATGTTTATTTACCAGAGGGTAAAACCCTCCATTTATGGATTTTCCATAGCTATGTTCAATCACCAGATGGTATATCCAGATGGTGTGGAAGATAAACATGATGATTTTACCATGGTGATCTGCGATAGCTCAATCGGGAAAATTTATATGATTCACGGGACTTAGAGCTACGCGATTTTCAGATCCAAATACAACCACTTCAATTTCTGATCTTGTTCAATCCCTAGTTAAATCTCTAGTTAAATGCTAAATCCCTAGGAGCTTTCCATTGATCAAAGCTAAATCCCTAGTGAAAAATCAATGCTAAATCCCACAGAATGGAATCAATGGATTAAAACAATGGAATTCACCTTCATCAATGTTGCTTTGATACAAAAACATGATTTTCCATTGATCAAAGGGATTCCCTTATATATAAGTTACCAATGACTTTCCATCAATGGTAAATACCTATAATTTACCAAATGATAAAAGGAATACCCTCTGTTAAACTAACATAACTATGGAAAATCCCCACTTTTCATGGATAAATCAACTATACATGGGTGTGGCTGAAAATAGTGTACCCCTAAACCCAATGGTTAATGACCATTATCCCTATTAAATGGCTATAATTGGGAATATACCCTATTTTCAGACAAACCCAAATGGCTATGTTCAATAGCTATGTTAAATTACCAGAGGCTAACCACCACCGTCCCACGCTCCCGACATAAAACGCCGAGTCGCTCCCGAGAGCGCCGCACCTCGCGACTCATGGAGCGGATCATCCGCACGTTGTCGCGCCTCAACGGTGGCGTTGTCGGTCAAAGGTATATGGCAATGGCCATTTACCAGTTATAACAACAGATGGGTATAACTGGGGTTATAAGTACTGCTTACAAGTACTGGGGTTACACCTCTTATAATGTTATAACTGGTTGTTTCTATGGGATTATACGTCTATAAATTGGGTTTTGTTAGTACTTATAACTGATTTTTTATGGCCTTAACTGTAGATGGCAACAAATAGAAGCAGGGAAAATCATTGAAAACAGTTAGGATCATGTGATGGCTGTGAAAAGCTAGTGGCACAGCCAGCTAATCAATGGAAAAAGTGAGGAAGGAACATGTGATAGTTCACCTTGATTCACCATGTTATGGCCATGGCTACCAGTTATAACTGGTGATTTCAATGGGATTATATATACATTCTATAAATGGGGTGACTTGTTAGTACTTATAACTGATTTTTATGGCCATAACTGGCAGATTTAGGGATTTATGTCACCATATTTTCAGACAAAACCATATATCGGAAACAGTCAGAAACCACAAGAAATGCATGACATATATACAAATGTCAGAAACATGATATGGGGAACATGTTTGGATTGGTTCTGATAATATCAGAAACATACGCATTTCCTCCATATCCAAAGCAATCCACACCAGAATCATCCAACAAAGATGTCGATCCTAGAGGATTCTGGTCGACTTTCGCCATTTTTCTCTCTCAAAATCAGCAAACGCCCTAGAGAACGATTTGCAATCAACTGAAGTTGTGTGAGTGCATTGTGCACAATCAAATGCCAATACATTTTACACATATATATATACTGGTTGGTGGGTTTAACCATCTTGAAAAATATTAGTAAATGGGAAGGATTATACCATATATTATGGAAAATAAAACATGTTCCAAACCACCGACCAGTATATCATTTATGTCGTATTTCTGTGTGGTCGAATACTACACTCTCAGAGATTTTGCAAAACATGCTCTGACTGCTCTTGCTTCCTGAAACATACTACTACTAATGTCGTCGTATTAGATTATCCGAAATGAATATTCGATAGTATATCATTCCCTTTTTCATAATACTCTCCAATAATATCCAATAATCATACTTATTTACGATCCAACGCAGTCCGAGAACGAGTCATCAACCACACAGTGTGGGCTCCCGGCTTGAAGTTCTTGGTCGTGGGAGCTTGGGCCTTTTGACCTAGCCTCGTTCCGCAGAGCGTCAGCACCGGCAGGTTGCAGATGGGATGAGGTTATGGTAATGTCGCTCTCTGGTTATTTAACATACCAGTAGCTATGAAAAAGGATATGTTGTTTACAGTAAATATCTTTAAGACTATAAATAAAATTAAACAAACCATTTTCCATATCTGTGTTAAGTAACCAGAGGGTAGTTGGCTCCTTCTTGAACATTGGATGTTCTTGGATTGTATCAAACTTCTTCGGTGATCCGGAAGCTTACTACTGAGTTGTCAAGTCTGCACTTTGAAGCAGTTCTTGCATATATACTACCTGACATGCGCACTATTTGCTGAAACCAGTCCACAAATGGTTGGCAATCTGGCTTGGTTTGGAACCTCAGTCACCAGCCGACAACCAACCCAGCAGCATACAGAAAACCCTTGGTTGATCCCTGAGATCATCGTCAAAACGGCCAGAAATGGATCCAACACTCGTTGAAACCCGAAGTGATGAACCTGTGACTGCCAAAGTCCCAGTGGTTGAAGAGTTGAAGGGATATGTTACAGGAAACTCCCATAGAAATGATGGCAACAACTTGGATGTGCATCATAGTCAGCAAGTGGTCAAAAAGCATAGTAAGCCCCGGTTAATGTAGAGCATACTCCGGTTATATATAGAATATCAATATGATATAACTTATAACCCAGTTCCTAAATCTGGTGAACAGGATCTCCCATACTGGATCATGATAATCCCCAATGTATTGGGTAGCTTAACCCCGGAACGAATCATCCAGCAACAGGACTTTTGAGCACTACTAAGGAGCTTAGTAAGTGGGCTATCACTGATAGGGTGTGTATATATATATAATATATGATTATATATGAATTATATATGGTATATAACTATGATATAACTGGGATATACCATCTGGTTGGTGGTATACCTACCCCTCTGAAAAAGATGAGTTCGTCAGTTGGGATGATGACATTCCCAACTGAATGGAAAGTCATAAAATTCCATGCTTCCAAACCACCAACCAGCCATGATAATCACCCTCATTAAACTGGCGTAAACCGGGAACCCCCAAGATCCATCGAAACGACTCGATTCGCTGAGTTCCCCCAACAAGTCGCCCACGCTGCCAGTCTTATGCCTCGTGAGGCGACGCTATAAAGAAATCCATGTTGTCATTGTCATCATTTACACCACCATCCCATTTTTCCCTTGCAACCCCTGAATTCCCTTGGTTTATTCGTGATCTTCTGGTCAAACACAACACCGCAGACTCGCTTCAATCACTGTTTGCCTTCTCAATTTACATGAATTTTCCTGTAGAATTCTTGATAGGGAACATTCCAGAACCCCCCTACAGTCATGGCCATTTACCAGTTATAACTGGTTATAAATGGGATTATACATTCTATAAATGGGGTTATAAATACTTATAACTGATAAATGGCCATAACATGCCATAACTGTATCTTTGGGGCATAAAAGCCCATGAAAAAACCCATATGGTTTCCGGTGTTTTCCCATCGCAGCCTCCATGCGATTTTGGCACACTCACTGGACCGATGGCTGGACGCCGGCATTGCTGGACGCCACTCGGCTGAGAAAGAATGGGTTGAAAACCAGCGGTTGTTCGTTCAAAAATGACCGATATATATATATACTTCATACATGTCTGTTGATCATGTTCATCCCTGAGTTGGTGTGAAGTCTTCGGAGATACTTCAATACTATAGATTTTTTCATGAATTTCAACAAATCTGCGCCATGGTGGCATGGTTTGCGGAGCTAAACCATGCGATGTCATGGACTTTCATGAGGCTTCTTTTCATCTGCTGAGCAATGCCAAAATGTCAGCAGGGTGACCCGGTCGTGATCTGTAGGATGTTTTGCTCCGGGTTGAACGGTTGCTCCGGGTTTACAAGGCCTTGTTCGTATGGTTCAAAAGTGAGACCCGTCGGTATCTGCTGGGATCATCACCCCTTGGATTTGCTGAAAAGGAAGCCATTCTCCTCCCGCGGATTTCCCAGCGTCTGAAAATTGCTACATTAAATCAATTGGTTTACATTGGTTTACCATCAATATATAAATGGCCATTTTATGGGTGTTCCCATTTTTTCAGACACACCAAGAAAATGAGCCTTTTGGCAGCCCTGTTCCGGGGCCAGCACGCCAGCTTTTTGCGATGAAACGCATCATCGCAAAGAACGCTCCGTTCACCATATTCACACGGATTTCTCTTTCAAGCCTTCGAACGATCCATGGCCCACAAGAAACTGACTCACTAGTAATAGTTGGAGGAATAGCACATCTTTTGGATACCTAAAATGCATCAAATGCAGAAAACAACACACTAAAAAAACTGTCTTCCATGGTGGACCCACTGGACTCTTTCGAACAGCGAACTCTTTCGAACAGCGAATCAGCTGGAAGCAGGTCGCCCGGTTTTTTTTGGTGGTGACGCGAAAATGTTGGTGAAGTGAGTTTAGCAATGTTTATATAGGATACTATAGGCTATACGAATCAATAGGATAGGGGTTGTTGTGATGAAATAAGTGCAAATAACCTATCTATATCTATAATACTCCATAACCTATCTAATCTATCTAGTTAATCTAGCTACTGGGGTTCATGAACCAAACATAAGTGACGCACAGACCTTGTAGTGAAATAGTCATTGGGCGGTCGACAGTGAGGCGGTGGTTAAACACCAGGACAAAAGACTTCTGCAATTCTCGTACCAACAAAGATGGCATCAAACAGTCCATTGGGTGAATCGCTAATCGCCATTGTCCTTCTTGAATGTGAGCCTTTTTGGTGAGTATCCCATGTGCATCCCTGTTTTTTTTTCAGACCCTTCTTGTACAACATCAAACAATATCTCCATATCCATATATCCCCTATTGTTTTTCAGACCCATGTTCTTTTACTGTACAATACAAGTTACCCTCTGGTAAATGTTTATATAACTATGGAAATCCACCCATTTTTAATGGGTAAATCCATTATTTCTATGGCCGTGTTCAATAGCAAACTGTAAACGTTTACATCACCAACAACCTCGACCAGGCGCTGCGACCCACTCGATCTACATCACGGCATCACTTGCCTTTCCCTCAGCACATCCACGCGGGTCTGTGGTCGAAACCGTGATTTTTTGGGTTACCATCAGACTCTTCGGGACTCTGAAGAATATTATATTTATATATATATAGATAGATAGATATATATATATATATAGTTAATTAATTTTATATAACATATAGTTATAATTTATTAATTTCTACATGTTAATAGAAAACTTGTCATTTCCAAACTTGTTGCTTGATTGGAGCTTCAATGGGTTGCACACCCGTGGAAGCTGCGATGGCTTTTTTCCCCACCAGGGACGGGGGTGGTGACTGGTCAGTTGATCCATGGGGATAGGTTGCCAATGGTTGCCATTTAACCCCTCAATCTTGATCCTGTACAATAAATCTTCAGCCAGAATCAAGGCCATTTCTAGGATAATTCCTCCATATATGGATTAAAGTCAATCCATTCAGCCACCAAGCATGGCTTACATATTTCTCTTAGTATCTCCCAGTTGAAAATTCGGCTACGTACCATTTCAGAAGTGTTCCAGATTTCTTTCAATTCTGGGACCATACTGTAGCTTCTGGGTGTGGCAACGGGGTGCCACAACTTGGACCACTCGCTGTAGGCTTCATCATTCATCAGCATCCCAATCCAAGTCGCGAACGGTCTACGAAGTGGGGGAATCCGAGAACTATCCATGGAGCTTCAAAAAGCTGAGAACATCATCTGGTTGGTGGTACAATAACCATCTTGAAAAATATGAAAGTCAATGGGAAGGATTATCCCATATATTATGGAAAATAAAAAATGTTCCAAACCACCAACCAGTCATCTTTTTGATGGCCTAATTATGGCGAATTGTCCAGATAACCATGTGAAAATTCTACAGGCAATGGCAGCAAAATTCGCTGAAACAGATAGCATATGGCCATGGCCCCCCAATCTGATCGAATCTTCTTAAGTTTCAGGTGTAGTTGATGTAGCGGTCTAACATCAAAACCGCATGTACAAAATATCCATGCGTGCTGTGTAACATTATTGAACAATATTGAAGATATCTACGAATCTACGGATTTTGTGAAAAATCCTTCACCTACATATACCATCTGGTTATTTAACATAGCCATGGAAAATGACCCATTTATAGTGGATTTTCCCATAAAAACATCCATTTATAAGGGATTTTCCATAGCTATGTTAAATAACCAGAGGGTACCTTTTTTTCACCTCTATGGAGCCCGGTGGTCTCAACACTCTTCTCATCCGCTTTTTGTCGTCCTGAGGCGCCCTACAATCCTTTCCTTTTCCACCGCCCTTCTTTCCTTTGCCCCCTGATGGCGAGCAAAACCCAGGTCCCCCGTGGGTCCCATCGAAGATGGATTCCGACCATGGACCCTGATTCCGACTATGGACCCTGAGTCACAAAAAACCAAGAAACACCGAGCAAAACCCATTTTTGGGGCCGAAAAAACACATCTCCAGACCTAGGAACATGATGAGATGCGTTGGAAAGCAACAACTTTCCCTTCTTTTTTTCGAAGCCTTTGCTATGGAAAATGGCCCATATGTAGATGACCTACCAATAACATCCTATGAATTTCCATAAATATATGTTGTTCCATGTTTTTTTAATGCTGCCATCAAAATAACATGTTTTTCATAGGCCTGCGAGAACAGACATGTGGATCTCAACTTACGTAACCCACAAATCAAGGTGAGGTCATATATAGTCATGGGGTATGGTATGGTAATTAAACATAGGATGGTTGGCAAAGATGAACAACAAAGAATCTGTGGTCTGTGGTCTGTGGTCGCCACAATATTTCCTTGATCGCTATCTTTATCCCATGAAATTATCATTCTTCATTAAATCCCAACTGTTCATAGTGAGCCTCCTGTGAACTGACATTATAGATGTGGACTTTCACCATTTTTTATCAGCCAATATCAGCTAATTAGATCTATAACATGGCTCATCATGGCTCCATGTTTCCACATCAGTGACGTTCGTGTGCCGGGAAATCCATGTTACCCTGGAATCATCCCACCTCCTCCTTTGCCTCCACCTGCATGCGCCAGAAATGGGGTGCAGTTTTGACCAGAACTTGCGGGGCATTAAAACATTGTTTTTTTTACGGGAAAATCATCTGTAAAAAGCTAACTGATCACAAATCAATGGGAATATTATGGGAATATAAAGGGAATCTATGGGAATAGAATGGAATATCATTGGAACATGGGAAAATCATCGGAATATAATGATATTATAATGGGAATACAATCGGAATACACTGAACATTTCATGGGAATATCATAATCAACTTTTTCCCAGCTATAAACCTCCACTTACAATTACAGGATTTTCCCTTGCCACGTTTGATTACCACAGGGTATCTGAAGATTATCTTAGGACTTTCTAGCCTATTTCACCCCAACATAACTTGATGATATAGCTGCATCAAGGTACCTCTGTCTACGAAAGCTTGGTCAGATTAGGCATGCACATTCAAAGTCTAGGAAAAGGAAACAGGTAACACTTATCACCTGCTTGTTTTGACCATCAGAAGCCCCATGAAGTCATTTTAGGGCCATGAGGTGCATTTTTTCGCACGGTTCAACACCTCGGGTGTTGAAGATGAGTAATGGGATTTCAATCACCATTTTTTTGTATATTATATTATCACATATTATGATACTATAATATTGTATATTACATATAATTATATATATATATGTATGTATTATCCCGATGCCCAATATGTAGTTATCCAATTATACATGCAAAAAGACCAGATCTTCATTGGGGATCACCGGAGTCCATGCTTCATGGGACTCCCGGTTTCAACACCGCCCGCACTGCCTCCTTTGCCCTTACCGCCTGGCCAAAGGAAGGGCCACACATGTTGGTTCTTCGGAAAGTTCCTCTGAAATCTCAGAGAATATGTATAATAATGGTGTTTATCCGGGAAACCATGGCTTTTCCCCAGGAAACCAGGGACACACATATATATATATATATATGATTTATATGTATATATTGTACGTGGATAAATAGATAGATATAAAATTCACTGTATGTGCCACTACTAGAATTTGCTTTTAATGCCTTGCCACCTTCGGAAGTAGAACATCTTCCATGTGCAAAAAACATACTCGGGAGAAGGGAAATGAGAGACAAGCCTGGAGATATTTAATTAGCTGGTAGCCCTGGCACTGTCACCTGAATCTGCCATATCTTAACTTCTGGATAACTGGGAACAAATCCAAACTCTGACTTGGTGTGCCATCAACGGGCTTTGCTTCCCCTTTGCATATATTCAATTTCTACGGGTTCTGGTCTGGCCGTTGAGGCTGCTGAAAATGATTCATCTGAGAAGGTACCTATCCCCCGAAATTATATCCCAAAGCCTCAGAAGGTACTTGGATCCATAGGGTGTGTATATGTATGCATATGTATGCATGTATATACTGTACAGCAACTACACGTGTATATATATATATATATAATGTGCTAAACCCCATGATAAAC